AGAAAACTATTGGCATGTCATGAGTTATATATGTGGCATTGATTTTATAATTTTTGTAGATTGATTCTGTAAATAATGCTTGCTAGATTTCTCTGTGCATTCTCGAAATATGTTTAGTTGACCAATCTTGTGTACTAAGTATACAAATGTTTAATTTCCTCACAATAAGATTTTTTCCTAATGTATTTTGCTCTTTAGAGCAAATTGAAAGTTAAGAGGTAAATTGAGTTAAAAGTTGGATTGTATAGCTTTTTATATTTGAATAACAAGTTTTGAAAGCAAACTGAATTTTATTTCAAAACAAAACATAATTAATAAAATTTCCAATAGTAAATTTTAATATTGATTTAGACTTGTTTGACACTCCAGAGGATGTAAGTAGGCAATAAATGCTCTTTTTGGAAATGTCTTTTGTGTTAACTATTGTTCTCATTTAACGAAGAAATGAACTCTTTTAAAGGGCATTTTAGGGAAAAAAAATTCATTTAACTAACTTTCTTAATCCAAGAGTTTTTTCTGTTTTCTCTAAATAAAGAGAATAAAGGGAGTATTATACTTGTCTAGATTAGGTTCATGGCTCCATCTATAAACCAAATCAATGAAAATATGAATTTTTAAAAATTATTACTACTCTATCTTTTTTTTTTTTTTTCTCAATTATCGTAAAAAACACACGTTTCAATAAAACTTCATATTTTCGTTAGTTTAATCCGTAAATGGGATCATGGATCCAGTAAAATAGCTAATTTTATTTAAAGAGGCTTAATTTTTGAAACACAAACTATTTTTAGTTCAACGGTAACAAAGCGTTTGGATTAGCTTTTAAAGGTTATGGTAGTGCTTTGTCATGTAACATTTAATTTTAGAGTTTCATGAAAAGCTATTCAAACAGCTAACAGTTAAGCGCTATTAGAACAGTTAACAGCTATCAAAACAGCTAATTTTACCGAATAGACCCTATAAAAAAATAGTGTTTAGCATTTTGACCATTCAAAACGGTAAGAACTACTTAAAATATATGTTGAATACAGCCAAAGTCTCAAACTAATATGTATTCTTAGATATTCTTACACAGATGTACAAGAGTGTCCCCTTAGAATCTATAAGTATTAAAAACAGTTATTAAACATAAAATTAATCAGTTTGTTGTTGTAAAATCCTGAACCCCACCCAGCTATTATGCACGTTCTGAGCTCTGCAACAAAAATTAGATTCAGAATCTACTCTAATCTCTAAACATAAGCTATTTAATTATCCTTATATATATATATATATATATATAGATAAATTAAAAAATATCAATATTGATTAATAAATAAATGTGTCACATTTCAGCAAAAAAAAATTCAGGTGCTTAACGTACATGAAATATAAAGCTTAGAGATATATCTTCACGTGATTTACAGCTTTTCCTTAATTCAATATTAATTAATTTACCAATAACTAAAGTTACAAAAAAAGAAATATCCACTAGGAGAGAAATATATACATGCCTAGTCATCTTCCATTATTAATTTTCTTTTTCTTTTAAAAAAAAATTGGTGCGGAAAGAGAGTTACGGGCCACTAACTACTATCACTACCATCCTGCTAAATCTATCAAAATTGGTAATCTTCTTGCATTCTTAATTTAAAGATAAAAGGAAAGGATAAAAAAAAAAAAAAAACATTTGACTATGGATTACAAAAATTAAACAAAAAAAACATTTGAAAAAAAAAAAAAAAAACATTTGACTATGAAAATGTGGATTTTTATTACAACGGTTTGGAGTACAACTGTCTCATCACAATATTTAAATCAGTAAGGTGTAATCTTCTTAATATCTTCACATAGAGATACTAATGGTTTGAAGAGAATATAAAATTGAAAAGAAATATGAATATTTTGTTCTTCCACTCAATTAGTATATAGCATTTAGATAGGTAATGCTGCCTCAACTAATCAAATTAGGGTTTGGTTAACAATTCATTGTTTAAAAACTCGTATAATTATGATTAAGTAAATTATATATTTGAGAAATGTGATAACAATTCATTTGTTAAAAAACTCGGTATATTATGATTAAGGTGCTAAAATCGTAATAAATAATAATATATATAATAATACAAAAATAAGGCAAATAAAGTTCATTTTTTTTATTAAACTTTTTTATTAGAGCATTTAAGGTAATAAAAAGCACAGTAATGTATAGTTTTTTATAAACGCCAACATCGGCTTGATAAATGAAATCACCAGAGTTATAATTGGATAATCAACTATATGATTTAGTCGCTTTGAAGTTTATTTTATATTTTATTTTTTCCCCGTTATAACTTGATCTTAAATAAATATGTTATTGGTTTTTAATAAAAAAATATATAACATATGTGTGTGTAGTAGTAGGCGTATAATTTTAATCTTTTTAAAACACACCTACTATCATCATCGTAAATATTAATAACTCGGTAATAGACAATCATATCAAATCAAATAATAATACTCCCTTTGTTTCTTTTGTGCTATAGGCACAAACTAATTTTTTCATCAAGATTAAGAAAGTAATTTAACACAACTTTTTTTTATCATTTTTTTTCCTAAGTTTACCTCTAAGTATCCATTTCTTGTCTCCATATGTAATATTTCTAATGCATGTGTCCTTCTAATATTAGTTGTTTTCTAATCTTCAATAGAGTTTTGAAATGCTTTGATATGCTGAATTGTAAATAAAATACACAAAAAGTTTTGTTAAAAATGAAATTAAACATTTAGTGCCTTCTAAAATTGTGCAGAGAAATTTATTTTATTTGTCCTTTTATTTTGATGAAAGTTATAATGCTTTCTTACCATCGTGCCAATGCTATGTGCAGAATATATGAAAATTAAATTATTAATTCATATATACTTCACATATTACCTGTTGATTATTTAAAAAACAGTGTACATTTTAAATATTGCACAATTTTCTCGGGCATAATAGAGCGTCTCCATAAAATTTTCTCGTCTTCAATGCGTCCCAACTAAGAAATTTTAAGGCATTTTTTATTCGCAATACTACTTACAATTTCTAATCAAGTCGTCTTAATATTAGGTGTATTTAATTCAGTGCTCATATAACAGTCTATCATTGAGCCACAATTTTAGTTTTAGAGAATAGGGAAAATTGATTATAAAAAAATTCTAGTCTTACTAAAATTTTTATTCACCATTATAATGCTTATATACTATTATATTTTGAAGCCTTCTACTTACAACCAGAATGTAGGTGCCAATATGTTTGTGAGAATCTCTCACGGCGCTAACAAAACTTTTCACAAAGAGGATTTAAAACCAAAAGGGTTAGAATAGATCTTTTCACATTGCAAGATTCCCGGAAAATTTTATTCAAATTACGGTATAAATTTTCTATGCTAAATAAATAAGAACACCTTAAATTAAAACGTTGGGCAGCGAGTAATGAGGAAGCGGCGCGAGACATTTTTGTCAAAATAATTATGGCCAAAACACGTTATGACATGCTGTGTTGATGAATTTTTAGTGAGAAATAACATCGAATAGATTGTATCTGTACATCGGTGCAGAGCAGGTGAAATTTGAAAACGATGAGGCACATGAACGGCGCTTCCGACGTTCGAGCGGGCAATATTCGTGAACGTCGCGTGTGCCTACACGTAGAAAAATGCTTCTCCGACCTATTCTAATGCTCTAATCACACCTCCCTCACCCATTCGACTATTAAAATTTTAAATTTCCTCTTGGCTTTTTGATGTGGTTACATAATATATTACCTTATCAATAGGCAAACATCTCTCAAATAAACAATAAAAAAAAAAAAAAAAATAAATAAAAAAAGTTTTGTTTTTACACAAAAATTGTCTATCTCCAGAAGGTAATCCAGTCCACCTTATTACAAAACTATTTACAAGAAAAAAAAAAAAAAAAAAAAAAAAAAAAAAAGTTTTGTTTTACAAAATGTTATTCGGTAATCCGTCACCTTTTACAAAATATTTACAGTTATATTTATTATTTTGTAAATTGTGACTTTTTACAATAAATATCCATCTCTTACAAAATATTATAGAATATTGACAAAAGAATTTATTATTTTGTAAAAAATATTTTATAAAAAATAATTACAAGTTAATATTACTATAAAACTTAAGTGCCTTGATTTTACTTGAAGGCGATGTAGAAAATGCCTAAATTTATTTATATTTTTAAATATATATATAGATCTCATCCCTAAAATTTTTTTATATTTATTCCTTTCCTCTAATATTTAAAGTGTAATTCCGTCCTCATATAATAACCAAGGCACAGACTGATAATCTCAAATAAATTATATTTAAGATGACTTGAACTTCAAATTTTTCACTTTCTATATCAATGAGAAGTGAGAACACTAACGAGGGAACTAAAAATATATATATTTAGAGGAGTAAAAAAATTTTCAAAATTTGACGTACAAAAATGAAAAAAATTCACTATATTATATGTAAAATATTAAATTTTTTATATTTTATAAGATAAATTTTAGAAATATTTGAAACTAAGAGAGTGAGCCTGCTATTATCCACCCTAGTTCAGTGGTCAAAGAAAATTAACAACACAACACTTGATCGCTGGAGATAATTTTTTTTAAGGTATTAAATTAAAGGATTAATATTTTCATTTATTCCAAATAAAAACATTTGATTTTTTAATTATAAAATGGCCCATATGCATAAATTCTATGTTTTATTTTTATATTGCAAAAATAAACTTTAAGCAAAATTTTACGTAAGGAGAAGTGTCTCATTGTTCGACAAAAAAAAAAAAAAAAAAAAAAAAAAAAAACAAAAAAAAAAAAAAAAAAAAATTAATTAATAATATATAATAATAGTAACGAAAAGATTCGTTAAAAAAAAAAAAAAAAAAAAAAAAAATAATAATAATAATAATAATAGTAACGAAAAGATCGTCCTGTGTTATAACAAGCAACCTCAGTTTATTTTTTCTACGTCTGTCTGTCTCTCACTTCATATATATGTGTGTATACTTATATATAAACCTCTCTATAATCTAATCCCGCAAACGCCTTCATTACAGCTTGTCTCCACTGCTTTCCTTTTCTATCATAGAGTACAGAGAAAGAAAATGGTGAAGTTCTCCAAGGAACTTGAAGCTCAACTAATTCCAGAATGGAAGGAAGCTTTCGTTAATTATTGGCAACTCAAAAAACATATAAAGAAAATTAAACTTTCAAGAAAGCCGAAACAATCTCCAGAATTTGACCACGAATGTGGTCGCTCCATTTTCAACCCGATTCGTTTCCTCTCCTATAAACTCTCCAACGCTTTCTTTCGCTCCGATAGCAAAACTGAGATCATTCAGGTAAACTATTAAACTTCAATCCAAAGCTTCTTTAATATATAGCCAAATCTTCATTCTCGTCAAATCGGGTTTTCCGGAGATATGATATGTCCGTTTCTGTTTCACCCAGCCCCGAGAAGTCGGAGGTGTTTCAGATTGTGTGTTGTCTTTTTTATCGGGCTGTCACTATGTCCAATGTATCTACCCGACCCGATATCTTCTTTTTCCAATTTTGGTCCTCAAGTTTTCACTATCCTCCTCCTTACCACTAAGTAATGTCTAAATATAATTATGGCCTCAGTTACTTTGAGGGGAGTATATAGTTACCATTAAATTTGTTAAATGCTTAATGATGTTTGGTTCTTTTTTTTTTTTTCTTTTTATTAGCTGACGCGATTTCATGTCTCGAATATTTGAACTTCAAAATAAAATTCACTTGGAAATATAGTATACTGTAGTCCTTTAACTATAATATTGAATTATTAGTTCGATGCCGTTAAATCTCTTTTTTTTATTAAGTTAGGATTCAAATAATGTCTAATTTAATAATTTAATTTTACTTTAAAATTTTCTATCCATGAAATTGATTAATAGAAGTTGGACACATTTTGGCGGAAACAAATGTAATGAACGGTATAAAATTGGAAATGTCATATTCAAGAAAGCATATGGAGTTTTCTTTTTTTTTTTTTTTTTTTTTTGTGAGACTCCACATTTTTGTCGCGGAAATCAAATTGTGTAAATGCAACGGGGTTCTATATATAGAAATTGAGTGAAATGTCTATGTATTCAAGTATAGTCTCATGTGGCAGTTTTCTTCTATTTTATTTTGCTTTATTTTTTTCTCAATTATTATAAGCGATTTACTAACTAATATAATACTATTTTTTCTTTCATAAAATAAATATACTTTATATAATAAAGAAAAACTCTCATCTCAGTAACTAGGATTATGTTATGATGTCCTTAATGGTTCACGAAACTATCGTGATGGATGAGGAAGCAATAAATTAACTGTGGCACATTATGCCACTCCTTTATAAGATCCTTATGTAAATAAGACAATAAGGTGTCATCTTATTAAGATAAATATATCATATACATCTCTCTCAATTTTTATTTTTTGCTGCCCGTTACATGTTGTCAGTAAGGCATTATAGTTATGAGAGAGCGCACCTAATCTTAGCATAATGCGTAATGTAAGTGATTCAGCGTGATATTATTTATCAAAGTAATAACTAGCAATTTGTGCAGATTTTGTCCGAGAGAAGACGAGATGGTATTACTATATAGATAATAATTACTAAAATTTTTTTTTTTTTTTGAAAGAATTATTAAATATGTTTTCCGTTACACATTGTTTGTCTATTATATCTATATAATATTTTATTTAAAGTCTGTCGCGTTTTTTTTTTTTTTAATGCTAAAATATGAGGCAGAATATTTTTTTGAGGAAACTTGATGCAAGAGCCTAGAATTAATGTAGAAACATCAAATTTTATAAAGCGCTAAAGAAAGTGAAGAATATGCGCTTGAAAGAGAGGAGAATACTTCTCTTTTTCAAACAGCTTTCGATGTTTTTGTATAACCTACAAAAGCAAATGCTAATTACCTCTCTCTCGCTCGCCCGGAAGCCCAATGTGGGCGCCGGAATTATTTCCTCCTCCTTCGTGTGTTCTTCTCTCTTCTACGAAATTCTAGATTATTACGTGGTTAGCTTTCTTATTATGCTTATTGCGATTACGATTCTACCCAACAACCATAGAAAGTAAAATTTCATTTATATATATCATAATTATTTTTTTTTTTTTTTTTTTTTTTTTCTTCAATTATATAAGCGATTACTAATAATTAATACTTTTTCTTTCAAAAAAAATTTCTTTAAAAAAGAAAAACTCACGACGGTTATGTATGATTGCTAATGTCACGAAACTATCGTGAATGAGAGCAATAAAGTAATGCATTATGCCCTAAAAAGATCCATGAAAAAGACAAAGGTGTTGCATTATAGATAATAACATGCTCCAATTTTAATTTTGATGGTTACAGGTGAGAAGCAAAGCTATGGAGGACCAAGATGGTAATGAAGATCAGGATATTATTTATAAGACTGAGCTTGTGCAGTTATTTTCCGAGGAAGACGAGGTATATATATATAATTATAAAATTTTTTTTTTTGAAAAGAATTATAAATATTTTTCGTACACATGTTTCTATATATCTATATAATTTTATTTACTGGGTTTTTTTTTTTTAATGTAAAATAGGTGAGAATATTTTTTGAGAAACTTGATGAAGAGCTAAATAAAGTAAACCAATTTTATAAGGCTAAAGAAAGTGAATTGCTTGAAAGAGGAGATCTTCTTTACAAACAGCTTGATGTTTTGTTGAACCTAAAGCAAATGCTAAACCTCCGTCGCCGGAAGCCCAATGCCGGAATTATTCCTCCTCCTTCGTGGTCTTCCTCTCCTCGAAATTCTAATTATTCTGGTAAGCTTTTATTATTATGTTATTTGCTGATTACGATTTACCAAACATGAAATAAATTTTATTTTATATACATAATATTTAATTTGTTTTCTCTTTATATATTGCACTCTGGATTGTGTGGAATTCATATCTCTATAATTCATATTGACTTATAATTCAAGATCATCATAACATAATTAAGTGGATAAATAAAAAAAAGTTATAGTGTAAATAAAACATATTTGAATTTCTTAATATTAAATTTTTGTCTGTCTCTATTTGTTTTTGAAAGCGCATGATAAAAGAAGAAAATACAGAGAAATTGAAACAATAAATGTAGCTTCTGGTATAGTTGATAATGATAGTGATGACTAGCAAACCATATGGCCTACTTCTAAATTATGCATGTTGACAATGAAATGGAAAATCTCTCATTTATGATAAAATTCACCCCTAACCAAACCCAAATTACAATTTAACCATCGTAAATAAATAAATAAATAAAAAGGAAACTCACGCGAGAACAAGTTATTTCACTATATATTGGATTACAAAAATTATAAAACATGAATAGTAATTTATATAGTACTTATTCGAATTCAAAATTTAATCCAAATGGTGAAATAATTCGTTCTTATAATAGCATACGAATCAGTAAAAATATACAGTTATTATTATTTATTAGAGTTAATTACCATTTCATCTTGAACTTAATTACATAAGGATTTGATAAGAACAAAATTGAGGGACTCAATCAAATTCCAAAAGTAAGGAGTTTTAATTAATCAGTGCATATAAGTATAATTGGTAAACTTAAATACTAGTATTTCATTATATATGTTACATGCCATTTGCATTTATTAGAGAAAACAAAATCTTTCTATTAGCAATTAACGCAACAATACACCGAAAGACCACGTAATATATATATATATAAGAGATAAAACCATGGATTATATATTTAAATTCTGAAAAAAAAGGTCTTGATGATTAGAGTATTAGAGCATAACAAGGAAAATAATTAATAATTTATTATTATTATTCCTCAAAAATTTTATTTTTATTTTTCATGTCACTTTCCATAAAAAGAGAAAAATGTTTTTTTTTTGGGCATGGCAATTCTTTAGGGATTCTTATAAAGTCGATGATAACTTGACGTAAAGAAGTTTAGTTTCGCGTTGTCTCCTAATCTTATCACCACCATCTGTCAGTCATAAATTGACAATCTTCCATAAAAATCTTCCATAATCGTCTGACCGTTCACACATTAAATATTTTCTGTTGCAAGCCCGGGCAGAAAGCGAGTGACATGAAATGAATTACATTTCTTCAATTTTAAAGTAATTAATCCTTAATCATTATCATATATACACACATAGATTGCTGGTCATGGTAATTAATTAATTAATTAATTATTGCAGATACCTCAAATGGATCGAATGATATCCCGGAAGAATCATCAGAGACTGATGAAGTAATTGCAGCGCTAGAGAAAAATGGTGTGAATTTTGTTAATTCGGCAACGAGGTCAAAAACCAAGAGAGATGGAAAACCGAAAATGGCTTTGAGAATTGACATTCCTGCAACAACACCAACACGGGCAATCACAGCAATTACATCAATGCTTTGGGAAGATTTGGTTAATAATCCCAAAAAAGATGGCTCTCGTGATTTCATTAACAGGAAGAAAATACAATGTGCTGAGAAGATGATTAGAGGTGCATATGTCGAGCTCTACAGAGGCCTTGGCTTACTCAAAACTTACAGGTTAATTATACTTATACATAATTATATTAATTTAATTAATTCTCAATTATGAGTAATATAAATTCTAATGTATATTATTTTTTGGATGCAGCTCCCTGAACATGATGGCTTTTACAAAAATACTCAAGAAATTTGACAAGGTAATGTATATTATTTTTTTTTTATTTTTTTCAATTTTTAGATTTTAGCTTTTTATGACTTTTATTTGGAAGTTAAGATAAAAAGCTATGAAGAAGACAAACAGAAACCACATGAAGAACACTGTTCTAGTTTGAAGACAGTTAATATCCATATATATATATATTTCACATGAAAAGTGTGAGACTAACAACTTAGCCTCCAAATATCATTATTTATCCCTTACCAAACCCTTGACTCATGATTCAGAGATTTTTAGATCTCCTCCTTTAACTTTCTTTTTCTAATTTATTTTTAAGTGTAATTTCGTACATCAGATGGTCCAAAATGATTAATTAATACTTGACAATCTTTGATTAATTTATTCACCGAATCATTTATCTATAGCGTATATTAATATAGAATACTTTTATAAAATGACGGAGTCAGAATTGAAAATTAGGGTAAAAAAAATTTAGAAAATATTAGTAAGCAAAGAAATTTATAAAAAGAACACTTTTGAAGATAAAAATGATAAATCTCACTATTTTATGAAGTAATTTTGAAAAACTAGCATTTGTTTATATATAACAACAACAATTATGCTTTAGTCTGAAACTAGCAAGGGTCGACTAAAGAAGACTTATATAGAAGAAATTTTATTTTTATTTATAACTCAATTTAGTATTTATTTAACTTTCCACACAAGCAGGTATCGAACCAGCAGGCATCAGCAAGTTATCTAAAAGCAGTGAAGAGATCGCATTTCATTAGCTCTGATAAGGTAATTTATTATCATATTAATATTAATATTCTTAGTTTACTTATTTTAAAACGCGTTGAAGAGTGCCGTATCCAAATTACCTTTAAGTCCACCAAACAATGTCTATCCTCAAAATAACATTCCGTGGCAAAAAAGTCAATAAAGCACAGTTAGTTTTAAGGTAAACCGCAAGTGTAAGAATGGGAGAGATTAATAGTTTTTGTAATAAGCATAATAAGAATATTATTATATTTGGTTGATAAGGTTGTTAGACGAATGGATGAAGTGGAGTCCATATTCACAAAGCACTTCGCCAGCGATGACAGGAAAAAAGCAATGAAATTCTTGAGACCACAGCAGCAGAAAGATTCTCACATGGTCACCTTTTTTGTTGGTAATTTTATTTTATTTTACTTAATTGCTATAATTAAGTTGGTTTTCTATAAAATCATCCTTATTACAAAAATATTACATTCACAACTTACTTAAAAATGAAATTAATCTCATGACACTACAAAATAAATATTCAATCACTAAATTATTCTTTGATTTGCATTACATGATGTTTTTTATGCGAATAGAACTAATTTGTAATCAGGGTTTAAATGAGTTGAGCATAGCTCAAACCTGTTAGGCTCAAAAAATTTTAAACTTGAAGCTCAAAAATACTTACTCTTTCTCAAAAAAATTACTACGGTTCTTATCAAGTGATGAATAAACTATCACCTTTGATTTGCAATATGCAATATGATTAGTCTCTTTCTTGAGTAAGAAAAGGTGCATAAAGATTTTCCATTGACAAGAAAACATGCTAAGCCACTAATCCCACTACTTCAATTTGTTGCTTATGGAATTTTATTTCAATTTGACAAAGAGTTTCTCTTTATTTTATGACCCACAAGGAAAGTTTGTTCCTGATATTCCTGAAAATTCCTTTTTTTTCTCTTTTTTGAATTTATTTTCAATTAATTGCTATATTAATTTATTTTTACCCTTTTTGTTCTTGCTTACTTGCAGGTTTATTTACTGGTTGTTTCGTGTCGCTGTTTAGTGTATATGCAATATTGGCACATTTATCAGGCATTTTTAGGCCAAATGCAGAAACATCATCTTATGTGGAAATTGTCTACCCCGTTTTCAGGTGCTCACTTCTACAAGTTTTCACCTTCTGATATCTTTTTAACTAATATAATAATTACCAAAATTAAACTAAAACCACTATTTATTATGCAAAATAGAAATTCTTGATGGTGTTGCATATTTGTTTTTGCAGTGTGTTTGCCTTGCTAAGCTTGCACTTATTCATGTATGGGTGCAATCTTTTTTGGTGGAGAAGTGCAAGGATTAATTACAATTTCATTTTTGAGTTCCAACCAAACACAGCCCTAAAGTACAGAGATGCATTTCTCATTTGCACAACTTTTATGACCTCTGTAGTATCTGCTATGGTAATCCATCTTCTGTTAAGGGCTAATGGCTTTTCACCTACACATGTTGATGCCATTCCTGGAATTCTCCTCCTAGTGAGTGTTTTTTTTTGGGTTCTTAATTAGCTATTTTTTAAGTTTTAGCAACGTTTAGTGCTAATTATTTGCAATTACGTTACCAGATTTTTATGGCATTCCTCGTTTGCCCATTTGACTTCCTATATCGCCCTACACGTTATTGCTTCCTTCGTGTCATGCGCAACATAATCTGCTCCCCATTTTATAAGGTAAGTGTTCGTAATTTCTAACTTTTGATTATATTAGACTTGACTAGACTTGGCGTATGTGTTCACTCATAGAACAAACCAATCAAATTTTCAGTAAATAGTTAGAAATACCATCATTTGAAATAAAAAAATTTCAATGATTTGGTTCATGAGTGAATCCATATATCGATTCCAAGCAAATCAAATCTCTTTTTAATTTAATTTTGTAATAAGAGCAAGATTGCGAGATTATAAATTTAATAAGAAAAACATTAACACTTTACAATAAAAATTCTTTGAATGCAGGTTTTGATGGTTGACTTTTTCATGGCAGACCAACTTACAAGCCAGGTGACTACTTAATTAAATTAATCTTTTCTTACTTATTTCTTAGAGTCAGAGGTGATTTGGATTAATGAAATTTAATATTTTATAGATTTTATTAGATTTATTTATGTGATTTCTTATAATTTAAAGAAATGATAAATTTAATTATAGTCACAATTATATATCCTTTTGAAAGATAGAAAAATCCTACGTTTAAGATAGGATTTCTCAATCTCTCTCTCTCTCTTTTTTTTTTTTTTTTTTTTTTTTTTTTTTTTGTTGAATTACTGTAATTAAATATTTAAAGAAATGAATAAATTAATTATTAAGTTCACAATCTATAAATAATAAATCCGTGTTTGAAAGATAGAAAATACCTTTACGTTTAATGATAGGATTTCTCAATCTCCTCCTCGTCTCTTACTTTTTTTTTTTTTTTTTATTTTTTTTAATTTTTTTTTGTCGGTGTGTGTTGGTATGAAGTAATAATCGCTGATTCTCTAAACTTGTTTTTTTCTGCATTTTCTCTATATTTTTTAATATATTCATGTCAAATTCCAAACGACCACTTAAATATCTTCTTTCTATTCTTTCTTCAGCTAATATTTATAATCGCCAAGATTGTTTGATTTTCCATTTACCAGAATACTCACTTACATAAGCGCACTTGAATCATACGCTTTTTTTTTTTTTTTTTTTTTTTTTTTTTGTGTGTGTGTGGATGAGTATATCGTGTCTCTAACTTGTTTTTCTGATTTCTATATTTTTTATTCTGTCAATCCAAACGACCACTTAATATCTTTCTTTCTTTCTTTTCCTTCAGTTATTTATAATCGCATTGTTTGATTTTCCATACAGATACCATTACTAAGGCACTTGGAATCTACAGCATGCTACTTTCTTGCTGGGAGTTTTCGAACACATAAATTCGAAACATGCAACAATGGAAGATTATACAGAGAGCTCGTATATGTAATTTCATTTTTGCCATACTATTGGCGAGCCATGCAGGTAAAACAATACTTCTTAATATCTATCCAGCTTTATAGTGTGTGTATATATATATAATGCAAAGTAAACTCGTATTATTCTGAATTTCAGTGTGCAAGGAGATGGTTCGATGAATGTGACGCGAACCATTTGGCAAACATGGGGAAATATGTTTCCGCCATGGTAGCAGCTGGTGTTAGACTAACTTATTCTAGACAGGAAAACCACTTATGGTTTGGTATAGTACTGGTTACTTCTGCCATTGCTACTGTTTATCAGTTGTATTGGGATTTTGTTAAAGACTGGGGTCTTCTCAAACCAAAATCCAAGAATCTATGGCTAAGAGATGACCTAATATTAAAGAACAAAAGCCTCTATTACATTTCCATTGTAAGTTCTCTTTTTCCATTTAATCAAACCTAATGCTTCGAGCATTGATTAAAGAAGTGATTAAGTTATTTAGAGACTAATTCTTTTTCTTTTACAGGCTCTGAACATAGTTCTTAGAGTTGCTTGGGTGGAGACTGTTATGCGATTTCGATTTAGTATTGTTGAGTCAAGGATGCTGGACTTTTTCTTGGCTTCTTTAGAGGTTATTAGGCGAGGTCATTGGAATTTTTACAGGTAAAAATTTCTGGTTATAAGTGCTTTGTACCAAAGCAAAAAAAAAAAAAAAAAAAAAAAAAAAAAAAAAAAAAAAAAAGAAAAGAATCTTCTGATACTGTAAATGTTGCTGAACAGATTGGAGAATGAGCATTTGAACAACGTCGGCAAGTTCAGGGCAGTGAAAGCAGTTCCTTTACCATTCCGGGAAACCGATTCTGACGGTTGAGAGTGTTTATTAATTGATAATTTTATTCAAGTCAGACTCCTGACAAGTTCATGCTGACATGGAGAGGCATTCAATATTTTGCAGGACTGGGATTGAAATTTCACAAGCAAAAGAAAAGGAGGAATGTGGTATTATCCCAGTCAATTCTTCACAGATCCCATTCATTCTGTGAATTTGTATAGCTCCAAGTGTATTGAAAAAATAACAGTTCTTGTAAATTTGGAAACTCTAATTTCAACTTCATGATTTAAAAATATCCAATGCCTTTCTTTTTCCATTACTAATATGAAGAATACATTTAATTATAGAGTATTAGATCACTGCATTTATTCTTATATATGTTATTAAATTGGGGTAAAATAGAAAACTGACAGGAAACAGACAACAATATATGAGACGAATAAAAAAGGAGACGAGGCCTATATACGCGGGATAGATGGAGTACAATCCTCTAAATTTGATGTTGTTGTCTCCTTCAAAGACTCTGCAATTCCTTTTGAGAGACAGTAAGCAGTAGACTGTATAGTAATCATCGGATTAACACCAACGGCACTAGGCAAAACACTAGCATCACAAACAAATAAGCCTTCTGCTTCCCAACTCTCTCCATTCTCATCAACTGCTCCTTCTTTTTCATTAATCCCCATTTTGCAGCTTCCCATTTGATGAGCAGAACTATATATCATCCAATCTTTTACTGGTGACAGAATCCCTCTACAAGGAAAAACTGTGTCCAAAAACTCTTCCAAGTCCTTTTTAGTAATCCCTTGACATTGTAGTCTTTGTCCATCGCTTCTATGTGTACCCACTTCAACTGCTCCTGCAGCTACTAAAATCCTGAGTGATTGCCTTAGTCCTGCCTTGAGATTTTCCATGTCGAATGGATCTAAGTTATAGCTTATTCTTCCTTCTGTTTTGACTTTACCGGCGCCTCGATCTCTTACTATTGTTATCAAGTGAGCAGTTCTTGAATACTTTACTAACCTTTTCTTTATGTCAAGTCCAGATTCCCATGGACAAAGTACACCATATGCAGATGGCCCTAATTGAGGAGTTTCTATTATAGCTCTAAGATTGTTGTCATTTGAGATTACCTTATGTACTGATGTAATTATTCCTCCTTCATGACATTTTCCTTTCAAGTCTTTGTTCGAATCAGGAAAATAGCCCCAAGCCATTAGTACCGGATGGAGATGAAGATTCTGACCGATGTTTGGATTCTTTAATCCACTTGAAATCATTAAAGGTGGTGTAAGAAGAGCTCCACATGCTGCTATTGTTATTTTGGCCTCTATTTGTAATCTTAAATGAATGTTGTTGTTTAAGGTTTTTGCAATTACTCCCAAGCATTTCTTTTGCCTTCTACTTCCTTTTTTCTTATTTTCTTCTAAAATGAACCTCTCTGCCTTACACCCTGTTAAGATTACTGCTCCATGATTAACAGCATCAACAAGCCATGTCGTATCAGTACCTTTCTTATCTCCTGTTGGACAACCATACCCGCAAGACCAACAGTAATGCTTCTCCGACGAATTTCGAGGGACTGTGTTGACTTCAAGGCCAAGATTTTCACACCCTTTTCTCAGCACTTGATTTTGAAATCCTTCCTCCACGCAATTTCTTGTAACTCCAATTCTCTGACAAACAGTTTCCATAGCAGAAAGATATTCAGCGGTTCCAAACAGCTTGAGTTTGTGATTTTCACTCCATTCTTGAAGTAAAGATTGTGGTGTGTTAATACAGGCTGACCAATTGATAGCAGAACCTCCTCCAACCGCTGATCCTGCCATTATCATTAAATTTGCATCTGTAGTTGGAAGAATTGCTCCTGATTCATATAACTGGTCATGAGAAGGGCCTTCAAGACCAGAATAATCTTTAGCGGTGAAATAGTTTCCTTTTTCAAGAACAAGAACCTTCTGGCCTGAAGTTGCAAGAACAGCAGCAGCAACACCACCACCACAGCCTGAGCCAACAATGGCAACATCACAATTGATTTTGCAGATTTTCTTCTTTGGATCTTTTGTAACTTTGAGGCCTTTTTGGGTAAGATTGTGCATAAGGGTTGATTCATTTTCTTGCATAGTTTCTATTATTCCTTCTTGAAGAGGCCTTTCTTGTGGAACTTGGTTTGCAATCTCGTCAGTGTCTACGGAATAGCCAATTGCTTCCCAAGCTGGATTTTTACCATTCTCATCAGCCTACACAAAATGAATAAATATAATTTAGGAAAAAACTCAAACTTTTGGGCTCCTTCCTTTTTTTTTTTTTAATTAATACTAAAAAATTGGTTGATCTTGTACATTAGGTGAATTATTTGTTCAAATTTAAATCGAAATTGTCCGTTTTGGCGGCTTTATTTAATTAATCAATTGGAATCGCAATCAACCATTTAGTCCTAATTGTCCACTAAAATTAATAATTAGGACAATGATATTTGAACCTACAGTTTATTTCTATTGTTTTTTATACATTTTCTTTTTTTCATCCAATAACAAAAAATTGCCTCAGACTTGTTTTATTTTGCACCTATCAGATTGTGACAGAAACCTGTAATCCGTTCTTCAAATAAAGGTCGAATTAAAGTTCTTTCTTTCAAGTAACAATGCAGAATAAAATGAATACATATACACCCTGATATATCAGAATTTCTATAATATTACTCCGATCTGCCGATGAATAAAAAAGATCAACATTGTTTTCTACAGAATATGCATGTACATTTATATAGCAAGAAAACAATAACAAGCCGTTAATATTGGAATATAATTTCGATCTATTAGATCTTTCAACCAATAAAAAAATTTATATTGGTCTTTTTAAAAAATATTCATGTACATATATGCAGCAAGAAAACAATAACAACAAAAATAAAGATGTCAGATATTCCAAACCTGTAGATGTCAATATTAATCAATATTAAGAGGAATTGTTCTCGATCTAGACCTGGAAATAGGTGCGTAAACCAGAAAAAAACAAAAAAAAAAAAAAAAAAAAAAAGATATTCCCAACCTGTCGATGTCAATATTAATCAATATAAAGAGGAATGTTCCTCGAGCTAGACCTGTGAAATAGGTGGCGTAAAACCAGAAAAAACAAAAAAAAAAAAAAAAAAAAAAAGAAAGAAAAAAAAAAAAAAAAAAAAAAAAAAAAAAAAAAGGAAAGAAAGAAAAAAGGCAAAATAGATACCTGAGCGAAGAAAGTGTAAAGGCAGCCAACTTTGATAAGCTGGAAAACAAGTCTAATAGGAGTGAAAAATCTGTTTTTGAACCACTTCTGCATTATTTTCTCTCTCTTATCCAAAGAAATACTTGAAAAAGTATTGAGATAAGGCCATTTCTCTCCAAAACAAAGAGACCCACAAAGCAAAAGTGTGCCCAGTCTTGTAGATAAAGCCAGCAATACCAATCTCACCAGAATCAAACCTTCTATTATTGCTCTCTTCACTAAAAGCTCTGCAATCTTCACAGTAAAATACCCCAAAATAAATAAATTCCTCAAACAGTATATTCAAATGAAACTGACAGTAGTTGAATGAACTAGAAATGGTTCAAAACTGTATATTTTCTTTTCATGTAAAAACAGATTGGTTAACAATTTACAAATAAATATTACCTGATCAGGAACAGGGTTCTCAAAGCCAGAAGCTTTAAAAAAGGCCTGCACAGGCTTGCTAATTTCATGACCTCCTTTTCCTGGAATTGAAATTGGAGGCAACACAGTCTCACATATACTAGAAAGTGCTTTCATCTCTGCTGAAGAAAATCCATGTCTATATTTCCTCTCTCCTGTTTTTCCTTTCAACAAAGGATGGCAATCTTTTCTCATTATTTTTCTCTCTATCTTTCTCAACCTTTCTCCTTGATTCTCTCTCTGCTGAATTTTTTTTTTTCCCCTTTCCTTGTCTTACTTAAAGAGTGGAAATTCTGAATGTTAGTTACTTGTATTAATGTCAAGGTTTTCAAATTTACCTGTCATTGATTTGGTAAAGGCAGAGAAATCCAATTAGATCGAACTCATATTTAATTAAATATATATTAAATAGTATTATTTAAAATAATTTTTGACTCGATTATTAATTAAATATCAATAAGATAGTATGATTAAAAAATAATTTTAAATTAAAAATTTTTTATTAATAGCTCGTACTTTGTTGTTATTAAGTTAAAAATTATATTCTGGTTTTTTTTTTTAATTATTTATAGTTCTATTTTATTTTTGTTTTTTTAAATAATTTTAAATTAATAATTTTTATTAATACTCGTACTTGTTTTATTAATTTAAAATTATATCTGTGTTTTTTTTTTAATTATAATCATTGAATTTCATAAAACGCAGATTTTAAGTTTGTGATTTTCTATCCGTGTCAAATTATACTAAAAAAAATAAGACATTTTGTTTCTAAATCCGCAGAGGGTTTTTGTACCCTAACAAGATAATAAATGACTTAACAAACAAAATAAATATCTTTTATTTCCGGGTTGGAAACTCAACCTCACTCTTTTAATTTGTAACTTTATTGGAAAATACTTAATTTCTCATGTAAGTAATTGAGAAATATTGAAACCAAATATAGAAAATCAACCTACCAACAAAGAGTATTAAATTTTTTATAAGATAATAGATAAACATTGCAATCAAATATAGAAAAATCAATTTGTATTTGACAAATTTGGGGGAAATAATCAATTAATAATTAATTATTCATATATTTACCATAAACAGTATCTTATGTCTTTATGTAGCAAACTATTCATCAAATAATTATGCTTTTTGCTAATCAGATAGTGGTCTGATTAGTTTTCTTACTTGTATAAGGAGAGGAAAGTCTTGAGTTCGAGTCGTCTCGACCATAGGAGCTATCCCTATTGTGTAGCCTGCCCCTTGCAAGGTGCAAATCAATAAGATTATGTTTATTTCCTAACAATAAATAACTTACCTATATACACACATATATGGATTGATAAAAATGTCATTAAATATTTTAATTTGATTTGTTACATTATACTATATAAGATACATATTAAATACGATAAGAATATAATATGTTTAATTATTATTTTTAATTTAATTGGTGATAATTATTTCTTAAAAATAATTCATTCATGAAAAATAAATGTAATTTATTATTATTTATTAAAAATATATATATAAGATTTGTTATACTGTCATGAATTGCATTTTGAGCTTTTTACTGTGAGGCGCTAGTTGAATAAAATTATATGGTTTTAAATTAATATTTTTTATATAATTATGTTATTTAAATTATTTAATGTTACTATAAAAAATAAATTAATATATAATATGATGCTATTATTAATTATTTACTCTTTTTAATAGTATCTATTACCATTAAATCAAACAAATTATTAGTAGTTGTCACGCTTATTACGATACCTTAATCAACTGTAATTAAAAAAAAAAATATTATGCCTATCAAAATTATTTGTTTTATGTATCTTTTTCTAAGTTGTTGTGTATAGAGAACACTCTACTTTTGAACTATATAAATATAATCTATGCATTTCTGATTTGGGAACAAATTTAGTTTACGAAAATGAAACCAAAAGTAATGTTTTTTTGGTTATTGGGTAATTTGAACCAACCTGAACTCCACATATTTTGGTCATGAAAAATGTTTTGCCGGCGACGGTTCAAAACCAATTAATGAATGGGTCCATCACATTTTGGCTTCCCGATCTCACAACCACTTTTATACTGCTTGTAATCTGTTTTCTCCTTTCCGTTCCATGGCATGTTTCAAACCTGCTTTTTATAAACCGTTTATTGTTATGTTATTTATTATATTAATTTAAAACTCTCGTAGATCATCGATGAAAATAACTTTATTAATAGAATTTGAATTCAAAATCTGATAAAATAATTGATAATTATTAAAATAAATAATGTTATTTCCTAAACAAGAATTTCTAGAAGAAAAAAAAAAAAAAGATGTTTGTTAGAGGCACCATGCCATTGATTATTAATCAATACCTATGCTTTACAAATATTGAAAAATGGCTTTCGTGATTTTGATTCTCATAATTAAATAAAAAGAGGGCTCCCCATTAAACCCCAGAAAGAAACGACTCATCAATTGACATTAATTTCTTATTTGATAGCAAACAAATTTGATAAAAAAAATAATTTTCAATTTTCAATTTTGCACATTTTTTTATCAATAAAAGATTTTATTTTCCAGATTTTATTTCAATATGAATTATGCATAAAAAACTTGATATGATTTGGCATAATTTAATTAATAAATTTTGGATAAAACAAAAAATGTGCATCTAAATTTTAAGTATTGCATGGGAAAATTGGGTCCACTGTCGGTCCTAGTCTTTTCTAAGTAAAGGGGAGTGGTTCTGTGAAAGCTCTCCCAGTATTTAATGGTAATTAAGAAATAGGACCTCTGAAAGCTTGCCATCTGCCAAACCATAAAATGAAAGACGTGTACGTATATAACAAAAGATGTTTTTTAATATATTAATATAAATGCATTTGCAAAAGTAATCATTTTTGAAATTTTTTATTAAGAGAATTTTATATTTATAAATGATTATTTCAAATTACTGCTTTTTTTTTTTTTTTTTTTTAAAAATTCCTTTAATGCCAAATTATAAAATTCAGGATTATAAAAACTATCCCATATCGGAAACCCCAAAGGTCCCTCCGGTGAGAGCCGAGATCCCAACGCAACTAAACTACAACGGGAATCTGCCTTTTTTTTTTTTTTTTTTTTAAATCTCTTTAATCCAAATTATAAAATATTTTCAGGATTTATTAAAAACTTAATCCATTATCGGAAACCCAAGTCCCTCCGGTGAGAGCCGAGTATCCCAACCAACTAAACTACAACGGAATCTGCTCATTTTACTTAAGCATACTAAATTTAAAAACAGATTACAGAATTGATTCATATATTTTATTTACTTTACTTTAGGAAAAATTTCATATAAAATAGAATAAAAGAAATAAAAAAAAAAATGTAGAAGACCTCGTATTCCACAATTTCCATGTACAATTCCAACGCTGACAAGCATATAAATCTTCAGGAAATCCCATTTGTTTATCAAGCAGTTGTTATTTTTAAGTATACAACAATGTAAGATATGATAAGGTTAATAGTTAACACTTGGCCTCTCAAAGATTCTTGTATATGAATAAGCTTTTACTTCAATAAATAACATAGATTATAATCTCACATAGCATACTGATAGAACATAAACAACAGCTCATAATTATCCAGACAATCCTCTTCTCTAGTCAAACTACAACATTCTCAAGAACACATCATGCCAGTGATATCTGCCTCCAGAGTGCTGGACGATCTCTTGATATAAGGAGGACTCGAGATGCCGAGTAGTCGAACGAAGGTGAATACAAGTCGTCTGGTCCAATAACATCTTTAACCTTTTGGTTACTACCATAATCAACATTGAAAGACTGCATCATGTCATCTTTCAAGGCATCAAAGATGAACAGCCCCAGCCCACAAACACCCATTATAAAGTCTGAATTTCCCCAAACCTGTGTTATGGCTGAGTAATGCGAGTGACTGTTGGATTCTGGCAAAGAGTAAGTGCTGACTATCCCTTGTTTGCGCAATGAGAACTGTTGCACCTGCGAACAAGATTCCTTTTTCCCTGCAGACCTCGTATTGGTGCAGCCCATGTAGACCAAGTCTCCACGAGTGAAAACTGACTGAGTGCTTACACCGATTTTTGGTATCTTAAGACCTATGCCAGATGGATGACGGAAGTCCAAAATATTAATAGAGTCAGCGGTGCAGAACACGCCATCATTTCCTTCAGCTTCTGCTGAAGTAACTCTGCATAGCAAAAATCAACTATATGAGGACGGGAAAAAAGAATTTTGCTACAGCTTCATCATGCATGCACTTAAAAGGCAGATTGAATATTACATCTTACTCATATTCTTGTGAATGATGGCAATTGATGCGAGAGAAGCGAACAATTCAACATAGTATTGATGATTCATGGGTTATGGGTGCAAAATGTGTCATCATTTCTATCAGAACTATACAAATACCTTAGCAATGGCAGAGAAGTTTTCCGAAGCTTCTTACAAATGCATTCATTTATTTTGAAAGTAACGAACTTTTTCAAATATCACATGTGCTAATACCAATTACATGCATAACAAATATATATATTTTGGGAGCAAAGAGACACAGGTACAAGGTATCAGATAGAAAAAAATGATGAAACAATATTTTTGAAATCAGGGGTTCAGGTATCAAGAAAACAAGATGGCTTCAGGTAGAACAAGAAATGAAGGAATGATAATGCACACTCTAGATAAAAGAAGGAAAATCTTATAGAAGAACATGCATTATCTTTTGGTCAAGTGAAGATTGTATCTTCATTTATGTCAGAAAAGAATACCTGCAACAAAGTATAGGAAACAACATGGGAAAACAACCAAATATGTCTCTAGAAAAAGAATGAAGAACTAGTTAAGTTGAATTAATTCAAAGTTACTGGAGTGAAAAAAGATTCAATTATTTCCTTTAACTTGAGGAACTTACTGGCAATTCAATATCAAATGGCTTACAATTGATAACAGAACTCTGCCATTGCTTCTTTTTAATTTTTTTTCGTATTATGCAGTAAGAAAGTAAATCCATTCAAAGAACTTAAACCCTCTTCACTTGGCAAAAAAGTGGCAGATTAAAATCTTTTCCAATCAAGTATCATACAGGAAAATTCATAGTGAAGTTCAATTGGGAGAGCAAGTGAACAGGCAAATTCAGATAATTTGAAAATATGACAGCAACAAGTGACAGAACAGAGAAAAGGCTTTTACCTTTGCCGAACTCCACCACCTAATTCAGCATCGGTATTAACCACATGGAGAGCAGAGATTTTTCGACCAGATAAAGAAATAGATAGCAAAGATTGTTGGTTGAGAGAGTTCACATCCCACACAGAAATTGTTTCTGCTTCAGCTATAACAACTTTTCCTCTGTTTCTCCACTGCAAAGGACTTGAATTATCCATTGCTAACACAGGCTTCTGTACCTCCCATTTCATTATTTGCTCTCCGTCACGTATATCAAATATTTTGACCACCTTTTGAGAGCTGGCAGTAGATACAATAAGAGGCCCACATGGTCTATACCACCATTGCCGAGTTTCTGGCAACGATAAGCTAGACAAAGCATTTCTTCTATATGTAGTATTACTGGGCAAGGGACCGAGAACTGTTCTTGAAGTGGTTGTTTCCCCATCTTCGATGTGAAAAGCTCGCACATCTTTGGTATAGAAATCCCATGAACAAAAACCTGAATCAAGAGTATTACCAGCAGATGCAGCCACAACATATCTCCCTGAGCATCCATCAGCACTAGGTGCACGAATTATCCAACAATCTCTCCATAAATTAGGTGAGACTCCCATTGGTGGCTTGTATAAAGCCTTTTCCTGGAACCAATTATAGGCCATTAGTAGACTAAATCATTCTCAAACAATGCATTAATTTAATTGAATCATTGCAGGCACCAGTCTGCTTGTAATGAGAAATACATGATCCATCAGTAACTTTGTTCATATAAACATGTTTTAATTAAGAAAAAGATCGTTACAGGCAGAATTCAACAAAATCCAGAGGATTCGGAAATATCACACATTAATCAATCAAAGAAAGATCCGACAATTATCCATACAATTAATAGAAATGCCTATCGTGATTCCCAGCACAAGAATCAAACTAGGGACAAAGGCCGATAGAAGTCCAAAAATCTCGTTTAAGTATTCTAAATAGACAATCACAAGCTAATTGATAAATTTTTTCACATGAAAGATACATGCAAGTTATACAAGCATTTGCATCAATCCTGAGCCTTGTAATAAAAATTGACAAAATACAGAAAAACAGATGATCAAAAGCACAAAGCAAAATTGGAATTTCACCAGCAAACCGCACTAAATTATACTTATACCTACCTCACAATTGGCGATATCATAAAAGGAGCATGACCCATCATCATGAGCAAGAAGAACAGACTCTCCTTCTGACACAAACCATCCTCCTGTGGAACATTTTGTGCCAATTTCATTCACTTGATAGACACAAGTATCTTCAGTCTCCTCACCAAATACAATTGTATGTCTATTTTCCTGGTCATCAAACTCATCAAGTGTCTCATCAGTTGTAAGAACAAGCTCCTCCTGACACTTCCCAAGGAACATGTTCCAAGAATCTTGTTTTCCTGAAGCTGCTGCACTATCAGTTTCTTTTACTTCACAAGATTCAAGTCCCACCTTTGTGTCTCCCAATGTTACCTTTGCGTCTTCATTATTTAGTGAAGCCAAAAACTCTACTGCTATTGGATTTTCTTCAATAGGGCTCAACAACTTCTCCTTGATCTTTGACTCACTAGTTGAGTTAATAACATTAGATTCATTATAATCCTGAGAACTTCCTGATGATAGCTTTGATAATGTTCTATTTCTAAGCAATCTATGATGAGGAAAGAGTCTGGCTTCAAGATCCTCATTATTCAATCCTTTGACTGAGCCCTTTCCCTGATCAACTTTCTCATCTTCACTCTTGTCACGGACTTCATTTTCTCCATTTTCATCAGCACCAATTTTGGATGAATCACCCCCAACATGTCCAATTGCCTTTTCGATCCCTGAAATCTTGTCCTGGAGATCCGAAATTATCACCTTGGATGCATCAGGGTTATTCATATCCAACATCTCCTTTGTCTTCTTAATGTCAGATGCAATCCTCTTGACTTTGCCTTCTAGAAAAGCAAGCTTCTCATGAAGCTTACTCGGATACTTAACACCAGTCTTGTTGCCAGTAACATCTTCAACCAATCCCTTATCCTTAAAATTCTCTAGGACCTTAGCTTTACTACCACTTTTCTCCCCTGACTCTTTTAGACGATCAAATTTAAAATTAGACCCAGATTTACTTGTGCATAACTTATCTATGTTAACAACTTTTTGGACTTTTGCGTCTGAATTTGACTCACCAACATCGTCAAACTCGCTTGATTTTGTCAAGCTTGAACTTAAAATAACCCCTTTGTTGCAATTACCATTCAAAGCCTTTAATCCACTTATATTGTTCTCATTTTTCTCGGCTTTCACATCATTCCGTTCGCAAAATCCGGTCTTTTTCACCAACTCCACACCAGAATTACTATTTTCTTTGCAATCCCTAAAACCCCTAGTACTATTTTTTTTCCCTGCACTCGACACCACACGACTATCACTCTCTCCCTTAGAAACCCTAGAATCTCTGAAAACTCTAATGAATTCAGATGGGCTTGAACTCCTACCTCTTGGCGCAGATGAAGTGGACCATCGCATGCGACCTTCGACGCCGTCACTCACTGGAACAACACCCGCCGCAGCCTTGTCGACACGCGGCACTGGCCGGAGAGTCGGCTTCTGAGTCCGAGAACTGAGCCTGGGGTTCTCTTTGCCAGAGAGTGTTTTTTTGACCGCGGAAATGGAGTTTGGGTCTGCGGGCGAAATCGGAGTTAGAGTTTTCGTGGGTTTTTGGACGGCGGCGGTTTTGTCAGCGGCACCGTTTCGGTCCCTTAATCGGCGAGTTGATGGGGCTGACATGGGCTTTTTAATAATAAATAAACTAAACTAAGAATACAAAAAATTAAGACTTGGGTTTTAGAATCGATTTAACAGAGTGGATTTGTTGAGGATTTGAAGATGGATAAGAAATGAAATAAATGCAATTATGAGTTTACGAGTTTAAATGGGAAGGATAGTTTTGAGCGGGAAATGGTTCTCATTTTGATTTTTGAAATTCTCTGAAAAAAGTTTTTGACTTTTCTATACTATTTTAAGGTGGGTGCGTTTTAGTAATTTAACCTAAAGAATTGTTATGGATGGCAGGCATCCACATGTCCAAACTCCAAATTAGTCAAAACCAGAATATGCGAGTCACCACCGCCATTGATATATGCGGAAGAAAGATTCCGAGCAGAAAGTACCATAACCATCCAAATCATAATGAAAGAAAGCAATGAGTAAATCAAATATCTTTTTGTAGTTGGGTTAGTTGGGTTTCTTGGTTTTCCATTTTCTCCTTTGGCCACAAAAATTCAGGGAAAAACGCATAAAGTTATGGATTCTCTAAGCTTTCATATTCGCCCTCCAACAATTCCATCTCAATCTTCCATTTCTCCATCTGTTTCTACTAGATATACACTTCCTTTGAAAATTCACGCTTTGAAAAAACCATCTTCCCATGTATATTCGAAACGACATCGTTTGCATAGTGATGTTGAGGTGAGAAGTGTAGCTGTGAGATCAGCTCTTGATGAGGTGTCTGTCCTTGACCCACCTTCTCCTTCTGAAAGTGAGGAGGGGAAACGCGAGCTTATTGCTTCTTTGAAGCTCAATTTACTGGTTAGTCTTGTATGCTTCTCATTAGGATACTGGTTTTATGAATTACGGCAATTCTCGGTTTTAGTTTGATTCAACTGCTTTTATTTCACTGCAAATGGATTTGACTTTCTCCAGTTAATTTCCTTCTAGTTGATGATTTTGTTGTAAAGAGTTTCTGTTAGTTAAGCTTTCATTGAAGAGTATTTGTTAATTCTAGATTCATTTGCCTTCTAGTTGATGATTTCGTTGTAAAGGGTTTTTATAGTTCAGTTTTGATTGGAGAGTGTTTGATTGATTCTAAATTCTAAGTTCCTCTCTGAAAGAGGTCATGTTTTAATTTGGTTCACTGCTGCTTAGTTCCTCTGTCTGCTATTCTGTAAGCAGTGCAGCAATTTTATCTTTGCCAATGAATACTTGATTAATCCTTGTGTTTTGGTGATTTTAAGTTAATTTAGTTAGTAATTGGCTAAGGCTCATTATAACCGCTTGGTTTCAATAATATGCTGTTAACATGATAGAACTTCCCAAGACCAGTAAAAAGCTTATGCCTTCTTTCTAAAAATATGAATTTGTGCAAAAGACATGGAATTAATGTTGGCACAATATAGTTCCACTTTAAAACTGGGAAGGTTACGTCAAACGTGTTTTCAACTATCATGGTGCTATCAAAAGTTAACTGTTAGTTAAAGATTTTAAACAGGGAAGTCAAGCCTGCAAGGTGCTAGCATTATGTGAGGAGTATTTGATACACTTATGCGCAATTACACATTCTTAGGGTAATGGTTTGAGAAAATTGCTCAAATCCTCTAAACAGTCTTCTAGTGTATCAACTGAGGCAAAGCTAATATAAGTCTTTTTATTATCTAAGAAGATATTGTGAGCACTTTTTCTTACGAAGGTGGAGCTTGGAGAGAATAACTTATTACAATAATTCTTGTTGTTAATCTGTGTTATCATAGGCATTTTCCTTTGTGTGTCCCGTCTAATTTTTGTGCTTTAGACTAAAATCTTGAACATCAGAAATACAGATGGTTTTAAAGCTAGTCCATGGGAAATACAAGAATGGCTACTTGGATTATTTTTATTTTTTCATTTGGGAATTTATCTTGATATGTAGACAGTCAATTGCAGAGTGTCGTTTCTGGTCTTAACAGAGGCCTTGCTGCTAGTGAAGATGATCTACAGAAGGCAGATGCTGCTGCCAAGGAGCTCGAAGCTGCAGGAGGGCAAGTGGACCTCCCAAATGATATTGATAAGTTGCAAGGAAGATGGAAGCTGATATATAGCAGTGCATTCTCATCTCGCACTCTAGGTGGAAGTCGTCCTGGACCTCCCACTGGAAGGCTGCTCCCTATTACACTTGGACAGGTTTGCTATGGGTTTTCTCTCTCTTATTTTTGTTTCTATTTTGGCAAATGGCAATTCTGTTTTATCGAGTGATGGTTTCAATATAAATTATTTTCAAAGGAATACTGATTGCATTGATTTTTGGCTTCTGAATCTATATATGGCTTCTGGATTAGGTCTTTCAACGGATTGACGTGTTAAGCAAAGATTTTGACAACATAGTAGAGCTTGAATTAGGTGCTCCATGGCCTTTGCCACCTTTGGAAGTGACTTCCACATTAAGCCATAAATTTGAACTCATAGGTTGGTGATGCTTGCTCAATTTGTATTCTTTTTTTTCCCTCTAGTTCTTGTTATTGTGATATGAATTTTTTTTTTTTTTCTTTCTTTAAACTATAAAATAACGTAATTTGTATGCATGTGTGGATTGAGGATAGGATCTGCAAAGATTAAAATAACATTTGAGAAAACAACAGTAAAGACAACTGGGAACTTGTCACAACTTCCACCCTTTGAAATACCTCGAATCCCAGACGCGTTAAGGCCTCCGTCCAATACTGGAAGTGGTGAATTTGAAGTTACTTATCTTGACGCTGATACTCGTATCACCAGAGGAGATAGAGGCGAGCTGAGGGTTTTTGTGATCTCATAATTGTTTACATGTGCAGCTTTTATACCATGCTTTCAAATTCAAGGCTCTCAGAAGAATCTTGTCTATATCTTTTTGTATTCTGCATTTTTCCCTTCACTGAGTGTATGGCTGGTGACCTTTTTTTCCTCACAGGAATAAAGAATCCATTGTACAATTGTAAATTTTACAGTCACAGTCAATTCTTACCACTTCACATTCTGATCTCTAAGAATTGCCTTTATCATGTTTTACCGTACTTAAAAAATGAGCTGACCAGGAAACTTATCAACTGTGCAAAGTGAAAACTTTCTTAAACAATGTTTTCTTATTTTTATAATTGAATTATTTTTGCTCACAACAAATGGAACCTAAATATGATTTTATGTTCACTTGCTATCCATAAAATAATTCCATAATAACAGTAAGGATAATAATGTTTATTATTCTCAAAATAATTAAAATAGAAAATTACATTTTAAGCAATAAACTAGAAATGTCAATGGCTTCAGTAAGATTTTTCGAAGATCTTGTGCCATGTATTATAAGTTTACTTGCTATAACTATACATAAAATAATAAATAACGCTGAATTTTCTAATTTATGATGGGGGTGCATCAGAATGTTCAGATGCTGGGCCGTAAGAAGCTGGGCTTGCTTTTTTTTCAAAACCTGGCTCACGGAAAATGTATCAAACAATGGAAAAGAGACGTTAGATACCAACGGCTATTTTCAAGTTTAAACTTCAAACCGTAATTTCAGAACTTTTCAATTTTATTTTCATTTTGTTTCCTTTTCGTCTCAATACCACTCTGCAGCTCTCTCTCTCTCTCTCTCTCTCTCTCTCTCTCTCTGAATCCTTTTCAACTCAGTTTTGATTTCTCTAGAACAGATTCAAAGCAGACCTAAAATTTAATTGGGAAATGCCCATTAAGCCTCCTACTAGCACTCAATTTTGAATCTTTCCTCCAAACACTCATAAAACCTGAGATTCCATTAAAGCAACCTTAAAAATCCAATCCCACCATCTGGATCTCTTTCAAGATGGCCCCTACACCTTCTTCTTCCAAATTTAACCAAAACCATTCGATCAAGACGCCACAATCTAAACACCGTCTCAATTTTACTTCAGTAAGAACACCAAATCCACACCCATCGCCAAACCCAAACTCAACTGTCAAAGAAAACCCTCAAGCAGACCATCCCATCGAAGTTATTGGTCGGATTCGAGATTATCCAGATAGAAAAGAAAAACCAAATTGCATCCTGCAAGCGAATCCTGATAACCAGACTCTTCGTGTCCGTGCTGATATTGGGTACAGAGATTTTACACTTGATGGGGTTTCTTTCTCTGAGGACGAAGATCTTGATGCCTTCTATAAGAAGTTTGTAGAGTCAAGAATCAATGGGGTTAAATTGGGGAACAAATGCACTATTATGATGTATGGGCCAACGGGTTCAGGTAAGAGCCACACCATGTTCGGGTGCTCAAAGCAGCCGGGGATTGTGTATCGGTCATTAAAGGATATATTGGGGGAACAAGAAGAGGGGAGTGATGCAGAGAGATCGGGGATGTGTACATTTGTGCAAGTTACAGTTTTGGAGATATACAATGAAGAAATTTATGATCTTTTGTCCAGTAATGGTGGGGGTGGATTTGGATTTGGGTGGCCCAAGAGTGGTAATGGATCCAAGGTAATCGATTTAGTTGTTGAACTTATTTTATATCTGTTAGATATCTGGATTTAGTTGTTTAATGGCTTTCTGAAAAAGAAAATCTTTTTTTGCGTTATTGTTTGCGACCTAGGATTCTGTCTGATTTGCTTAGCCGAGGTTGGCGCAGCAATATGTGTTTGTAGCTCTTTTTTCTTTTTCTTTTTTTTTTTTTTTCTTTATACCCACATGTTAGGATGCGTGATCACATCCTGACCTTTGAAGAAAGAATGTTCCTTGGAGATCCTGTTTTCTTATTTGCTTAACTACAAGCTATATGAAAGATCGAAGCAGTTAATTTTTGATATTTTTATGAAGATAGGTTCAACCATAATGGGTCATGTACTGAATTTCGTAAGCCTGCTTGTGATATCATTCTAATACAAAGTTCCGTAGGTGTCATCTTTCCTGAAACTGTAGTCCAAAAAGTTTTCAAATTTAAGACATTTTCCTTTATTTGGAGTGGTAATGAGAAGGTACATACTATTATCAATTCTAGATCGGTTTGATGTTATTCCAAGTGAATTCTGAATGAGTAATCTACATTTGCAGGTAAGACTTGAAGTTATGGGGAAAAAGGCCAAAAATGCTACTTTCATATCTGGAACTGAAGCTGGAAAAATTTCAAAGGAGATTCAGAAAGTAGAGAAGCGAAGGATAGTTAAGAGTACCCTCTGCAACGATCAAAGTTCTAGGAGCCACTGCATGGTATGATTCTTCAGAAACTTAACCTTTGAAAAAATCCTACCAAAATTGTTTTTAGCAGAAAATAATTTTTGGTTTCCATTGCCTTCTTGTACAGATAATCCTGGATGTCCCAACCGTGGGTGGACGGCTTATGCTTGTTGATATGGCAGGCTCAGAAAATATAGAGCAAGCAGGGCAAAATAGTCTTGAAGCAAAGATGCAGGTAAAATGCTTTTATGATTTCTTTACCAGGGAGGTAATCATTTTTATTGCATTACCTGGCCTGGCATCCCCTTTCAAAGACATTTATCCTAGTCTTGAGAAGGAACACTGATTTTGTGCTTCTTCCACTGCAACAACAGACAGGGAAAATTAACCAGGGAAATATTGCATTGAAGAGAGTTGTTGAATCTATTGCTAATGGAGATTCTCATGTGCCCTTCAGAGATAGCAAGTTGACAATGCTACTCCAGGTGATTTCTCATTCATTTTGATCATAGTAGTATGATGTTGTCTGACATCTAATTTTGTGAGGTTTTCTTATTCAGGATTCCTTTGAGGATGACAAATCCAAAATTTTAATGATATTATGTGCAAGTCCAGACCCTAAGGAGATACATAAGACAATCTGCACCCTTGAATATGGAGCCAAAGCAAAGTGCATTGTTCGTGGTCCTAATACACCATCCAAGGATAAAGTTGGCACTGAAGATTCTTCTGCAATAATCTTGGGATCCAAGATAGCTGCCATGGACCAATTTATCTATAAGCTACAAATGGAGAACAAACTCAGAGAGAAAGAAAGAAATGAGGCTCACAAACAGCTCAAAAAGAAAGAAGAAGAAGTTGCAGCACTGAGGGCACTAGTAGAAGGGAAGGAATCTGCAGCAAGAGAAGAAGAGATCAACTTGAAAGTGAATGAGCGCACAAGGATGTTGAGACTCGCATTGGAAAAGAAGTTGGAGGAATGTCAGAGAATGGCTGAAGAGTTTGTTGAATTGGAGAGGAGAAGAATGGAAGAGAGGATACTGCAACAGCAGCAGGAAGTTGAAATGCTGAGAAGGCGCTTGGAAGAGATTGAATTTGAACTATCCCGTCCCAGGGATGAAAACAATGTTGAGAATAGATCGAGCATGGATGGAAGCAGCTTTGCCATAAGGCTTTTGGGAGTTTATGCTGATGAAGATCCAGGAATGGTAAAATCAATGGATTTGGATATGGGTGATCAAGAACCATTTGTTCCTGATGTGAAATGTGTAGATATGGCTGCTCAAAAATCTAACGGTGGCATCCTCAATTTGGGTAATTATCCTTATTTAAATCACTTGAATCAAGTGGTTGATCACGATGTTCTTGCACCGAAATATGGTGGTAAAGTATGTCTGAGCACTGTATTTGAGGAAGAAGAAGTAGAAGAAGAGGATCATAGAGAAAAAATGGATGATGAGGAAGTGGAGAAAGGAGTAATAGAGGTAAAGAGGGTCATTGGTGGCTCTGGAATCAACCTCGATGCAGGCTCTTCTCCTCAGAAATTTGAGACCTCTGAACCATCTATTCGAAATTCAGATTTGAAAGACAGATCAGAGGGTAAATGCCTTGGTTCAGAATCTCTTGAGGATGTTGATCCAGCGTCATCTAGACGATTGAGAATCCAAAATATATTTACACTTTGTGGGAACTACAGAGAGCTGTCTCAACACAATATAACCCCATTACCTGCGAAAAAAATGCTTGAAGATGCTGATCCTCAGTCAACTCCATTTACAGGACTTAAGGAGGATTCTGTAATAAGAAATTCAGGCAAAGAAAATTCGCCAATCCTGAAAGATGTTCCCTTGGTGGATTCTGGGAAAAATCTGTTTGATCTAATGGCACTTGCTTCAGATGAGAATTACAACCCCTTGAAAGAGAGCAATGATGCACAGCCACAGATTGATGTGCATGTGAAGTGGGAAACATCTAAAGTAAATAATGGGAAGTTCATCACCACACTTAAGGTTGTGAGGAGTGCGACACTTGCTGACCTGAGAAAGCTGATTGAAATCCATCTTGGTGCAGAAAATCAAGCATTTTCTTTTCTTGTGCTTGGAGTAAGTTAATCCTTCAAATTGAATTTACCCTTTTTTTTTAAGCAATTTCATTTCAAATATGATTCTACCTTTTTCTTATCATATGCCTACTTGTGAATGTTGCAGGATCCTACTGGAGCACCTATTCCAAAGGAGAAGGAATCAACAGTGCAGGCTATCAAACTCCCTATATGCAACAACCAGTCTCAAGGTTACCTTGCCTGTTTGCGACCATCGAATCATCTCCCACTGAGCCCTGTCCCAGCAACTCCAATGGAGAACAAACTCCCGTTATCTCCTTTGGAGAACAAATTATCATTTACCCCGAGTTCTTGCTTGTCAGTGCAATGTGACGGTTTATCACCCAAATTAGCCCAACACCTAAATTCCACTCCTTTCATTACTTTACGGAAACATTAGTACTGCTGTTTTGTACTTAGCTGATATGCACATGCCATGGTCGAGTATATATGCATATACTCTTTTTTGTGCTTGAATTGTGAATTTTTTGTCAATATCTGAAATTGAATTTGTAATGCAACTATGTGTTATTATTATTATATATAGCAGCACTAGTAATTCTATGTTTTTCCTTGTTATTCTTATTCTTCTTATTATTATATGGCAGTAATAACATTTCAAATTCAAAAACCAAAAACTACAAGCACTAGAAGTAGAAACAACCTAAAAAAAAAAAAAAAATGTCTATGCTTTTCCCTTGTTATTCCTTATTTGCTTCTTATTATTAATATGGCAGTAATACATTTTCAAATTCCAAAAAACCAAAAACCTAGCAAGCATCTAGAAGTTAAGAAACAACCTAACAAAAAAAAAAAAATATGTTATTACAATGTTATCCTTTTTTATTTATTTTTTTTTCTGAAAAAGGGGCGTCCAGTTTTTGTTGTTTAATTGTCCCTGAGAAAATCTATGATTACTATATATATCATTTCTTATTTTGGATATCTAAAAAAAAAAAAAAAATGTAACAATTTATCCTTTTTTTATTTATTTTTTTATGAAAAAGGGGAGTCAGTTTTGTTGTTTATTGTCTGAGAAAATTATATATATATATATCATTTCTTATTTGGAGAAAACGATAAAGTACTTGTGATATAAACTACAGGTCGTTCCCTTGATAAAGTTACTATCGTTTGCCCTCCATGAAAACCTGAAAATCTCAAATTAATTCCAGGAATTCATTTACATTTTCCTTTATCAGTTACGAAACGCAATGGAAATTGTAAACTTTTTAAATAAAAATTACTCTATTAAATAGAACAATAAAGGCATCAATGATCAACCTTTCATTATCAGCTTTAAACTCGAATTTCAACAAAACAGAAAACTATAGCATTTGCCACGTGGCTTTTCATTTTTTTCCCCTAATCTCGGACAGGAATCATAAAAAAGTAATAATTTTGATAGACAAGTAACTATTTTGATAGAAGCAAAGTGTATTTCTGAGCAAGAAAAAGAAATAATAGGAATAACTTTAAAAACTTATCCGCTAAGTTCTTTGAATTTACTAATTCAGAAAGCAGTTTCTCTCACTTTTTTAACTTGTTCTATAAGGTTTCTGTTGCTATCCTATCAAGTTTTTGGGTTTTTAGAGCCGATCGCCATGGATGGATTAGGAGCTTGGAGGTCGCTATCTGCCCAATCCGATTCCGATGAAGAGGTTTTTATATTCTATCATTACTGTTCTGTGGATATATGGTCATTTTTTGGTTTAGAACTTTGATTACTGTTGGTATTTTGTTCTATGAAGTGTTTGTGTTTGTGTTTGGTTGCTGAGAAAGAAAACAGGGAATATGAGAAGTTGCAGTTTAGTTATAATGAAAACATGAAAAAAAATAATAGTTATATCAGGTTGGCTGTTACTTAAGTCTTCAAACATTGACTCCCTTTTGACTGCAATCTGATTCTAAATTAAACCCTTATTTCTCTTCATATTGAAAAAACCCAGAAATTCCTAAGCATTTTCCTTTCAACTGCAAGTAGAAAAATCTTAAATCTGGATAAAATTTAAATCTTTTTAATGCTGTTTCTTTTCATTTAGACTGTTGAAGTATAAATCTTTTTTATGCTATTATGTTAATTTCTTGGCTGTTTCAGATTTGCATGTATTTCTTGTCAATCAACCCAGTCTATATGATAAAGTCACGGTTAAACAGGCTTTTTAGGGAATATGAGGTGTACCTGTAAATTAGCAAAACCAATTTTCCTTTCACTGGATATGATTAAATATTGACTTTTCATGATTTTCATAAAGCAAAACTGGATTTTGACTCATTGAATTCATCCAACTTTACATGCTTTTGAGATACATTTCTGCATTATTCAACTAGATTTTCTACTTTTTCTTTTGTCGCAGATGGATCTTTACGTGAAGATTATGAAAACAGTGCCTTTAAAATTAAAGGGATCTGAGACAATTAAAAGTCTAAAAGCACTGATAAATGAGAAGGAAGGGATCCGTGAAAAGAATCAGGATCTATTCTTTGATGGCAATTTGCTCAGTGATGATCAAAGGCTAGGCGATTGTGGTATTCAAAGGAACTCTACTCTCCATCTAATTGTCCAGAATTATGTTGTAATCACGGTATATGTCAAAATGCCAAATAATGAGGGAATTATCAAGTTGGAAGCAAGAGCTTTTGATTCTATCTGCAACATCAAATCAATGATTCAGGTAAAGAAGGGGATTCTGTCTGATACATTCACTCTTGTCTATGGCGGACATGTACTGGAAGATGATAGGACTTTGGCCTCTCTTAATATAAGGAACAATTCAACAATAAATTTGGTTTTTTGTCAGAAAGAGGTTCTATCCGTATTTGTGAAAGTACCAAGCAAAAATATCATACAACTCTCAGTTAAAGTCATGTTCACAGTTAATGACATCAAAGCAATTCTTGGGAGCGTGATTGGGAACTCGGACAGCAATAATTGGTATTTGCTTTATGCAGGAAAATTGCTTGAGGATTCGAAAACCCTGGCCTTTTACGACATCAAAGAAGAATCCCTCTTAGAGTTTTCCCCAACTAATATGCAGATATTTGTTAGGACTTGGATGGGGAAAACTCTGACCCTTAATGTGAGGGGAAGTTATACTGTGAAAGATATCAAAGCCAATGTATTTCAGAAATTGAAGATCCCCATTCATCTTCAGAGTATAGTGTATGCTGGAAAACGGCTTGAGGATAACAACGATCTAGCAAGTTACAGAATCCAGAGGCATTCTACTCTCCATATGGTTTTTGCTCCCTCATCAAAATTTGTTAAAATGCGGTTAAGTAGTTTCGGCCCCAATTTACCAGCTACAACTGATATCCGTAGTTTGAAGGTTTTGATCCAAGAGAAAATCCCTGAGGTGAAGGAAGTATTGTTCAAGGGAAAGCCATTGCAAGATGAGCATACACTAGGTCATTACAAGATTTGGAAGGATGCAGAACTGGACGTTGTTTTTTAGCGTTTATAAAAAATCCTGTTATGATATCTATCTGTCTGATAAGCATAAGTATTAGGAGTGACCTTTTTGTCTGTTTGGGTCAAGCGAGGGCGAGGCAGATGTAAGGACTTGAAGCTCTGATTTTCGTACACTACGGAGAAAGCATCCAACCGGTTCTGGAAAAATATTTTTGTTTTGATTGTTGGATGCTAGTCTGCTTCATTTATATATAGAATTTTGTGTTTGTTAATTAACCCCAGTATGATCTTTACATTTATAATCTGCTCTGCATTTCCCTTCAACTATAATATCTTCATAGTAATTAAAGAAAAATTGAATTATAACATCTTCATAGCAAAAACATTAACCTCCGATCTCAAAATTCTTCCTCTCATACTTCTCCTTCATATGCTTCCAAAACTGAACTCAGATGGCCGGCGTTAATTCTTGGGTCCTTTGCACGGTCTCAGCTCCGCAATTATTAGAACCTGCTGAAGATTTACTTTCTCTAAATTTGGAGTCCTTGGTCTTTCTTCCCTTGGGATGTCTTGGAACAGACGAGTGATCATGGGCAGGTGATTCAGCACCAAGGTTAGAATTCTGGTGATGATGTTTTGTGTTTCTACTTGGGGAATCCATCGGGTTGTTTGAAGATCGATTGCGTCTCGAATTCTTTGGTGACTCTGCATCATTTGATTGGCGCCTAGAATGCTTTGATCCATCGTTGCTTCTGGGTGAGTCTGCACCATTTGATTTGCGCCTTCTTCTATGCTTCGGCTTCTCACACTGATTCGTATCTATTTAGATTACAGGCACCATCATTAGCATATTTATGTGTAATAATTTTCTTACAATCAGATCGCAAAAATGTAAAGGCAAGCATATAACAAAATAATCAAACCAAGTAGTTCTTCAATACTATTTGGGACTCCATTTGAGATCTCTTGAGATGACTTAAATTCATTCATCTGCAAATCAAAAAAATTAATGCAGTCAATTTCCCAAAATAGTAACTAGAGGGAAATGATTTTCAAGAACATTCGAACCCAGCTAGGCTTTGAAGCAGATGGATCCTCCCATCCAATATGTGCAACATGCTTTACATCTGTAGGAGACCCAATTTGAAATTCTAGTTCTTTTTCCTCTGAAAAAAAAAAATTTGAAAAAAGATTCAATTTTTTTAGCTTTCAAATTATTATACAATGAAATACATTCTTGACATACGTACCAAACCGTTGTGCAAAATATCTAAAACCTTTTAAGAGACCTTTCATCTTTTGACTTTTCATGGTGCTCCTCAACTTTAGAAATGGAGAACCCAAAAAAATAATAAAAAAAAAAAACTAAAAACATACGATCATCATCCTTCAGTAATTGGAATGAAGATAATGTTTTCTTCAGTCTCTTCCCGTCATAGTCATCATGAAGGAGAAGGAGCGAGAGAGAGAGGAAGAAGAGGAGGGAGACTGTAGAATTGGAAATCTCCAAATCTGCCACTCGAAGACGCGAATATTTTTATTTGATGGCTGAGTGGTGACGCGGTTTCTTTTCCAATCAACACCAACAAATATCCTGTTTTTCAGGGTAATGTAAAGGGAGCACAACCCAGAAATGTCGATCCTTGCTGTGCTATATTTGGTGTCGTTTGTTTTGTTTGTTTATGATGTATCGTTTCTCTTTTATGAGAACGCGGGGAATTCGTTGAGGGGAAAATAGGCAAATTACAATTTAGTCCTTTATGGTTGATCCTAATTATAATTACATTTCTCTCATTTGATAAATATATTAATTAATTCCTGAGATTAAGCCTAGTTAAATAATTTAGTCCATTGTCATTTGAGAGATTAAATATCCTATAATATTAGTATTTTATTTTTCACTTTTGATATAAATGAACTCAAATTAATCATTCATTTACTAATAATTAAAATTAACCATCGTAGAAAAAGAGAAATTTATTTAACTTGTCTTCCTACTTCTAATAAAAAATATAGAAAGCGAGAATTCTGTCGATAAAGGTGGGAAAATGAGAAGTCTCATTAGCGAATGTAGGAAAGAATTCTCTCTGTTGGGTAGCCCACGTCATTCATTCCAGTCCATTAGGCATTAGGCCTCCCCTATATCCGGAAAATAAAAAGTTTCTTTGATAACAAATCTTGTGTTTTTCTACTTGTATTTGCCCTATAATTTGTACGCTCCAAAAAATTATTTTACTCGAATTTCTTAAATTGGATTTGGAGGATCTTCATATCAAATTATAAATAAAATATCGATATATTACTATATATTGGATATTAAAATATGAAAAATAAAGGATTTTATTTTCCATTCCCAGGAGAATAAGACGAGGGAATTCCCCAGGTGAGACCACAAGCGAAAAAGGTTATAATCCCACCCGGTTGCCAGCCCTACCTACCGACATAGCAAAATATACCACAATGACATGCTTATTTACCTCTGGCTGATAATAATAATAATAATGATAATGATAATAATGGTCAGGTTGAAGAGGACAATTAGGCTCACAATAGTAACCAATCAGACAACAAGAGAAAAGAAAAAGAGGCTAGATGAAAAGGTTGAATAAGAATTCAGAAAAGGTACATGGTGTGTATAATTTGAAAATTGAAATTGATAATTAATCCAAATCTCATCTCAACTCATGCGAAGTCTTTTAAGCCACCAATTTCTGTAAAAACCACTGCTGTTTATCAGAAAGACCTCTTTCCCTATGAAGCTTTCATGTCATCCAAGCCAACAGAAGCCTGCATCAAAAACTTGATTTGGTGAGCAAACTTAAACTGGTATTTCAAAACCATGGTAATAAAGAATATGGAAAAAACTCCAATACACTAAACTTTCTAGACCTCCAAATTTTGAACTCATCATTTATTGTTCAACCTTTTCATGGCAAACATTTAATTTCTTTACTTTATTTTTATTCTATCATATTTCTTCCTTTCTATAAAATTCTCGCCTTCTTTATATATGTTAACCATGGAAATATGGCTGATCCCAAGTAAAGATTTTACTGTATAGTTTTTAAAAATTAAAAAACATATAAAATTATAAAAAGAAAAAGAAAGTCATCAAGGATCTTGGACAATGTTTTTAATGGAATCATACCAGGAATTTGTGATTCTCTTCAAGAAATGGTGAAAAGGTTGCACAAAAGTTTTCCATGTCAACACCAATGTCACCTGAGCCGGCTATTACTTCCATGAATTTCTTCCTATCCGGAGCAAGCTTCATCGCAACCTGTAACCCAGTATCTATAAATAAATAAGTGGCTCTTTTATACTTTTTGTTAACTTAAAAGGTGCATGGAAAGAAGAAGAGAGTAGCAACTAAGTGAGGGTTAGTGAGAACAGTAAGTTGAAGTATCGTTTTGATTGACAAAATTACTACATTTTCATACGCTGCAAAATCTGCTGGAGTTGACAGATAATAAAAGTTCTAAGCAATTCAATGTCAAAGCATTTTAAGAGTAAATCATTTTCAAAAACCATCAGATCAGTAAAACCTAGGATGTGACACTAATTTACCATTTTTGACAATATTAATTAAGAAAATGAAGAAAATTTTCAGAATCAAATTGAATAAGCATAGGATTGAGGACATTACAGTGAAACTTGAACTAGCAAGCCAGCCGTGAAACTTTTTTAGTGTCTTGCCATAGGAATCTGTACAGGCTTGAGACATTGCCCAATCAGGATGAGCAAGTAAATTACGGAATAGCTCCACTAGGAAATCCATTGCCCTGAAGAATCACCAAAACATGATAATAATGATTATGAAAATAAGAAATTGTAAATTGCTTAATCATAAAAATATCTCCAATCGGCTGCGATTCACAAATTGAACCCATATTTTCCTTTTCTGGTTTACCAATACCAAAGCAGTAATCAAATCAAGAACATCAAGCCAAAAAGGCTGATCAAATGCTAACATTCTTCACTTCTTATCCGGTTCCCTATTTTGCATCTTAACTAATTTTTAAGACTGGAAAGTCATGCACACGGATGCAATTCAAATGAGATTTGCAAAACATTTTCTTGTACTTGATTTGTTTTTAAGGAAATCAAACATAAAAGGCTTTTAATCATACCATTCACCAATAAATAATAAACAAATTCCAATAATCTTCTTTCAAAATCTTGCACATGAAAGAAATTATTAGGAGTTGCAAACATTAACAAAACTTAACCCATTATTTGTTACAAAGTTCAAAGAAAACAACCAACTGAAATTAAACAAGACATTAACAATATAATTCACCTGGTTAGCCAAAGAAGGCCATTAGCACAACTAGATGATCCTTTAGCTGTTTTAGCTTCAACCTCCTCTTGAACCATAGTGTACAAGTGGTTGTATTTAGTTGGATCAGTAGAATATTTAGCTTCCAACCTCTATTGCCAAAAAGTTACAAACGGCACACGTATAATCTTATATCAAAGTAAGTAATAATCCTATAATCAGAAAATTATGCATACCGATATGTTCCCGCCGATATCAGATTTTACAAGAGCCATTGCCGCTCCAAATTTCTCTGAATTCAGAACATATTGGAATTAATTTTCAATTAACAATGATTTGAAATAGATTTTAACAAAACACGAGTAGTTAATTGAGAAACGTACCAATAACAGGCAAAATTAGTTTGCAGACATCCAAAAAAGGCTTAGTGAGCATTTCTCCTTCTCCAGATTTCACGTGCTTCATTCCTTCTAGTGATGGTGTAAAGACCGTTCCCTCCATTTTAACTCTTCAGTACAACACATAAAAAAGCTTTGTTATTAACGAGATTATTATTTCAATCCCTGAAAATGGAAGAGGAAATTCAAAAATGGTAATTGTAAGGCTGAATTGTCAGAAATTAGCATCTGATCTATCAGATCAGATCTATCACCAATCACAAGATCACGTACTATAAGATCAGATATCTGCGCACTGATACCTTTGAACCGAAATGACAAGAGAGCAGAGCGCGAGATTGATGAAAGTTGCAGAGCGAGTCAGGAAGAAAAAGAATTGAAATTTGAAATGGAAGGTGTGAAGGTAAAGACCGAAGGGGAACCTTTAAGAAAGGTGAAAATATCAGGGAATTAGATTCTATTAATTGACGCTTTTTGAATTATTACTTAAATTGGAGAGTAACTGGTCGTGCCGGTTACTTGGCGTCACGTTTCCAGATCGAAGTCATTAGCTGTTTGACGATTTTTTGAGTCTTTGATACGGCATGTCGTTCTAAAAGGTGATCTTATAGGGCAACCAGTATTGTCTTTGGAAAATCTGTATAACCTTTGAACGACCTTTCGTTGCAAAGCTGTCATTCCCTATCAACAAGCTGTCCTCTATGAGTTGCAATCGGTTCTGTTGGGGTTTCTTGACAAGCCTGGTTATTTTCTGAGTTAATGGATTGGGCTTAAGCAATCTGTCTATTTAATATATTAATTAAATGAAAAAGCTGAAGCAGATTCATTGGCATAGCACAATTTTAAAATATGATCTTCCTAAATTAGAATTATTTTTAGTTTAAAAAAAATATATGTTTAAATATTATTGATGCAGCTATAATTAATATCATTAATATACGACTTTTATATTTTTTTAATAATTAATAAAATTAATAATGTTACTAACATTTTGAAATATTTTAATTTCTTTTAATAAGTAATAAAACGTTTGAATTTTTTAATAATTAATAAAATTAATAATATGATTTTAAGTAGTGAATAATTTAATATCTATATACCTTAATGATATTACAATTTTTCAATTTTAAAGGAAATTGATTTTTTATTCCTATCTACAAAAATTGATATATCTATTGTGCTTTTTCATTTTTCTTTTTTACTTGTTGATTTCTTTGTAACTTAATTTTCTTTTAATCTAGACATTGATGGAGCTAAAATTACTATCATTAATGATTTTTCAATTTTTTAATAATTAATGATATTAATAATATCAATGATATAGTTTCTGTTTATTAATTAATGAAATTAATAATATCACTTTTGCCATCCACATAAACTGAAGATCACAACTTCGACAGAAAACCCTCAGGCTCAGCTAATCAAAAAAGAAAGCTGCTATCTTACTTTATTATAATTTATCTATGGAGATTCCACTGAAATGTTTCTTTAAGCTCACCAGAAAGAGGGGAAAGAAAGAAAAGAAAAGAACAACTCTCATTGCACAAAAATTTCTGTATTCTTGGTTTTTTTTTTTTTTTAGCAGATCTTAGGTGGGTATTTGATAGAATTCTTGACAATTTTTTTTGTGGCTGCATCACCAAGATCAATACCACAAATGTCAGCCAATCTGATGAGATAGAGAAGCACATCAGATAACTCCTCTCCTAGATGCTCTTTATCTGCTTCCTCCCAATTGGGCAACCCCTTGTCCACCTCTCCTCTCCATTGGAATATTTCTGATAACTCTCCTACCTCACCAACCTACCAATCAAACATACACATTGAGAGAAAACATTAAATAAGCATAAGTAAATTGCAACTACATGTCACAGTTGTGTATATTAACACTTAGATTATATAATTCATAATCATAATTAATTTGAATTTTATAAATTCAATATTTAAAAAGTAAAATCAACCGTTTGATTCAAGACAATATGAAAATAAGACTTTTATGTGTCGAATTTAAAATGTTGAATTCATCTATTTGTAAGTTTTTCCATATTTAGAAGAAACCCAAAATTGAAAATTCATTTGATTTTATTTACTAAAATACTCTTAACAATATAATTAATTTTAGAAAGGTAGAAGGATGAATAGTTTCGGCTTTGAGTTATTTAAGTTTGTGGAATTTATTTGGAAACCCACATTTTTTAATAAATTTTGAATTTGTTATATTTAAATCCATAGATTGAATTCATAAAATTTAAATCTTCATTTTTTTCATACCAAACATAAAAATTTTGAATTTATAAATGAGTTCCACAAGGTGTTGTGTAATTCATTTTTTCCAAAATGGGGTTAAGGTAAATTTGAAAATCAAGCAAATTGGTTAAAAAGAGATTCCTCAGTCCACCCTTAAAGTACTGTATATTATATATATGTGTCAAGAACTCAAGGTTTCTTAAGGATTCCATATAAGGTAGCAAAGACATGATCCTACAAATTTGTTCATATTCTAGCTTTGGCTTAGAAGGTGGATGTGTCTAAAAAGCTAAATGGGAAGCAAAGAAAGCAGGAAGCTAAGCTATATATATTTGAACAACAACATATAGATACATAAACAAAGGATCTGCACATGCAAATAATTGTAAGTGGCAAAAGAAGATTACCATAGCAAGAAGAAGATTCCTTGGACTATGGTATTTTTCCCAATCTCTAGCCTTAGCAAATTCCTCCAGTTTCTTTGCAAGCTCTTTAAGACTAATGTCCATTTGTACTTTCTCTTCTCCAATTTCTTCAGCTCCTCCTTCTCCCATGCTTAACCTTTGCCCTCTTTGAGTAGCTTTGAGGTCTATTTGGAAAAAAGAGGCAATGATTCTTCTTATAGCTCTAGAAGGGAAAAAATAAATAATTTTTTTTATCAAGATAATACACATTTCTATTTGTATTTGATAATGAAAATGAAAAAGATAATGAGACATCGATTCCTTATTGCAGTCCCCACCATGTAAAATGGCCAACTTCAATACCTGATTTCAGTCAAAAATATTCTATTTTAACCATAGCTCTTGCTTTATCTTTTAAGCAAAGGAGCAGAAATGAGCCAATTATACTAAAATCAATCCAAAAATTTTCAACTTCAGTCTTGTCTGTAAGGTTATTCTAAAGCTTGGAATGGAAAAAAAAAAAAAAAAAAAAAAAAAAAAAAGAGAAGATTTTGGGTCATTCATTTGGTGATTTAACTACTCTATGCAAAGTCTAGGAGGTGTAATTCGTATGAGTAAAATAGCCAACTGAACCTAATAAACTTGGAAATGCTTTGCATTGGATTCCATGTACCAATTCTTTAATTGCCACTAATTAGTGCCAACTTCATTTTTATTCCAATAACCTAAAGTGATCATATATAAGAGTGCTAGAGGTTCTAGCTATGCATAATATGTATTTTCAGCATACTGAGTGGTGATTATAAGCGAATATTTTTATATTTGCAAATTAAACTAGAAGTCTCTATCGGCATCTATGTCTTTGGAATCCATAGATAATTAAGCTTTAATTAAATTATGTCATTAATTCTAAATTATGGGATACTTTCTGTTCAAATAATTTAAAAGCCTGAGGTGAATAAGAAAGTTGCTTTTGTTTTTTTCAGGAAAGGAAATAATTTAAAGAACCTTATAGTTCTGAAAGAAAAAGAAAAGGAGACAGATACTATTTTTATGTTGAAAAGAAGTATTTCTATGGCAGCTTGTGAACAGTTGAAAACTTGAAATGGCTAAATCAGATCATAGATTGCTAAAATTAATGTTGGTAGCTGTCGACGTTCTTAATTCTCTCTCACCAGCAGTCTGCAATGAATAATATAACTTTGAAATGTTGAGAGCGCTGTCCTTATAAAGCTCTTCTATTAGTGGTGATATAAGTATAATATCTGATTTTACACATAAAATTCGCTTGAAAATACAATTCAATTCCGCTTATCCTTTATTTCCATTTTAAGTTACTATTTATATTGCAAGCTGCCATTCTTTATAGTAAAGAAACAAGAAAGATGTTGACTTCTTTCCAGTTATATATATATATATATATATATGCATCTTCCCGTGCAATGCACAATTCAAAAATTCCAAAGTGTCCAAATTCTTGAAGCTTTCAGAAATTCCGTAATTATTTTGTTCAAAAATAACTCATAAGGATATCGTATTTTTATTCTAATTCAAAAGGGTTGAGACTATCATGCAAATGATTACTTAAAAACAAACCATGAGATCCTTTCAACTCCAAATGCGAAATAAATTTTGAAAAGAAACTAAATTTTCTTATATAAAAAGAATAAGCATCAATTCTTCTTTTTATTTATTCATACGAAAAAGATAACTTAGTAGGAAAGAACGAAACTGGAACCACACCGACCGGTATAATTCAAGTTTACTAAAATTGCAGATGCCATGAAATATAAATGATGCCTCAAGATAAGATAAAATTAATTAATGATTCTATTTACATAGTACCAAGCTTTCTTTCCAAATTATTAAAGAATCTCGATCCATATATGTCTTTCACTATAAAGAATCTTAACTTAAAATAACAAGAATTTGCTTTATTACCTATGGTAATTGAAAAGCGAAAATGAGTCTATGCTATGCCAAGAGATTAGCTGGAGTTGTTTTAAGCATTATCTCAAGGAATTTTGTTTTGTAAGAGGAGAATATAAAAATGACAAGCCGTGAACCAATTACCACTTGCTTGAAAATGATAAACCATCCGACAATAACTTTTCATGTAGCTTTACTCAAAATGCTACTTTTGTTATTCATAATAGCGTAACGTTTATATGGGTGTTTAGGATTCGAGGCAGTGGATTATGAAATATTAGTTCATTTAACGTTTGATGAAATACTAGTTAAATACTGACGACCGCTATGCCGATTAACAACTACTAAAATAACTAATTTTGCGGAATAGGGCTTTAGTGTATATATCATACCTTATTTATTATTATTAGGTACTTTAAAATAATAGGGATTTCACAAATTTTAATTACGAAACTAATTTCTAGCTTGAGCCAATCTCTTACATTTTTAGTAATCTGATTCATAAAAAAAAATAAAAGATAAAATATTTTGCAAGCCATGGGTTAGCTTTAGATGGTTAGGATAATGTGACCATATATATAGAAAATATGGGATTATAATGTCTCCATTTTTTAAAACAAGATTATTTTTCTGATGAATATACAATTTTCAGAAAGATAAATCATATTTTGTAGTACTGCATTATACCCCAGTATAACGGCGAACAGAGATTAATCATGGAAATTAATTTTTACTTTGCTGACTGGTACAATGTACAACGTTTCTTCCGTGTTTTAACTACCAAATCATATTACATTCTTAATTACCTTAAACGACAAACGCTATCTTTCTTGGACTAAGATAGCCCAATCCAAGTAAAGAAAACTTAGCCCAAATAAGATGCCTGTCCAAACATCACGCAGTACGGCCCAACCCCCTTAAAATTAAGAAAATAAACAAAGCCCTAGATCCGACAGTCCAAATTCCCTTATAAAAACTTGCTATATAAAAACAAAACCCTAACCCCCTCTCATTTTTCTTGCCCTCCGCCTCTTTCTTTCCTTCATCTTTCTGCTTCCGCAGCTCACAAGCTCACACAACGTCACTAGTTCAAGATGGTGAGTCCTCTTCGCCTTGTCTGCAAACCCCGATTTCTATTGACTTGCAAAATATTTTAGCATTTGATTTTTATTTTAATGGTGAATTTGTGCAGCCATTCAAGAGATACGTCGAGATCGGGCGGGTAGCACTCGTCAACTATGGAAAAGACTACGGAAGGCTTGTCGTCATCGTCGATGTTATCGACCAGAACCGAGTATGTGTTCAATACTTTCCTTTTTTTTTCAGTGATCAAACTTGTACAGATTAATCAACTATGGCTATGTTTTTTATTGTTCAATTGTTTCGTGATCTAATGGAATGTTTATACGTTTAACTGTTTACTCTATGTAGTGATACAACGATTTATTTGCTGTAGATACAGTATTTGTGTTTGCTCTTTTTATTAGTACGGCTTTGTGGGTTGTAATATCTATATTTTAATATTAACTGTTGAATTTAAATCTGCGCCCTGCACTTCTTTGTTTATTGTGATGAAATAACTGTGAAATGTTATTTGTAAACAATACTCGATGAGACTGCATTTAAAAGAGAATAATATATTTGTATCTATGAGCGCTAGGATTTGTACTTCGAACATGACTCTGCATTTAGCAGTTGGGATTTAATGTTTGTGAACTTCTTTTAGGGTCTGAAACTCTTTTTGTGTATATTGCAACGTATAGGAATTTTGTTGAGCACTTGCTGATTGGTAATTTTTGTTTTTCTTCCTTCTCAGGCCCTAGTTGATGCCCCAGATATGGTGAGGAGCCAAATGAACTTCAAGAGGCTTTCTCTCACTGATATCAAGATTGACATCAACAGAGTTCCCAAGAAGAAGAATTTGATTGAGGCTATGGAGAAGGCTGGTATGGAAAATATTTCTTACATAAATGTGCCTCATAGTTATTACACTGTCTTGTCTTCTAGTTCATTTTGCATTGTCCATGTTGGTAGATGTTAAGAACAAGTGGGAGAATAGCTCTTGGGGCAGAAAGCTGATTGTCCAAAAGAGAAGGGCATCTCTCAATGACTTCGATAGGTTCAAGTTGATGTTGGCTAAGATCAAGGTTAGTCATAGTACATTTTATACAATCAAGTGCTTAGATTACATTTTTGTTGTCTTTCTACTAGTGTTGTAGTTATATTGCTTTTTGTTTATTATTAAAAATGGTTAGTGGACTTGCTAGATTTTCCATTAAGTTCTGGTTCTGGATTTCTATATTAGCAAACAAATTTATGGCCTGTATTTTTTCCTACTCTTGCTAATGTATCTTATAATATCTAAATGCAGAGGGGTGGATTGATCAGGCAAGAGCTTGCTAAGCTGAAGAAAGAGAATGCGGCATAAAAGTATTAGTTTTGAGTTGTCAATTTTGTTATCAAATATTGTGCAAGTTGTTATTTTGGGATGCTATCCATTTTGGTTTTCTATTTACCTAGAGATTCAGGATTGTTCAAGGAAAACTTATTTTATAGTGAGTTCTATTGTGCAACATTTAATTTGACACAATGCTCTTGTTGCTTTCTTCATTAGTTATGTTGGATTTCATTTTGTGAGTGTTGTTTGCTTGCATATGTTAAAGAGATGTCCAGTTGTGTGCTTCTAGGCCTAAAGGTGGTTACATTCTGTTGCATATGTTGGAGAGATGTCCAGTTGTGTGCTTCTCGGCCTAAAGGAAATTACACTCTGTTGCAATAACATTGGGTGCCTCGTGGTTTTAGGGATTGATGCCCCATTTCTGTAGTATCAGTTCTGCAAATCTTTCTTCAATCCTTTGTGTTTTAACTATAGATGTAAGAATCAATTTAACAAGCTAAAGCAAACTGTTGTCTATTTGATTAGATGATAAAAGTTTGGGACATTCGTTGTAAAGGCACATGAATTAGGATCGCCCTTGCGTTTGTTTTACTTTTCTCCGCTTTGCTGATTTTCTTGTATCAAGTCACAGCAGGCCTCATAAGCTGCTTTAGATTCTCGTTGATACCGCTTTAAAAGCATCAACTGCGTTCTTCTATAGAGGTTACGTGTGTAAGACAATAAGAAAAAAAAATCAAGAACAGAAAATGTACTGAAGTAATTTCACTTTCTAAAATATGAATGCGAAAGTTATTTTACTAGTAAGTTTGAAAGAAAATGATTTAACTTGGAAACAATGAGTAATTGTCAGTTGTGTAAGAATTACTATAATTCTTGGTTAGCTTGTGGGTGGTATCATTTTTCTCCTATAAGTATTTTATTCTTTTGAGGCTTGTATGGGAGATAGGCAAAGATCAAATAGGCATGTTGATGGACAGTTGACACCCCAAATGGCAAATATCACGCAAATTTTCTGGTGGCTTAAATTCTGCTCACGCATGCCAAGCACTTGCAAGCAAACTTAGTTGGGTAAATTTATGTTCTTAACCTATTAGTTAATGACCTAATTAAATTGCTCACCTAGCTTGCCAAAATTGAAATTATGGCTTTGCACAACCACCTTGGTTGCCTTAATTGGCATCATACACCAAGGACCATTAGATGTTACTATAAGTTAGTACAATTAAGATTTTAATTAACACATTCACCACACAGCCAACTCTTTTCGAGTTTTAAATCTAGAAAAAACACTAGGTAACATTGAATGGAAAAAGTTAGACATCCATACGAAGGAAACACTTACATATTCCTATATGGGCTTATCTCATACACTAAATCAATCAAAAATAAATTTTTGTTGTAACAATAATATAAAAAAAAAAAAAAAAAAAAAAAAACCTTTATGGATTCACTAAGTTATCCCATGCACTAGGTGTAAGTAAGTATTATCTCAATTTAAAACTGAAAAAATTGGTTAATCAAGTTGATCAGTAAAATTATAATAATCTAAATTCTCCTCTCTAAGTACAAGACTTAGGAAGGACTTGCCCTACTAATAGTTGGAGGAAAGAAAAACTATTAAGGTTCTCGTTTTTGAAGTGGAAATATTTGGTGAAAAACTATTAAGCAAGTTTTAAGGGTCCTACTTACTTTCTGAAGTGGAAATATTTGATTTTCCTATTCCACATACAAGGGTGAGTATTCACCTGCCTGTTACATGCTTAATTTTCCTCAACTGATATAATCAAAATCAATAAATTTTCCCATTAATGCATTGACCTGAAAAATAGTTTTAGACTTTTTATTGACTAGAAAAATCTCTTAAATACCTTACCAAAGTAAGCCCAGGATTTCCCTTTCAAGCAAAGGGTCTCCCTACATCCCTCCCCCCCACCCCCACCCCCCCCTTCCTCCTCCTTTTTCATTTAATTATTGTTTGTTTAATGTGATTATCTTCCTCAAAACCATAAAATCAAGGATATCCAAAAAAAGGGTTTATTCTATTTATATATATCTCAAAATTGAAAGAGAGAAACATGGGACTGGAGGATCTTCATCTCAAGCTCCAGGTATGTCTGAATTCTATTTAAAAAGGATGTCATATCAAGTTCAAAAGAATTGATTTTGATACTGATATAGGGTTAAGCTGTTTTCTTGATTTCTTTAAGGCATTTAGGCTTAGAAGGTTTCTGGTAAGATATAGAAGCAAGAAAAGAGAGATTGATACAACAAAGAAGTCTTCATGGATGACACCAATATCTCATGGGTACCATGTAGTTGAAGATCATTCATTTAAAGGAGGTTCACGTGATGCAACAGATTCTGACTCAGTTATAGTTCAAAGAGAGCAACTACAAAAGCTTGAGCTATGGTTTTTCGGAGTTTTTGATTCTCGAATCGGCGATCGAGTCACCAAATACCTTCAATCCCACCTGTTTGATAGAAATCCTAAAGAGGTATTGTTACCCTCTCAAACAAAACCATACATTTTCTTTTTCCAATTATTTTTCTCAAAATACTATGACTGTGGCGTTTTTTTGAGTACATATTAGCTATGACATTACTACATGGTGCCTTGCAGTTTCAGATAAGAAGAAAGAGCGAAGAAACTATAAGAAAAGCTTATCTTGGAGCTAGAGCAAAGATTAAGGAAACACAGAAACCAGATGATGAGACAAGGAGAGTGAGTTCAGCTTCTGTAATGGTAATCAATGGAGAAAAGCTTGTGATAGCTAACATGGGTGACTATAGAGCTGTGGTTTGTAGAAATGGCGTGGCTCATCAAATGAGCAGCAAGCACCAGCAAACAAATAAAAGGCACTGGTATCGCAGGCTCTTTTCTGGTACGGACACCTCTAAGTTCTAAAGTGTACTATAATAGCTAGTTGACCTACTTTGTGGCCCGAAATTTGATTACCTTTTTGTGAATTTTAAAGTAAGGATATGGGCATGGAACTCCAGAAACTTAGCAACAAGCACTAAACTCTCAAAAGGCTCAGAGCTGGTTATTGGAAGTGAAAGGATTGATCCTGATACTGAATTTGTTATCATAGCAAGCACTGGCATTTGGGAGGTAATTAATTAGTGAATAATTAACGCAAAACTTTTGTAACAAAATGTAATTTAGATGTATACTTGTGCAGGTGATGAAGAATCAAGAAGCTGTGAATCTGATCAGACACATGGAGGATCCACAAGAAGCTGCTGAGTGTTTGGCAAAGGAGGGGTTATCTCGAATGAGCAAAAGCAACATTTCTTGTGTTATTATTCGTTTTGACTGATAGATTTAGGGTTAATTGCTCTTTTCTTTTTCAATTCCATTTGTATGAGTAATCCTGAATCCTAAATTATTTAAAGCAATAAAAATATAAAATTTTTGCAATTGCTGTTTATGTCTTTGAATGATACCAGACCCTAAACTATGACGTGTTGCTGGACTGACTAGTGATTTCTACTTTCACCTACCTCTCTAATTCTTTACTTTCCAACCAAAACCCTGATGTTAAGTATCGTGTTTTTATTTATAACTCAGAAAACTTCGTTTTCGGGTCACTTTGGAGACCAAGAATGGTCACACTACAAGAAGACGAGTGGATATAAAAGTACCATACAAGTAAACCAATGTACATTTGCTGTAAAAAAACCCAATGCCCTTCTAAAATGATACAAATGAGTAATGTGAAGGACAACTTTTTGTATTGGTCATTAACATTTAATCAATTCAATGGACGAGGAAATTACAAAATTGATTCACCATAATAACTTTGAAATATGAAATTGGAACATGAATGCACATACATCATCAATTCTATAGCAACATAGTTATATCATTTTTTTTTCAGTTTTTTCTTGTTTTTTGTCTTTTTACAGTTACAAGACAGGGAAAATGAATAAACACAAAATTCTGTAAACAATTCACAACCCAAATGGTGTAAAATAAGACGAGCGCTTCGCTTCCTCACCTTCAAATTTAACAGCATTCACATTCTCAAGCATGCACATTGTCAAGCATACTGCTTCTTTTCACTGTTCTTGCTTCTGAAGGGTGATAACAAGGAAAAATGGCGCGAAGCTGCAGCAGAATTCATCATCTTATAAACTGAAAAATTTAAGAGCATGGTGAAAATGCTTAATTGAATCGTGCAAACTTACTCTTCTGAGGAGTGGTTCCAGCAGTCGGGGTTTCATCTTGGGATATTAGATTCTTCAATGTATGAACTGGATATGACAACAAAATGTTGAGTCAGCTTAAATCGTAAATATTACCAATAATGATTTGAATAAAGCAAAAGTCATTTTTAAAACATTTCAAATTGCAGCTACTGTGCAACCTATGTTAATGTAGTGAATTTCTTGATACTAGTTTCTTTTAATCAACGATATCAGGGCCTGAATGTGAATATTATAGTAAAGCAATTAGAGAGTAAAATATGTTGTTGTAAAACCAGATATAATTTTTGGTCCAAGATAAAAGACATCTGTATGCGAGTAAGATTCTAGGATATTTGTTTGCTGATATTTAAATGTTTCCACGAGTTGTTGCTTGTTAGTCGTATTTTGCAGACCTTATAAGCAGTTACTGAATTTTTTTTTTTTTTCCAAACCTTTGCCATTCATTAGAAAGCACAAAGGAAGGAATGTAATGCTTTTTACCTTCACTAGAAGTAGCAATATTTGCATTTGTATCTTCCGCCTCAGAACCATCCACACTGATATTGTCCAATTCAGCATTACGCTCACTGGTAGTATGACTCTTTTTTCCAAATTTCAGCAGCCTTCTAAACCCTTTTGATGATTCTTTTGCCTGGGGCTTATCCAATGCTTCAGGGATCTTTTCTAATTTTAAGCTTTTAGGATCATATATCTGAGCTCTAACAGTCTCCATGCCTGCTGTTGCTGTCTGTGAGCTAGTTGGAGGTGCTTTGCTGTACTCCGAATTTCGGGTGCATGGATCTTCCAGAGAAGAGACCCGAGCAAAAGGAGCCTGGTATGGCTTTTCAGCAATGCCAGTGCTTGAATGCTTAGGTGGTTCCTTCACTATATTACCTGCATTTTCACTTGTCACCTGACAGCAAAAAGTTTCACACAAAAACGTCAAATCAATAGGCAACTTTCACATTCAAAGAGAAAAAATGTTAAGCTCTTGTCAAGATACGAAACATGATTACAAAGTGATCACCAACTGATCTGACTCACAGCACAATATTCAGGGTGAGGGGAAAAAATAGAACTTTTTAGCAGTTAATTCAATTTTTCATACTGACAGAAGAGCTATCAAACAGGTGAATGATGATGATTCAACAACAAAGATCACTGTGAGGTTTTCATTATAACATATTTAATAAATCAGAATTCTTCCAATTCTTTATTTTAGTACCATATTATATGTCAACGAATTTAAGTGTGCAGAAATACACATAAAAATGATTGGGCCATACCCATTTTGGAGTTCTGACCTACCTTATATGTACTGGGTAGCACTTGTAATTGGTGTTCACTAGGTTCTCTGTCAATCTCATCCGTCGCAATTGGTGAAACTGGTGCTCGGATCGCTGCATAGTTTGACACAGTCTCAGTTTTTTCTCCTGTTATATTATTACTGGAGTGCCCCTTTTGCGTTTCCCTAGTTTCTCCTGATGTAAGCACAGAAGGAACGGAGGGCTTTTCACATTCTAGCATCACAACAGTCTTTTCGATTATTGGGCTGCCATCCCCATCACTATGATATGAATTTTTATCAGTATTCCTTTTCACTTCAGTAACTTCGGAAGTGGTATTAGACTTACTTCCGTTCTGTTTATTATGGGGTATTTCTTTCCCAGCTGATTTGCCATGGGGAACATCAGATCCCTTCGTGGTTCTAATTTTCAGTTCCGGAAGAGATGCAATCTTGTCTTTATCATGGTTGACAATTGCAGATATTTTCCTGCTTTCAGGTCCATTTGATACTTTTGGCTTTGATACTGGCTCAGTGTTTCGTGGCTTAACTGAAGTAGCATTCTGACTGCTACTTAATTTAGGCTCTGATAATCTTCTAATTCGAGCCATGGATGTCTTTGCATCAGGCGTTAGACTATTTTTCTGTTTCTTTGGTTCAGGCAATGACGATACTGACCGGCTTACTCTATTTCCTGCAGAGTGACTGCCGGTGCTCAGTTTGCTGGATTTCGAAGCTTTAAGAGAGTCAGTAGATCCTGCAGAGACAGTTCTGACAGGGAACCTTTGCAGGGGTGATACTGATCCAAGCTCTGAATCACTGAACTTTGATCCTTTGTAAGAGCTTGGAGAAAGTTTTGTTGGCAATTGTTTTCTGGTTTGCTGTGAAGATGGCTGACCAGGAATGGAGCTGCCTCGGGCAGCAATTCTCTTCTGCCTCTCCAACTTCAAAGCTTCCAGACGTTTTATTTCCTCCTCTTCCTGTAAAAGCACAAAGCTGTGAATAAACCCAAGAACTAGTTGGCTTAAAGGCGAAACAAAAAAAAAAACCACTATCCCGAGATTTTTAAACCATGCAATATTTTACAGCACTTTGCTGGGAGTGTTTCAACTTTCAATATGGAGGTTAAGTGCTTGCTAAATGGACAGGAAAGCACACCTTTTCTTTCTTCATTTTCTGTAGATCGGCCTTAAATGATCTAAGCTTCTCAGCACGTGCCCTGGCCTCATCCAAAGGACTCAACTTTGAAGGTTTCCCTTTCCTTATTGGTCCCACTGTCTTTTTATCTGGAACAAGTTTTGATTTCCGGTCCTTGTCCACCTTTTTAGTGCCTTGCCTGACACCAGTAACAGCCTCCCTGTTTTTCTTGTCCAATGAAGCAATATTTTCAGCATGAACCTGCATATCATAATCTAAAGGGTCATAACCAACTGTCCCCTTTTCTGCACCACGCTCAGGCATCAAATTTAAATCATCTGGCTCATATTTGACTTGGCTTCCATCCCTATTAGATGAGTTTTCTACCCGAGCTGATGGAAACTCATTATCCATGTCAATTGCATGCCTTCCACCAGTTCCAATTTGATCCACTGAGGTTGACCTCAATGAAACCACATAAGAATCATCATCCATATTATGGGATGAACTCTGGTACAACTCTTTGTTAGGATGCACAAATCCATTTACTGCCAATGGATTTGATGAACTTAAAAAACCTGACTGATTTTCTTGTCCATGTATCATAAAATCATCATTGGTTGATCTCCTATATCTACCTCTCCTTTCTGCAGATTGAATATCCATTGGACCATCCGTGAAGCTTTCGCCATTGCTAGATTGACCCATTCTTTTTGATATCAATGATTCATCATTTGAGACCTTCATGCGGGCAAAGTTTCCACTAATTCTCTGCATATCTGTCGTATTCCCTTCTTGAGTATCAACTATCTCTCGTCCATCAAAATCTAAAGGGTCGTCTCCTGCTGTATTTTGTCGCCTTTTAACTCGAACATTCTTTTCCATCGCAAACATACCTTTATCCACAGCATGTTCAGCTTCATCCGCACCTTTCAGTAAATAATTTTGAAATGCTTGCCAATGTCCCCCATCTGCCTCATTCCCTTGAATTTTTCCTTCCCTATCAGACACATCCAACCTATCTGTAGATTTTGCATGGCTTCCTTTCCTTTTTGAGGTTCTCCTAGAGTTCTTAGTCTCTGATAAATCTCCCACATTCTCATCAGTTTCAGAACCTGAGGCTGATTGTGAATCACTATCAGACGATTCCTGCCTCTTTGAAGTGATATAATTAATGTTCCGAATAACTACCATGCCAGATTGCTTTCTACTTGATCGACTAGACTTTTTCCCTGGTTCTTGATTTCCTGAAGTTTCTTTGTCCAACTCCATATCCACTTCCCCTGTTTCATGGTCAGGGTCGTCATCCCCACTATCCATGGAATGCCTTCTCCGTCCCTTTCTTCGACCAGCCTTAACTCTAGTATCTTCCCCTGATGGATTTGGTGCCTGAAAAAATGGGCTATTTCCTGGGTAATTCTGATAGTAAGGAATGCCTTGCATGGGATATCCCTGAAAGACAGGCAATGCACCAGGTGGAGAATGAATAGGCCATGGAGGGAACATAGGATGTGGAAACTGGCCTTGAAAATATTCTTGCTGGCTCGAAAATGGTTGTTGATCCATGGGAGGCTTTTCATCTATCACATGAACAAGCAATTTTTTTTTCATTAAATTTCAATGCAAGAGAATGGAATGCTGTGCTACAAGTATAATGATGGTATGAACTACATTAAGAAACCTCAAATAAAGAAAGTGTTACACATCCATGACTGTTAGTTAGAAATTTGAAGGCTTTTAGGCATGTGTTACCATCTGCTTTGTTTCTTGTACATGAACACCAACAGCCTTACAGAGTGTTTGACATGAATGACCGGGCCCTTTTTCAATGCTAAAAAAAAAAGCTTTCTAAAGATTGACCATGTACAAGAACTGAGGTACGATCACTCTTCCCCTCTGTATTAATGATACATCATCTCCTAGCAAACTGTGCTACTATGGTTTCAGTTGAAACAGACAAATTATACATTTCGGCACTATATCAATCTAACTACAAAATCATTGAGGTAAAACAAAAGGTATCATTTTTTCATGATGATGCAAAATTTGTGATTTGCATTCCTAAGGGATCGAACTAAAAAGTAAGATTCTTTCCCATCTTTGCAAACTAACAAATCCATAAACCATTGATATTAGCTATTTGCTATTAACCAATCCAACAATTTTAAGTGATTTGTATTGGGCGAGAGCAAGGAGGGGTCTTATCTCTGGCTCTTCTACACCCCATATGTGTTGCTTATATCAGTATTGCTACTGCCAGCTCATAGCTCTATGACAATAAATTTGCAGCAGACTCATACAAAAAGTTAGAATAAGAAAATACGAGATGAGCTCCTTTCTTCTGTACCATATAACTATACCCATATAAGAAGCAAATCAAATGTTGGATGCAGAAGTAAACAATGTATCTTCATAACAGAAAGACATGGAATAATTTAAGGATCAGAAGACCATTGAATTGAGACATCCATCTTGAATCGTCAAGCAAGTGCCCATGATAAAATCATTTGGGACCAGGTTAGACCATAAGCTCATACCTGAATGTGAGTCGACACCTATTTTCCCATTACTATCTGGAGTTTCAGGCCACTGCTTGCTGATTGCACTGGAAAGAACAATACCAGATGCATTCATGGCAGAGAAGTCAGAACGGCTAGATGTTGCTTCCCCTGCTTCAATTTCAACCCATTGGCCAGTTTCATGCTTTCTCTTCCACAAGTCCATAAATCTCACACATGCATCCCTGTTGACATCGGCAAATAAAACCACATTAGGGATGATTCTCAGGGCCGGAAGTAAAACCATGCCGCAAACCACTTGATGAAGAATATAATAATTTAATCTCAAAAGGATGAATGTGATCAGTCCAAAAATAGGCTGCTTACATTAAGCGTGAGGCTCCAAAAGTTTCAGCAAATGCCATCAAAGGTGCCATGTGATCAATGTCAAAACCAGCAGCTACAGCACGAGCAAAGGCCATGCCTTGCTCTTTCTGCAGCACAGTTTTGCGTGTCTCCAGAACTTTCATAAGCTGAACTCTAGCAATACAAACGAAATAGATTTGGTTAAGCCTTGTAAATGAATGTGTACATAATAAATTACAGATTCATGGTAGTAATTTAGCAATCACCACGATTGCAAAAAATTAAGATTTTTTACATAACCTTACAAGTCATGGTAATACATGGTACGTACTTTGAATTTCCCTCCTGCGCTACTGACACATTTGCTTCAGGTGGCTGTGCACCAGGCTGCCAGATGACAAAGGGATAAAATTTAAGATATATGGTTCATTATGCAATTAAGGTTATATAGTACCCACCCACCTTGTAAAGGACAATGGCTTTCTCCTCATTAGAATCTAGCAAAGGCCTGGTACCTGTCAGAACCAGAAAGTGTAATTCCAAAACAAATGGCATTATAGAAATATTAACTAGAAACTTACATTTTCCAGCAATCTAGTTTTTACAACAAAAAGCTTGATAAAATAAAATACCTCACGTTACAAAGCTTTGCTAATATGCTACTATAAGACCCATATGCTACCCCCACTAGAAGAGAGAGAAGGGAGTAGAAAACGGGAATAAGAAGAAAAAAAAGAAAAAGAAGAAAATTGAATTGATAAACTGAGAACAAATGTAAAACAGTTCCAATTAGATTAAAAATAGGAACATGATGTTCATAAAACAAGGAACAGTATGTCCAGATGTCTTCTTCAAAGTACCTTCAATGCGTTCCACAGATTTTGCTTGATGATCTTCTACCTATGACACAAAAATGCAACTAAAGTTGAATTGTAGGCTTTGATTTGAAGATCACAAGTTTCCTAAAGATTTTACATACCATGTTCAACCCAATTTCATTATTACTTTGAATTGCTATTGCCTCTTCTATTTGTATGATCTCAGATTCCAAGGTGTACACGCGTTCCAAAATCTCTGGAGTGCTCACAAATCGAACAAACCTATAAAATGAAAACATATTAGTCTGCGGCTCTGCAATACCAGTATCAGGAGAATATTGCATAAATATGTCCATTTATTATGCTTAAGAAGCCAAATATAATGCCGGTTGATAACCACACCACCAACAACAACGAAAAAGAAAAAAAAGACGCAATAAGGGAGGAGCAGTAAATAACAAGGCAAACCTTTCAATTGTTCCTCTTGTAAACCATGTAGCATCATTTCCAGGCTCTGGCTCAAGGATAATTGAGTAACCCCCCTTGGCCATTTGATCCTGTGCAGTCTTTAAGTGCGCAAGGAACGGATTAACCAACCCAGAAGCTATTTTCTCCGTCTTTCCATTTGCTGATATAACCAAATCACACCTGGAAAAACACAAAGTTCAAGTTCCATGATAAAAAGGCAAAAAACTGAATTGAATTTTCCTGATGGATAATGATATTCCAAGCAATAACACTTGAAGACCAATACATTGAACTCTATAATGTGCTACAAATGCAAAATTCATACACCAAGGAAAGTTAAAAAAGGAAAAGGCAAGTTCTGAAAAGTCAACTAATAAAGCTTCATTGGTGACACAACGTATATTGAAACTGCCATTTTCAAGAATGAATCAAATTCAAGTTCACGAAATAATAAGATAGTATAAACAAGAAAGTAAAAATTTCAATCTGAAATATCAAATTCAGAAAAAAAGAAGCACATACTAATCACAAAATCAGATCACTTAGAAAACAAGCAGGTTTCCAAAAATAGAAATAACTACTAAAAACACAATACAAAATAAAAGTGCTGCTTTCTGACCCAAACAATAAGCGATTCATTTCTAATGAAAAACACACCCAAAAGGCCCGAATAAGCTTGGTTTAAGCTGGCATGTATTTAGTAAGTTAATCAAAAGAGATAAGAGTACCTGGTTCGAGTTGGAGTGAGCTGAAAAACAGCTGAGTCGAGCCGAGTTGAAAACTTCATTGTTGCCAAGAACCGATCTTTAGTCACCTCAAAGCTGAGATCAGTCACTCATCAAATGAGAATCGAAAAGAAACCAAAAATAAATGAAGAAGAAAAAAAAAAAAAAAAAAAAAAAAAAACAACAAAAAAGCTTCTAAAGATTTGTAGTTAAAGGGACTGTGAAAAAAAAAAAAAAAAAAAAACAAAAAGAGCTTCTAAAGATTTGTATAAAGGGACTGTGAAGTCATAAATATGAATTTTCACTCTGTATAAAAGAAAGCTCAAGAAAGTAAAGTTGCAGAGAACCCAAGAGAGGAAAGGTGTACAGGGAGAAAGAGAGAAAGAGAGAGACTTTGGATGCCAACTGAAGAGTGAGAATCTTGTTTGCTAGAGAAAAAGAGTGACGTTATTGTTGAATTATCTTGCAGAGGTAAATAAGAGAAAGATAAAGGGTAGAATAGGGAATTCGTAGATAAAGTTGACAAGACATTGTGGGAAACGTAAGAACTATAACAGGACAAATATTTTATTGGAGTTGGTCCATTCTGTTGAAGGATTTCTGTATACGAAATTACCACATTAGCCTCAGATTTTCAACGTTACCGTTGAGAGCGTCACCACTAGGATCGTGCGGCGTTGTGGCCGTTTGGTGAAGATAGTCAAGCCTCAATTTTACCGGTTGAAAGGGACTATTATTTATTATTTATTATTTATTATTATTTTTAATATTGTACCACAAACTTGGATGAATCATCTACAAAATGCTAAAACAAAGTTGAAAATAAACATAAATTTACTCTTAATAATATCTTAATTAAGCAATTATCTTTCAGAATGTCATTTCTTGCAAGACTACAGAAAGTAAAAAGCATGTATCTTGTGGTGCAGATAGAGTAAAAATGGGACCAAGTAACCCTAAATACAAAACATAGATTTTTTTTTTATTAGCTAATTAGAAAATACACAATGTACGCACAAATTAGAGATAATAATATTAACTAATTTAATCCTTACATGCACTTTTCAGCAACGGATATAAAATTATGAATAACCAATTTATTTTTCTGTGAAACATGAAATATTTTTCTGTGAAACATGAAATCTGACTAATTTATTTTTCCGTGAATATGAAATCATCGGTGGATTAATGTTAAACATTTTTTATTATAACCAAGACATAGAATATTTTTTAACAAGCAAAGGAGATTTTAATTACCTTAGTAGTTTTAGTAGGATTGCTTTGAGATTCAAAACTAGGACGATTTAGAGATATTTTGAATATCTATTTTGTGGAAGAATAGGTCAAATGATAGTTGAATATCATAAATTTGAAATTTAAATCCGTAAAATTGAAAAGATTGAATTCACTCTTTAGAATTTTTTTTTTTTAGAAAAGTTTAGTCATTGCAGATATTTAAATTAGAATTTCAAAAATTATTTGAAGTAAGTTAAAAGTCCCAATTAAGGCAGTTTATTTATTACCATTTAAAAGAACATATCATTCAAATAATTTTTTTTTAAAAAAAATACAATATATCTTTTTGATAATCATGATAAATTAAGTTACTTATTATCAAATATTATTAAACTATTTAAAAAGTTATTTTTAAATGGCTCTGAAAAATATTTAGCAAATTACTTTTAAACTGATTTATAAACTAAAATATATATTTTAAATTCAAAGTTAAAAGTAAATAGCTAAATGGTAAATGAATGAGTTTGTCTGTCTGTCGTATAATAAGAAAAATTTAAATTCTGATATTTTTGAATAATTAAAAATTTGTCAATATATTAAAAAACTAAAAATAACAAAAGAAAACTTTAATTGGACCTCGTTTTTCTGAGCGCGGGGAGGAATATTAAGATTTGGTGATATCAAATGATTGGATAAATTATTGGTCGTTACCCAATCATCCCTTTTAATTAGATAAAAAAAAATTGTCCCTTTTAATTTATGTCTATTTATATTTTTTGTTGTTTTAGTAATTAATTTTTTTATATAACTTCTCTTTATTATTATTATTATTATTATTATTATTATTATTATTATTATTTTGAATTTGAGATGTTGGCATCTATCATATGTGTGCCCATTTTCTGCCAGAGATAGTTTTTTTAATATTCATAAGATAAAATCAGTGGTAAATGAATTACCTTTTACTTCAATTTTAGTGCCATTCCATAAAGAGAATACTCCATTATTTTCTGATAAAGGATTAAAATCATCAACACCGCAATAAAATAAAGTAAAATTGTTTTTATTTATTTAAATCAACAGTTAGCTCTGTTTAAGAAAGAAAATATTTTTTTATATTGGATGTACATGCATTTTTTTTTTTGGCTCAGTCAATAATTAATTATCATTTAAAAAATACTTATTAAATATTTTTTCATTTATAATAAAGAACATTAAAGCCAAAAATATCCATATTTTATGGGACATATTTATATTTGAGGCTATAAATAATTTGAGCTTAACTCGATAAGGATATATTTAAGATAGTTTCAAACTTAAAAATTAAAGTTTACAATTTGCTTATTCAAAACAGCCAACACGAGTTCAACCGAATAATTATAAACATAAAATGGTCATTGAACTCGAGCTTGAAATTTATTAAAACAAAACAACATCATTTTAATATAAATTTAATTGACTTTAACTCTTTTTAAGTTAATTTTTAAATTTGGGTCAGCTCAATAAAACTAATTCATGAGCTTGGCTCCACTAAGTGAACTCACAAATCAACTTACGAATTGATGAGCTGAGTTTGAGTGGGGCTCAATAGTTCGACTTAAACTTTACTCAATAAACTTATCAAACGAGCTCGAGTAAATGTTTTTAATTCAACCTCAAGTAACTCCAACGGTTGGACTTCATATTGATTCTTCTTTCTTTGTTTAATCAATGCTTGGCCCATACGTGATTGAAATTCTGGACATTTAGCTGGGTTTTATTTATATTGAAATATTAAAACATATCTCCTTCTCTTGTTTCTAGCCATGGATGAAAAGATGGTAGTTCCTCTCTTTATTTATTAATTAATGAAATTAATTATTCTTCTCTTCGTAGGAAAGGGGTGATACAACAGTACAACCACACCAAAAATATTTAAAAATAGAAATTTCATGGCTTTTGTTTAACATTTTTTTTTTCTTGAAAGCATTTTTTATAATAATGCTAAATCGAGTTTGAAAACATCTTTAAACAAATTACTGGCCTCTGGAAAAAATAGTTACTAATTATTTAGCCTCTAAATTTCTAATTTTTCAATAAATCATTTGTTCATCTTTAATATCAGCACTGTTAAACTATTTACTTTTTTTTTTTTTTTTTTTTTTTTTTTTTTTTTTTTTTTTTTTTTTTTTTGGCTAAGGGACGGACAAAATAAAAATATTATGTTAAATGTGAATGAAAAAGTGGAGTTACCTGCTATTTCGGTTACCTTAAGCAGCCGTCATAAAGGACTGTGTGTCCTCTTTTTAAAGGTGAAAGGCCCATTTTTCATGACCAGGGCTGAGCATGGTTGCTATTGGGCCTCTTTTACCTACCTTTTGTCCTTCCTCCACTTTCCAATACAGAATATTAAGGACATGCAATTATGTATTATATTATGGTTAGTTGCTTTATAGGATAGTTTCTAATTTTAAATTACATATTTTTGCCTTTCAAACAGATAAAACGACAATGTATTTGGACCCCTCTTTTCAAATACTATGATCACACTGCAACACGCGCTAATTATTGTAATATGCTCATTTCATTTATGCTCACCACACTAAATAAATAGCAAATTAAGAAAGAAGGTAAGTAATAATGACTCTATTAATTATTATTAATTAATGTTGTTTTGCATGTTAATGCATAGCTTATTATTTATAAATATTACCTGATAAATAGATTTATGTTCAAATCCTTCTTCTCGATTAATATTTTTTTTTTTGAATTGTTTCGTATAGTGTCTAAATCCGTATCTATTTTTACAATACACGATATCTTCACTCATATTCGGAGGCAAAGGGCCTGGTTAGAGAGAAAAAAATGCTTTAGAAGCAAAGAGATTGACCTGTGAAAAAAAATGTTCTCCAGAAGAAAGCTAATTGGCAAAAATAGACTATTTTTTAGTTTAATTTTTTCTGCAAGATTAGAAGTTTAGCGAACTTATTTTAATATTAAAATAAAGGACAACTATAGTAGTGAACAACGACATATAAAGAACAAACAAGAATATTTGTATTATTTTCCTAAAACAAAAAATTAGTTTAAATATTATATAAATTTATTATTCTACTAGGTAAACGTTTTAATTCAATTAGAAAGCAAATGCCTTACTAATTTATATATTATTATGATAATAAAAAACTAATATTTGGACTCAAGTAAGAATCCTAATATTAAGATCTAATAAGAAAACACGGATGCTTTTATTACTAGATTCATAATTAATAATTTTAAAAAAATTATTAATGGACAATCTTTTTTCTAAAAAAATGATAAAAAAAGAATTAATGTTTGAACTCAAATATAAGAATTATAATATTAAGATGTAATAAAAAAAACACAGAAATTTTTAAAAAATTATTATCATCACCATGAAGGACAAACATAGAAAAAATACAACCTAATTAGATAAACTTTAACTCAATTAGGAAAAAATTAAGTATATCTCCAGAAATTTATTATTATGGCAATTAGTAACTAATATTTTTAATTAATTAGAAACTCAAACATTAAAGTTTAAAATGAAAAGGATTTCATTATCTGTAATTCCAAATTTAAAACGAAATAGTTAGTCACTTACTAATATAGGAGAAAAAAGTTTACATAAAAGATCAATAATGATCTATGAATAAAATTAATATATATATATATATATATATAATATAGGAGAAAAAAGTTTACATAAAAAGATCAAATAATGATCTATGAATAAAATTATATATATATATATATATATAATAATATTTAATTTTTCAAATTGTAAATTTCAATCAACTAAAACTATATTCATGATATATCATAATTGGAAAATTCATTTTCAATTAATTACATATAACTAAAACAGAAACAAAATTGCATCTATACTCCGAATCACAATTAATTACATTTCGCCACAATTAATGGTGAACATATTTATATATGTACACTCATCGTTACTAACTTTATTATATGTTTTTGGATTTTGGCACAAAAGAAAAAGAAGAAAAAAAAAAAATACATAGACAAAATTGAATGGGAACTGTATATATATATATATATATATTAATTTTCAATTGTAAATTTCAATCAACTAAAACTATATTCATGTAAATATCATATTGAAAATTCATTTTCATTAATTACATATAACTAAACAGAACAAAATTGCATTCTATACTCATTCACATTAATTACATTTCCACAATAATGGTGACATATTTATATATGTACACTCATCGTTACTACTTTATTATATGTTTTTGATTTTGGCCAAAAAGAAAAAGAAAGAAAAAAAAAATTACATAACAAAATTGAATGGGAACTGTATGAACCAAACCCAAAAAGATAATTTATCAAAAAATAATTAATCCTGTATTAGTATCCCAAGGAAAATTGGCGATCATACTTTTTCTTTATCAACTTCCCCACATCAGAAATGCTCCTGAAAAACTCTTTATTCTGATGACCGTGACATTTTCTTGGACTAATAATACCACCGGCAAGCTTCAAGCAAATTCCATTAACCGACCCTTCTTGTTTTTCCATCCCCTTTACCATCTTCCCCTTCAGCCCATCATCTTCACAGTTCAACAAAGAACCCGTTTCTTGAATCGGAGGGCAATCCCACATATGCAACCCTTTCAAATCTTTATTACTATTGTTGTTATTATTATTATTGTTACTTGCATCAGTAATTTTATCCCTCATTTCTTGAAGGAATAATCCTTCGAGAGAATCTGTGTTTTCTTCTTCTTTTGTAAAAAATAATGGGTCATTGAACAAGGAACCTGTAAATGAATATGACCCAGAAGATGAAGTTCTTGATGATCCAGAGGTTGCTGATGAAGGAGAACGAGGAGATGTTATGCTCAAACTCCCAAATCCATGGATCTCTTTTGTTATTTTTATAGCTTTTAAACGTTCTTCTTTTAACATGTCTCCTCCTTCCAGTAGTTTTAATATGTGATCCGATCTTTTTTGCATGTTAGCTCCCCAGTCAAAACTGAAGAATTAAACTATTTTACATTAAAAGATGATTAATTATGTTATATATATAATGGAGCAATTATAAATATATTTATTACCCTTTGTTATCTATGTATTTAAATGTTCCAAGCTCGTCTATTACATCGCTGTCACATTGAAATTCTACCGCAAATTCTTCAGGGCCATGTGTTAATAGGAACTCAAGAAGTACCAGTGACTTGTAGCACTGCCTCCATTCCTTCCAATCTATATTATCAAACCTGCAATTTTATTTATTTCTCTCTTTTACTTATATTGTTAAATCACTAATCAAACACATACTGCATTTCATTAATTATTCATTGTTGAACTTATAATTAAAGATAAAGATTGAAATGTAACTAATTAGTTACCTCCTGTAGACTGTAGTGTGAAGAATATCCACAATTCTCTAATAGTCATTTCATTTATTTTTTTAAATATTGAAATTATGATTAAAGATTCAAATGTAATATCAAGATTTAAAAAGAAAAATTTGAATGAAATTGAAATTAGAGTTAACAATCAATTAATTACCTTCTGTGAAGAACATCAACAATTCTCCAGTAATCATCTATCCCATAAGATGCCTCAGCTATTATAGTCATTGTTTTAGCAACAGGGCCCCATGGATCATTATTTGTTGCTTCCTCAGCCAACCTTCACATACATTATTAAAAAAATTATCAAATGAAATTAAATCTGATATCTCTTAATAGAAATTTAAAAGAACGAAACAAAATACTTACAATTCAATTCTGCTAACATCAGTTAAAGCCAATCTTGCATTTTTGTATTTCTCCTGTAGAAAAGAACTTGCTTGCCTCTTGATCTGGTTCAAGAACAAGGTTCCCATGACTCTCTCTTTCTCTCTCTCTCTCTCTCTCTCTCAATCTGGGTTTTGAAAACTAACTTAATAATTAATATTATATCTTAAAAAATTTGTCTATTAGCTCAAAGCTTTAATTCTTCTGATGATAGACGAAAATATATTCAAAATTATAATCTCCTAATTTCCTAATATTAGAGTGACATATGGAGATAAATAAGCATTAATACGAAACAAGGGAGATAAAAAGAATAAAAATTACTGTATGGTTTACCATATTTTTAGGTTAGATATTGTAAGGGCCAAGTCCTTAATATAATAAATTTAACCACATACATATTTAGTATATTAATTATGTTTAAGGATTTTATACATTTTCTCAAATTCATCCATAAATATTTTTGAAAATCAATGAATTCTATTGTGATATTTTGATAATAATAATTTTATTTCATGTTCGCTTTTAAGAGAATCTTATCTTTTTTAAACTATTTATATTGATTTAAATTTAATTATTGAAATTTTAATAATGCGTAGTTTCTAAAAAAAAAAAAATTTGCAGGAGAAGGATAACAAAAATTTAGCATTAAAAAAAAAATATTGCAACGATCACAACAGTTATTTAAAGAGACAAATACATTTATTTTGACCCAAACTTCAAAAGGTAAACAAAGGACTTTGACCATAACAAACTGACTCTGACTCTTAACGATAATTATCATAATAAACGGAAATATCACTTGCACAAATCCAATTGGCCTGTGATCTGCTTGCATGCGTACAATACTTAATCACAGCTTTCAATCACACTATTCTTATTCTTCTTCTGCATCACCTTGCACCAACTCAATCACTTCCGGCGCAACTGCACTTATCCCACCCTGTGGACGAACAGGAGACTGACCCGTTGGTGGTGGTGATTGACGGAGAGTGTTAACAGTTGGGGAAATAGAGTTTTGAGGAAGCACTGGTGCCATTGGAACTGCAGGAACTCGAAGGACATCGAAAGAGTTGATGTTAAAAGGGAGTGATAAAATAGGATTTGGAGCAGAAAGAGAGATGTTTGATTGGAGAGAATTGGGAAGACCACCGAAAATTCTTCTTCGGCGGCGATCAACAATTCCTCTTATTCCATCCATTACTATGTGGGTTTCATAGTGCCTAGCAAAAGCTTCGAAGCCAAAAGTAATACGGTTACATACTTGACATTGAATTTGAGGCTCTACATTTCTACGCCTTGAGGTATAAAATTTACCAAACCTAGGCATGATAATATGAAGGAGAAAGAAATTGGACTAGCAATAAAGAAATTAAAATTGTATGAGAGAATTTGATTGAAGGGAAATGTCTGTTTATAAGGATTTTATTTGCCCCTTTACAGTTCATTAGACCCTTTAATGGCTATATTTTCTTTTATGATTGCACAACCTAGTGTCTTATGTCATTGTCTGGATTTTATGGTCGAATAATATTAACCCTACTTGCATTTGCGGCCATTGCATAATCCTAACCGTTGAATGTTTGGATTTTAGATAAATCTTATATTTATGAAATTAAGATATATAAACGCGCCGGAAGCGCGAGTATATATAAATTGTCTCTTTTCTTGTACCGCATCTGAAATAGATATCATTTTAATTAAAATCCAATATTGTGCATATCTATATATACTAATGCTATAATGAATGGTACTTTCCAGCGGTAAGATGATTAATTGTATATCTTTCCACGTAAAAAATTAACCAAAATTTTTAGGGTTGGTATGATAATTATATATATTTATATTATTATTCTAAACAAGGTAAAATAAGTAAATGACACTTTTTTTTTTTTAATTTTGTTTTTAAGGATATAACCATACGAGATATAGGGAATATGAAATTTTTTATTTTTCTTTTAAGCATTCATTCAGAGGCGGAGTTAGGACAATTATTTTAAAAGAGTCAGCTGAAATTTTTAAAATTTTTAAGGGGTCAAATATAATTTCTTTTTATATTTTAAAGAATCAAAATATAATTTTTCTTGAGATTTTATTTTTTTTAAATTTCTTAGGAGGCCACAGCCCCTTTAGGCTCCCAAATGGCTTTGCCGTGCTTGTCTTTGTAAAGTTACCAAAGAAAAATTTTCTACCAAAAATTATAAGATAATTACTCATGCTTACATTGGTTGATATTTCTAAGTAGGGTCCCCAATCACGGGTGTCGCGTGATGGATACAATTTGTATACATGAGCCTATATATTAAGATTAGATCTAACTCACTCTACAAAAGCTACTTCAAGAAGTGAAAAATCATTCAAATCTTATATTTTAAATAAACATATCACTAAACGATGAGAGGTGGTGAACATAATAAATCCGCAATTTGTAAGATTATATGTTGTTGATCCTCATTAGTACACATTGAATTATTTTTCATACGTCTCAATAAATAAGGCAGCTTGAATTCTAAAGAAACAATCCGTGTAGAATGAATTTTTTACTATATATAAAAGGAAATAAAAACAAAGATTAGGTCAAATTATAAAGAGGCAATCCTTGTTTTGGAAATCAATAAATCATACATTGCACTATACACCCAAACTAAAATAGACAAACAATAATCTTTGTTACTGAAATCATAAATATAACTTAGCAATATTACATATTAAGGAAAATTAAAAATTAAATCTACAAAGACAAATAATTCATAGCATACAACTATTACGGGGAACAATATTTTTATATTTTCTCATTATTTTTTTCAACTAAATATTAAGAAAAACATCCTAATTGTAACGCTTAATTAAGGTTGGTTTTGGCATAAACCCTAATCTTCCTAGAGCTTCAAAGTCAAGTCCAGCATATCCAAATCAGATCTGTTCCTGTTGTTATGGATACCCTTAAATTCATTTTTATAAGGCGTTAAGGGTTTCTCAAGCTGTTGAAGAAATGGCTTTGTGCAGTCACCAGATGCCTGCTCCGCCATTGTCAATTTCTTCTTACTGGTTGCTAGGGAAAAAGGCATAGTATAGTTGCTGTTCTTTGTAGCCATTGAAGAAAGTGGAGATTGAAAGGTTGGCCTTGAAGAAAACATTTGTGGAGTAGCACTAAACATAGGGTTAGTACTACTATTTCTTTCTTGGAAATTACATGGCAAATTATAGGCATTTGGGTTAAATGGCAAAGGATGAGTTGGTGATGAAAGATTCAGTTGGGTTAAAGAATTGGCTCTTCGGTGGCAGGATATGAAGTTTAGCCCAGCTGGTGGTGACGGCTGCATCAGCGGTGGCGGTGGCAGTGGCAGTTGCCTTCTGGCGGCAGAATCTTCTTCTGTCATGTGAGATTCAATATGATCTATAAGAGCTTGTGTGCTCATAAACACATGGTTACATATCCTGCATGCAATTTGTGGAGGACTGTTATAAGGCCTTTTAGGCATACTCCAACCATATCCAGCCATTAATTCGTACAGAATTAATGAAAATGATAGGAACTGGAATGTTTAAGAGAGGAGAAGAAAAATATAATTTATGTATGTGGATGTGTATGTCCTAAAGGATGAGCAGCAATTTATAGATAAATTTCATTACCAAAATTAGGGTTTTGTACTATGTATCATAATGTTATACGATGGAGATAGGATTTAATTAAATATCAGCTAATTATGGTCTGAAAGTAATCTTCCACTTGAATAATATACATTGTTCCTCTAACACAGATTTCACTAATTTAATGCACATTTAAATTGTGTCACTAAAATACAGAATGGTGGCAGCTAATTATGGAAGGGAGATAGTGAAAGTAGGCATATTTGGAAAGAATGACAGTAAATTTTTATTTAAATATCTAGTGCTAATGCAAAATATTAGATTTGATATCAGGAACATTAAAGAAAGTTGATAATTATGGACATTCTTCATCTTTTCTGAGAGTGATATTTGTTGTTCAAATCATTTTCTATCGTATGTTACTTTAAAAAATTTATATAATACAATCATAATAGTACGTGCGATGTCTCATGTAAAATGACAAATTAACATTAAAGAAAACAATGTGCACGAATGCACATTAAGACATAGCTTAGTAATGAATATATATACGATTTGACAATAGATTTAAGTTCAAATTTTCCTACCCTATACTAAAATAATAATAATAATGTATATCAATAGGCGCCATAATTTCTATATGGTATTTTTTAGATAATTTTCTAAATTTTAAAAATAAAAAAAAGTGAGTCCTACCGTTACTAGTTTAATAGTGGTTTGTCATTTCATGTTAACCTCCCGTATGACGTTACGGTTTCACTGTATAAGAAATCATTATTCTAACTCAATTAACTTCAATTAAAAAAAAAAAAATTCACAATCACGATGGAAAAATGGCTTTTTATTTATTTATTTTTTAGCAGTTTTCCAAAAATTAAATTTACATTTTTATTCTTACAGGAATTGAGATCGCTTACTACTTCAATCAACTCTTTATTAGTGAAAATAGCTTTTTATTATTACGGGATAAGTTCAAAGAAATTAATTACTGGGTTTACTATTTCATCTTTGAATTTATTATTTCTTTGTTTTATTTTTTTTGGTAATTATAATTGTATTTGCTTTTTCTCATTTTGAATATTTATGACAGTACAGCAAGTACTTAACTCAATTCTTTTATGAGCATTAAATTCTAATAAATAAAAAAAGAAAAAGAAAATAGCTACTCTTTCTTTTAATGTTATCAACAGTTATATACAGAATCCACTTTCAAGATATCCTTCCTAATATGAAAATTGATATTAATTTTAATTTAGTTAATTACCAATAATAGCATTATAATAAAAGCAAAAGTTGAGGAAATTGTACTAGTTTAATAATAGCAGTCAGCAATATTGGTAACTGCCATAACTTAATTAGATATTGCAATTTATATTTATACCAAAGTTATGCTCAGTGGGCAGTAATACACAGAACAGAAAATGTGCTTAAAATGGTTAAAAAGCAAGTAAGGCATTGTTTGAGTTGTTTCTTAGATGTCAATTCCATAAATTTTCCAAATTAATTAAATTCTATATTTATATATAATTATTAAATCTATTGATTACTGAGGTATCAATGCTAAGCTTTGCTTTCCATATTTCACCAATAGTAATTGATAATTTTGTATTGATGAATAATATTCAGGAAATTGAAAAATATTAATCAAATAGTTCATGATTTTATTATTATTTTTTTTAACGTGCGTCGCACATATTTATATGTATTTTCAGTCTTCTCACTTGTTATTTATCTTTTTTAATTGTGTTGCTTATATTTACATAAACAAGTGAAATAATAATAAGCATTGAGATAAAGATAAATAGTTTTATTTTTTCATTGAATTTTATAATTGCTAAATTTTATAAGTTGTACAAATTTATTATGCACGTAGGCACCATCCCTCTCATTGTCCGTTTTGAAATATCTTTTGGAATTCAGAACGCAAATTCACTGCAATATTTAAATTAATATTGTAATTTTGCTATAGCATTGATTAGTATTTTAAATATGCTGGAAGATTAATAATAATTTCTTATTTTATTTATTAGCTAATTAAAATAGGGGGGGGGGTAATTTGTCATTATTAAATTTGACAATGTTTTTTCTGTTTTTTTATCCATCTTTATATTATGCTTCTTATTGGTACTTATATATATACTTATTCGAGACTTAATAATTATAAACAACAATATATTATAAATGAAATCAAATAATCTAATTATATAACGTTAGAAGCAAACCTAATTTATTGAATAAACACAATTCTTTGAAATTTTTTAAAATATAGATAAGCAAGCGAAGACATATGCGAGAACTGAAAAAATAAAATAAAATTACATAAATCAATATTATAAATAAATAGACACGAAAAAACTTGTAAGATAAGATAAGAAAGGTACAAAAATAACACACAGTAATATTTTGAAGTGTGTGTGTATATGTGTGTGTATATATATATATATATATAGGATTATTTTTGTACAATACCATAGCTATTTCCTTATGCAATAAAATAGCCTTTATAACTTAATTAATATTTCTTATAATAGGATTTTACAGGCCAATTATGTTAAAATTATTAAAGTAATTACCTTTATTTGTCATCATAGTTGTCCTATGTTGAATGGTGTAAGGATAAGAGCTAAAATTAATGCTGCATCTCCAGCCAGACTTTACCTTTTAAGGTTAGAAGCGGCGAATTTTACCTTTCAAGGCCAGAAGTTCAGAGCGGTTACTGAGAAATGAGAATTTCAAAAAATGATAGGACATTATCGTACCCCTTAGCAAATGCTTTGTATGGTTTGGCACAATATAATTTTATGATAATGGAAAAAAAAAAATGAATATACCGTGGTACAAGATGAAAATGGGAAAGAAAAATATGCAACTGGAAAAAAAAAAAAAAAGAAAAAGAATTACTTTTACAAACAAATTTTTTTTTTTTTTCTAAAAAAAAAAAAAAAATTTTTTACCTTTCAAGGCCAGAAGTTCAGAGCGGTTACTGAGAATGAGAATTTCAAAAATGATAGGAACATTATCGTACCCGCTTAGCAAAATGCTTTCTATGGTTTGGCAAATATTAATTTTTATGATAATGGAAAAAAAAATGAATATACCGTGTACAAGATGAAAATGGGAAAGAAAAATAAATGCAACTTGCTGGAAAAAAAAAAAAAAAGAAAAAGAATTACTTTTACAAACAAAATTTTTTTTTTTCTAAAAAAAAAAAAAAAAAAAGGACGGAAAAAACCCTGTTCCTTGCAATTTTGTCAATCCTGTGTTCTTAACTAGAAGCTTTATCCAACCGCCGTTTTTTTCTAAAAAAAAAAAAAAAAAAAGGAAACCCTGTCTTGCAATTTTGTCATCCTGTGTTCTTAACTAGAAGCTTTATCCAACCCGTCTGTAAAGCACCGCCTGCTGGGTAACTATAGAAGCGAAAGGGAAGCTGAACAAATTTTGCTATATATTCCACACTCCCATTGCCCAGGAGACATGCCAGTTCTTCCATAGAGGCAAAGGCTCCATTGGAAGATGAAAAGCCTTCAACATGTCAAAAATGATAACTTTTTGTAACAAGAAATTGAGGATCTTTTATATATCATTCAAAGATACATTTCATTTTCATATTGAAATATAAAATTTGAGACAACAAAGCTTATCATGGATTCGACTGAGAGTCTGAGATGTAATATGAATTCTTGTTTCATTGACATATTTGCTTTTTCACCCATTCACCCACAACAAGCAGGGAAGGATGTTCGTCGGAAAAAGCTAGGAGAAAAGGCACATCAATATTTTCCAGGCAACCTGATGTAATGTGATTGCAGTGTCAAATAAAGTTTCCAACCAATTTTATTGATAGAGCTGATAGCAGAAAAGCCAGCTACTTTGTTAACCATGAGTGGGTAAGGCCCTTGATCATTCAACTCCCACATGTTACCATCAAACCTGAAAAAAGGATGGACTACTAATTTCATTGCAGGCTAGATCAGCATCCCATAGTAGATTCTCCTGCTCGTTAAACGAGGTCAAATGCATGCGCTAAAGTAAAAGTCCTTTTTTCATTTCCAACCAAATCCCCTCCACTTCACACCTTCTAAGAAATAGTTTTTCACGACATTTGTTTGAAAAAATTTAAATCACTAATCCAAAATTTTCAGGGAATAAATTTATTTTTCCTTAACTTTGTGCGAACATTTAATCTAAATGATTAAGGAAATTCGTATCTACAAATGATCAAAATGTGCAAAATGTACAAATAAGGATACTCAAAATAACTAGCTACTTTGTTGGGATTAGAGATTATTGGTTTAATTATCCTCAGAATGCAGATGCCAGCATAGTAACATCTATATAAAGCATGCAGCACCAACTGTGGTGAAACTAGACTAATATTCTCTCAATATTAATGAGCTGATGGAATTTCATAGTTTCGATACCAAAATAACAACGTAAAATACTATTTTCACATCTATCATATATGCATCCTTTCAATTTTAAAAGCTGGCTTTGTGGTACATACCTTGCTAATTTCAAAAGGGAGCCTCAAAAGATTCATCCCAGATATCTGCACTTCCATTTGAAGCATCTTCACCATCTTCTTCCATAGAAAGCCTAATATATTCTCTATGTGCAAAACGATCCCACTCTGTCAAAGTTGGATTCTCACGTTCCTAACATATCGATCAAGTAAGCAACAAACCAAGTGAAAAAGAACCACAACAAAATTCCTTATATTGCAGTATTGAAGATGTATGAACACAAAACTACCTGACGGATGAGGAAAGGGTCACGACTTTCGAAAGCAATGAACCTGTTGAGATTGAAAAGAATGTTGAAAACATGGGCAGCGAGTTTGGAACCTTTCATGTCCCGTAGCGTGATGTAGCCCTCATTCTGTAACAAATATCAAGAAGCACCTACGGTCATACAGAAAGAATGTGGCCAAAGCCGCCAAACTAAACAAAGAAAAAAGGAAAAAGATGAGTAGTTAACAAGACCCCAGGAGCAACCTGCGGTCCAATCATGTCAACCATTTGACACAATATATCTTCAAAGAGGACAGGTTCTTGGGCCATGCATTCCATCCTATGCAACTGCTCTTCATAAAAGAACTGCATTTCGTTTTTTGTGAGGATTCCATTCCCATCTATGTCAATGCATTTGAACCTGAAGCAAGTATTCTGACTAATCACAAGACATGATAATATACATAACAATTGTTAATGTTCTCCATAGATAGGAGGTTAAGGCTTTAACACGAAACAAATAAAGTTGTTGGTGTCAAATCTCTGCTCAAAAAGAAAATAGATTGACAAAAATGCTATTTTGCATTACCAACTTATTTTATCAAGGTAAATATCAATCAGAGACTTCATGTTTCTGAATGTTTGTTAACTACACTTTTTCTAAGAAGGAACGAAATAATACCAATACTCTAGGCCAGGTTCAGAAGATTTATCCTCTTCCGACAGTATGAAATAAACAAAATCTTCATAACCCATCTTCCCTTCAACTTTGCTAGTAAATTTCCTTGGTACCTGAAATAAGCTTCAAGCATTAACGACAGAAAAAATTTTGCGTTTTGTTTTTTTTCTTTTTTTTCCCTTCCTCAAAGCTTATCTTGTCACTTAAGAGTAACAATAGCACTCATCAAACAACATGATGCAAATGCGAACCTGAGAAAAAATTCTATCAACAATCCGGTATGTAAGAGCATGGTTACCATATCTGATAAGGTTCTCTTTGTCAATCAAAAAATCATGATCGGTATCGAGCTCCCAAAATTTGCAGTATATTACATAGAAGTGCTCATATGAAAAGTACCTGAATTGAAGAAATTTTTTTAAAAAGAAAAGAGTAGAAAAAACTAGTTAAGAAAAATTAATGAGAACAATTTCAAAGAAAGAGAACATTAAATATTGCACTAATAATTTTCCATAGGAAATAACATTCAATGTAACAATAAAATTTTGACAAGTTTTGCGATCAAGCCAAAAGCAATTTTATCTTCCTTTTATCCATGTTACCAAAGGTGGAAAATGCAGGAATAAAAAAATCAGGAAACAAAAAATTTTCATGCCAGCTGTTGCAGAGAAGTAGATAATTGACAAACGGATGTCCCACTGTGTGTCTTCCCTGCACTGACGTTCCAGAGCATCAATATACACAGCCATCCCCTTGCAGTAGAAGGAGATAGTACAACCAGGTAATAAGGTAAGGTCAGACCAGAAGGAGCAAGTTTATCTGGTCTCGCATTTCTCAGCAATAAGGTCATTTCTAAGAACATTTAGTAAATAAGAAACACTGAAAGCATGTCTTTCAAAAACTCCTAATACTTATGGTTCAATGAACAATACAATCTTTATCCAGCAGGCATACCTTAGAACTTTATTAATGTCTTCCTCCTCATCTACATGCTGCATTGCAGCAATTAGATTCCCACGCTTCAACTCCCTTAGGGTAAGGTGGCCAGTTCCCGATCTATTAACATAGTAAAAAATTCTGTATATAACCGTTTCAGCTGTTCCATTACCGTAAAAGTTAAAAAGTAAAGGTCAGATCCTACAAGTTATTCCTTGTGAGCACAATAAAAATTCGGAAATGAGGCAACAGTTATCTTTAAATCCATTATCCATTCAAAAATCAACTAGCAGAATCACATTTAATACATTTAATACATGCTAAAGTCGTTACAAAAATATCTGATAAATAAGACATCACATAGTATATCAAATCTAATCAGTTTCTGTGGAGAAAAGAAAAGTAGAAATAACATAATTTTAGTTTACAATTGCAATACACCATAATAAATCTGGTTTCCTCAATTGCAGGCTCTGGGGAGGGCCAGAAATGTGCAGACTTCCCCTTTTAATACAAAGAGGCAGCTTCCATGGTTTCAATTCATGACCTCCATGTCACCGTAGAAGGCCCTTATCATTGAACCAAGTACTAACCTCACACAATAATATACAAACATAGGAAATGACTAGTGACAATTACAACTTAACATGTACCTCAGCAGAAGTGCAGAACAATTTAATTGCATCAATAGATACCTAGTTCATTTCTAAGGAAACAATTCACAGAAAGTAAAAGCCAGACTAACAAAAGAAACATCTAAAAATATCAAATGTGAAACAGAGGAAAGTGCAAATGCACATTATTTGGCCCTTGTTAATAATTTCAGACATTAGGCTCATTTATCAATGCTTGGTATTCAATATCATGGATCAAAGTTATAAAGCATAATTATTAGTGATCGATACAGATAAATACAGTATGGTATCACAAAACAAGGCTAACTAATTGTGATCATACCATATCTTTCTTGAAATTCAGGGGTGTTTTGCAAAAATTCCAACCCCGGATGAGTTGCCAAAATTTCTCGTAAAAGAGGCTTGAAATCATCCTGCACTTAAGTTAAAGAATTTAGCAAGTCACAACCAATAACCTTGCAACCACAATTCCATTTATAATAAAAAGTTCTTGCAACCTAGTTCCATGCAGATGGTAAATAGAAATACTAGAAATATCAGGAGGTCAAGCATGATATCTTTCATCAGAGAACAGACCTTAGTAAGGTATCCCTTATCCGGTTGCTTTAGAACTGTAAAAATTCTGGTTGGCAAATCCATGGTCAAGTTGCCTTTCATCCAATAATCAATAAATTGATCCCTACAATATTTAACCAGTAAGCCAAGCAAACACGCAGTAATTGCATTTACAGTATTACTCCACACACACAGGGGTGTGAAAAATGGTATGTTTGGGAAAAACCGAACTGAACTGATCAAAACAAAAACATTTTGGTTTTCTAAAATGTACGCCGTACTTAACTAATTAGCTTACATAACTGAGGCAAACAGTTTGGTTCAGTTCAATGATAGATTGGTGTTAATGTAGATTGTATACCTTGTCACAATGCCAGCACTGACAGCATCAATCTTTCTGAACAAAGTTGTTGAGAAAAAAGATGGAAGCTTACAGAAGCCCTTGGTGATTGACTTGAACTCTGGATAGCAAGACCAGAATAAAATAATATTATATTGATAAGAAAAATTGTAAAACCGAGAAATATACTAGGAACATACTAGAAGAATCTGATTCACAGAATAAATATGCTCACCATGTTCTCGCAGTCCATCCGAGTGACCGCAAAAGTGCTTATTTATTTCAACTAAGCATTGTTCTTTAATTTCATTTGGAACTAGATGGCCATTCTTAAAGTAAAACTGCAAGTATCTTAAACCTAAGTTAGGATTCCTCTGTGATTAATAAGAAAAGTATCTCCTAGCGTAGGTAAAGAAAATATTCATTTGGTGAGTAGTTGGTACCTGAGGTATTACTTCTCGTACTGGTTCACTAACTAATTTTAGTGGAGAACCTAAAGAAGAGGGACCAGTCCTCTGTTTCGTAATACGTGGTGAACCTGATGAATTACGTGGTGAAAGTGGAGGAGCGCTGCCAGCAGCAAACATGGATGGTAATGAATTGTTCAAAACAACATTAGTAGTAGTAGCATTGCCAAGGGCATTAAAGGTAGCCCGAGTCTTCATGTCAGCAAGCAAAGATGTCACCTAGTTCAAACAGCACATAACTAAACAATCATCAAAAATAAAATGAGAAAGGATATACCATAGAGGAAATTTTTATAGCTTCAATTTAAATAATGAAATTGAGGACTCGAGATTTCATCATTGCTCTAAACATCATGCACTAGACGTGCAAGCACTCTCTTTGCCAGCCCTTTAGGATTTAGTACTTCCATTCTTTTCTTTACTTTTTTTTGTTCTCTTTTCTTTTTCTCTTCTTTATAAAACTAAGTCCAATACACTATAGGTAAAGCTTGGAAAAGTGCCAAACCAAGGACTTCTCTTTTTCTCTTTTAACCAAATTTAATGTAAAGCACCCATTGGAGTTACTAACTCATGCAATTCTTTCTTTGATTTATTGCTTCTTGCTTAGAAATTTAGAACAGTTTTGCATAGAAATTTTATAATGTCGACCTATCTAATACCTTTACGAAAATTAAGCCACCAAATCCAAAATTCAAGATAGAATTTCAAAAATCCCATCAAACTGGCAAAACGAACATTCAAAAATATGGTTATAGTTTGTCCAAAATTCTTCTACACATAACATGAACCAACAAATAAAAAGCAAAATTCATAAATGAGAAATGAGATTGCAATAACAATAAAAAGTTAATGACATTTTTTCAAGTACCAATCGCGAACTATCAGAAAGCGAAAGCCACTGCGAGAAAAGCTCCTCAGCGAGACCGGGATTGGCTTTAAGTGCCAATGGTGACAGTTCCGGTAGATTTAACAATTCTGTGTCCAGCGATGCCATGTCACCAACTACACCTTCCATATCCACCATTTTCTATAATAATCTCAAGTATATCAAACAACACAACCCTAGATCCCAAAATTTATCTTCCAACAGAAAAAAAAATGGAAAAACGAAAGTAACAATTTGCGAAAACTGAAACAGTTGCAATGTCAAGTAACCATATAAACCGTATGTAGATGGTTTAGATCGAGAAAAAAGAGAAATCTGAGAGCGTTGTTTGGGTTTACGGAGAAATCAGAGAGGTGAAGCCAAAGTGTTTGATGAAATTACACGAATAAAACCGCACAGGCAAATTGCATGCACAGTACAAATGGAAATTGCCCGGGACAGAGTCGCATATGATCAGCTCTTAACCACCCTCTTCCCTCGTTTTTTTTTCCCCCTTCGTTGAGCTAACTCAGAGCCTGGACCCCACAATGGTATTCTGAATGGACGGTTTCGTAATTGTGGCTGTGCGTGCTTACATTTTTATTTGATTCAATTAAATAAAGGTTAAATAATTATTTGTTGCCTTCCAATTTCACCATAATTGTAATTTTATCTCTGGTATAAATACACGTGCTTAATTTCTAAAGTTTAGCTTCATCAATGTTACCATATAATCTCTCACATTTATCATTTTTGTTAGCACTTTATGGTAAAAACAACATTTTTTTAGGTTAATAACTAAATGAAGAATATTAAATTAAAAATAAACAAATTTAAGAAATAACATCAAACTTTTTTTTTTCCCCAATTCAACGCTTGAAAATCGTAAGCGGATGTGCTCCTATTGTTATATATTTATTAGATTATTACATAGTAATAAACTTTAAAATGGAATACAAATGCACATGAACTATTCCATTGAGATTGCAACTTCAGGCCACAAAATTCCGCCTATACCAGAGGCAAAATTTTTCTTACAAATTGCACTATGCACAACATAAAACTTGGAAACAGAAAAGGCAGTAACATACAGAAAAGAAGCCAGAGTTCATAATAGTCTTTAAATTGAAGTTTCTTCCCCAGAAAAAAAAAATACAATAACTGTCATTATTACAGTTACTAGTGTCTCAAAATATTAACAATTCCCTAATGCGAATTGACACGTCTTCTAGGATGAGTCCAGCGGGCCTTATAATTGCAAGAGTCACTGAAGTGGTAGAGCAGGAGTCCAGTGGTCTCTCCATGCGAACTTTGTTGAGCTTTTGTGAATGGACACACATATACAAAGTAACTGCTAATACACCATTATAATCCCAAGATCTTCATAGAAACTACACCAGGGAATTTCGATCCCCTACCATAAAGAAATCCTTTTCTTTCTACAAGGATCCATTTAATTATTTCCTTTTTCCGGTGCCAATGGACAAGAGTTCAAAGCTCCTTAGCGTATCATCACGGCCAGCTCTTGCTGCTGTAGCACGAGTAAACGACGATGACTTGGACTCAAAACCAGGTTGCACCCTGTGGGTGGTGGACAATCTAGCGCTGCTTGTGAGCAGCCGGCTTGACCGACTCTCACTAGGCTCACCAGATGAGCTTGGCCGACTGCTTGATACAATGGCCCTCTTCGAAGTACTGCCATTTCGTGATGATGGTCGGTGCCTTTCAGAATCAGGATGCTGGGGATTTAAGGAGGTAGGGAAAAAAGGAATGAATGCAATGGTTCAGAAGCAAAATCCAAGTGTAGCAAATTATAAGTGCAGAACAAAACGCAAGATAAAGAAAAAAAAATTAAAACATGAAAAAGTGCACAATACATATAGCATGACTCACCACATCCTTGGAGGATGGAACATCATCTGAAGACCTGTGTCGGGAATGATCCCCATGTAAAGGATGCCCAGAAGAGCCATTCCTTCGAGCAAATGCCTCAACTGCCCCTGAGAATCTGTCTCGGATCTCTTGGCCCACTGGATGAAACATATAAAATTATGTCAAACTTATGCAACAAGCCCATCTAATTTTCATTTTACAAATAAGAAATATCAGACTATTAAAGATTCAGAATCTGCCAAAGGGAGCAGGAAAAAAGGTAGTATGGATAGAACCATATTAGGTACCAAAAGCAATAATGATAACTCCCCTCATATTCCATATTTCAGGAGAATTCTTATTAATTAAGATTATATTGCTCAAGAATGAAATGCATATCCCAAAAAAAAAAAAAAAACAAAAATAAAACCTGAAGGTCGCTCCAGTCTTTCTGCTGATGGACCTGGATTTACAGCTGGTTTGTTGCTTGGCTATTGAAGGAAGACAAGAAAACAGTTATTTTAAAATAACGAAATGTACTACAAATATGCTTAACAAGGAACAAAATAGAAAATACACTTTCTAGAGAAATGAATGCCAAAAAACTAACAAACACTAACCCTCACTCTAGAACTGGAGCCAATCTGTGGGTACTTCAATATAGTCCAGTCAAACACATAGTCAAATTGATACCCTGCACCAATAACAATCAGTAAGACCCCGAAAAGATTCTAAACTGGCAGAAAAATATCAACTTAATAGAATATAAAATTTCTGAATCAAACTAAAATAACAGGAGCCAAATAATATTCTGAGCAAATTAACCTTCTCGAATGAACAAGTCCCGGAAAAGCCTCTTCAGGTATGAATAATCTGGTGTATCTTCAAATCGCAATGATCGGCAATAATGGAAGTACGATGTGAATTCTGAAGGATAGTTTTTGCAAAGAAACTGCCAAACAACGGAGTAATACTTCATATGCAGTCTAAAGCATGTTGAACACTAATATATTCACAAGGACAAACTAATAATTAAATCGTAAAATTGGTCCTCTTCCACCTGTAATCTCCCATTGCAATATTGTGAAGCATAAATTGATAACAGAGAATGAGCATTTGGAGGCTTGGAGCAAAGGCAAATGATGATACCTCTATGGGAGTAAGCATCTTCTTTTCACTGATCTTGTCATATTTCTGCTTTTTCGTACCAGCTTTCAAACCCTGCCAGGGAAGGCTGAAACAGCCAAATCCAAAGAAAATCAAAGTTCATTCCATTTAAAAAAGGGAGTATATTAAACGGAACAAGGTCAACCAAGCCAAAGAAAACTAAGTTGAACATGTCATTGAATTTGAGAGAAACAGTAAAGCTTGTAATTGAAATGCCAACCTTCCCCTAAGGAAATACATAAGCACATAACCAAGAGATTCCAGATCATCCCTTCTGCTTTGCTCTGGACGTAAAACATTATCATATTTAAATTAGTTAGATAAAATATACAATGTTGGAAAATTTGGTACAGTGGCAACATGCAGTACCCATCTTCAATTAGCAGCTACAATAACTCACTCACCAACTCCAAGATGTGTGTTAACGCTAGCATACCGAGCTGTGCCTGTAAGATTTTTGTTTTCCCTGAAAGAAAAACCAGATGGTTTTCAAGAACAAAACAGAAAGAAGCTTACAAAAGGAAGAATGTAAAAGATTTGTAAGATGTTGACATCTCGACAATAAATATATTAGGTTGTCTTGATGCAGGTTTTAAGGACAGACAATAGCCTAAAGAAAATAAAAAATAGAACACCTCTAAGATGGACAAAAACATAAGTTTAATGTCAAATGTTCCTGGGCAACTAGCCTGAAAGGCATGCAAACAAATTGCAAATCAATCACTAAAAATACATGAAAAGTTACTAGAACAACTTTACATAAGCAAGCAACATTACTGACAACAGGCAGGTCCACGACTCACTGTCCCTGTTAAGGCACAAGATACCAAATACATAATTTTCCTGAATTCAAGCCTCATACAATAAAGAAAGCGTACACAACAGCTCTGGCATCTCGGGCGTTGCATGGATGATTGTGATTTATAAACTTACGAGTGACGAGAATTCTAGAATACAAGTCACCATTATATTGGTCCAACTTACTGCTTTAAATTTACTTTATTATTCTAATTTTCCATTGCAAAACATTTTCCAGCCTACATGAATGAGATGAGGTTTCTTTCTGCGACACTAAGTTACAATTCAAGAGTGTGATCTCATTTTACAACCTTGAATCGACCCAAATAAGGCGAGTGAAATAGATATCAGATATAGCCTCAATATATCCCAAATATTTACATAGTTGTTATTCCAATACCACCATTTTATTCTAAAAAGCAAGTCATAACACCAGTAAGAAGTTGCTAATCTGCAAATGCTAGATTACTTCTTAGAAAACTAGCAGTTCGATTCCTTTCCCCTGCTAAGATATGAATCCTGACATATGCTAAGGACACTGGACAAACCAATCCCAAAAAGGCATACCTTGGGGATGCTTCTCAATCCATATTACTATTACTATATAATAAAAGTAAGAATAAAAAACAACATATCGTTTCTTAATCTTTGTTTGGCCCACCAAGCTAAGAGTTAACATTCATAACCAAATAGAAAAAACCAAAAGGGAACATAAGAATATTCAGTAGCATGCTAAAACGAACCAAAACAAATAAGCCACTAAGAAAGCGCAATTTGCAGGAACACCTGGATTCCACAATCTTAATGAAACCTTATGCAAGAAATATAATTTTCCTCACCTATATGGTATATGCTTGTGTGTTTGAAGATCCTTGTACTTTTTCGCAAGACCATAATCAATGATATAGACCTGTGGTTTAAGGGGTAAAACACACAGAAATATCAAGAAAAAACTATCAGGCATCCTAGCACATGAGTTCTGCTGATATTTCATAAAATGCTAACAACTAAAACAGACAAAATAAGCTGAACAACTAAGCTCTCTCATGAGAGCTCCATAAAATGACAAGTGCCATGAAATTGTAAAAAAAAATCAATAGCTGGAAGGACCATCATTAACAAAAGTCTACACTTTTAGCTACCGAAATTAAGAGCATGCTCATAACAATTCAAAATTCCCATACTTCTCTCCACAATTCCGTCTTTACAAGTTTGTAGACTTTGCAAAACCTCATCATTTTAATTAAACAAATAGGTCAAAAGCTCATATTTTGATGAAGAATATCTAGCCTCATCTCTTTCAAATTTCCACTCTCAAATCCATCAACATCCAACTTCACTTATTATTACCATGTTACAGAAAGAAAGATGACTGATTAGGATCATGGAAATGGCAGCACTACAAAATGAAGGTCTCAGCTTGATTATTGTCATGATAATCATGTTGATCATGCAAACTGTTGTTGCATAAGATTGAAAAAGAATAGCAGAATCGACAAGGTCAACATCATAAAATGCCAACACATGTGATGCTGTGAAATGGCTTCCCATTAACTCATCTTAATCTGTTCCTTCTCTTTGTCTTCAGTCCCCATATCGAACATCTCAATTGTTGCTTCTTTTTTCCACTACCATTCTGATTACTTTGATATATCTATGTCTTATTCAAACCTTCACCACAGATTCAAGGGAGATTTTTTTGCAGCAAATAAATTCGAACAAATGGTAATTAAATGATGAATGATGTTTCCAACAAAAGACACAATAAATACGTTAAATCAGAACTTAGAAGTGGCATGGTTAGAACAGTACAATTGAATACAGTTGACAGGCAAAAACAGAAAAGAGAGAGGATAATTTCATGCAAAAGCACACTAAAAAGACAACTACCTGATTTGCTTTGCGCCCTAAGCCCATTAAAAAATTGTCAGGCTTTATATCACGGTGAAGAAAACCCCTTGAATGCATATACTCAACTCTGTTTATCTACAAGAAAATCATGGAATATGCATAAGTACAGTAACTATTTCACACCAAATGTTTCTCAACAACTGGCATACTTACTAATTGATCCGCAAGCATCAAAACTGTTTTCAAGGTAAACTTCCGATTGCAATAGTTAAATAAGTCTTCTAAGCTTGGTCCAAGAAGGTCAATAACCATAACATTGTAATCGCCCTCAACTCCAAACCATTTCAGATGGGGAATACCCGCTTCACAATGATAAAGTGACAGATAAGAAAAATATAAATAACATGACATAGACTCACATCCAAAATACATGCATATATACAAATACATAAATCAGCTATCAGAAAACTAAACGCCAATCTTACTTCCTCCTTGAAGAAGTATATAAAGCTTTGACTCATAATGAAGTTGAGGATGCTTTGTCTTCACAGATTCCTATAGAAGCCATAAGATGCAGGTCAGTGGCAAAAATAACTACATATTCACATGCTGTAAGCTTATGTCCAAGTACAATGCTAAAATAATAGGTGTTTTTACTGTGAATTCAAATTAAGGCACTTTCTATTGTAAATGCAAATGGATTCTCCAACATTTCTCTTTCATCTATTATAACTTACATAATTAAACCACTCCACAATGCTAAAAACAATTGTCTAAAGAAACTTATACATTACCTAGAAGAAACATCCAACAACAGAAGTCTTATAGCATGGCATTACTAACCAACGCAACGGAGCAAATATATTAGGAGTACAGTGTTCAAAATGCTAATTAGAAGATTATGCAGCGTCACACCCATATAGAAGCTTGCCAAGGGAAGCACAAAACCAGCAGTTGGATATCAAGAAAGAAAAATAATACTTGCATAAGAACTGAAAGTTTACCAAATTCATATTTGGCAATCTAAAGATGCAAGGGGGAAAAAGACAAACTGCTAAGGGTAATGAGGGGAAAAGAAAAGAATTGAACTTGCATTTCCTCCTGTTTTAATCCTTCTTAAAAGACTATCTTTTTAAAGTAAAAAGACTCTCTTTTTAATCCTATTTCCTTCTATCTTTTGTTTATGTTGTTAGTAGTTCTCAGTAAACTTCTAAAGTAAAGACCACCATAGTAAATGAATAACTATGTCCCTTGTTTTCCAAATTGGAAAAGAATTGTTAGTTTCCAAATTTCCCTTCAACTCAACCCACATTCTTTTTTGCCCCTTTTAATTTGAAGGGCCCAAATAAGAAGTTTAATTTAAGTTCTCTTACTTCCATTCTTTTCTCTCCACATTCTTCAAAAAGAAACATCAATTAGTCATTGCAAGCAAATCAACTTGCTAAATTTATCAAACTCCTAAAATAAAACTAAGAAGAAGCAGAATAAGTAAGAACAAATTTCTTCTTATCAATTATCAGACAGAACTATTACTTCAAAAACAAACTGAACTATAAGACTTCAGCATATTCAATTATGATCAATATTATTATAAAACAAGTGAGAATCAATTGACAACCCTCCAAAGAAGAAAGAGGGAAAGAAAAACGTACCAACTTAACAGCCACTTCCTCTCCACTCTGTACGTTGATACCTGAAACAAATCAAACAAAGTAAAGCATAAAACAAAATAATAATACAAAAAGAGTAGTAATCAAAATAAAGCAATGCTACTGAATAAACCCTAAATTGCATACCCAAATAAAGTTCACCAAAGGATCCACTACCGATCTTCCGACCCAACTTAAACTTGCCACCAATCACATGATCCATGATTAACACTCCCAATTAAACACTATACTGCACTAACCAGAGTTACCAGACGCTAGTCAAATACTAATTATCCCTCGCTGCTTTACAATTAAATTCACCAACCACAGTGACCCAAAACTGTTCCCTTATTGGAAAGCACAGCGACTCTCAGATCCATCAATTTTATTAAACATGTATCATGAAAAAATCATCCTCATCGATCAGCCAAAAATCCCTCTTAAAGCGGATATGGAAAAGGATTAAACGATCCTAATATTATCTAAAACCAACAGCAAAGCATGAGGTTGCTCGTACATAAAAGGAACAACCATTAATCAGTGAACAGAAATTGAAGGTTTAAGAATAGTGAAACTGCATTTCTTGAGAAAGTAAGGAGAGAAATAGGCGGAAAAAACAAAAGAGAGGCGTGTTTGCAACTGGACCAAAGAAAACTTTCCCTGCTACTACTACAATTATTATTTTCTTGAGATAGGGTGTAGAGAAAGTATAAGAGAATATCTAGTGCAGACGGTATTTGCGGCAAGAATTTGGGGATCTTTAAGGATCTGGGTCAAGGACAAGTATAGATTTTTCTCGGAAAATTTCCAGATTCTGGGAAAAGAATAATAATGAAGACAAAGAAGAAAGAGGAGGTAGAGAAACAAACACTAGTGAATGAAAAAAAATGGATATGATGATTGATGAAAGGAAATGCTTTTTGGTGATATATTATTGGGATTTTTTACTTTCTTAATTTTATTTTATTTTATTAAGAAAATTGTTTTGTATTGTTGCTACTTGAATCATTAGTGGTATGTATAAGCTTCTCTTGCTCTGCTTCACTAATCTGGATTTTCTATTTTTATTTTTATTTTTATTTTTCTATTAATTATATATTTTTGGAAAAAATTAAACGTTTACTATATTTGTAAAAAATCGCCGTCGTTTTATTGTTTTTTCTGTGGATTTTTTTTCCCTGTTAACAGAAGACAGCAGTAAAAACAAAAGCAAGTTGAAAATAAGAAAACTATTTTCCTAAAAAGCATTTTCTGCTTTTTTTATTTTGGCATTTAAAAAAAATTAAATCATTTGAAACAATGACAAACAACTTTTTCTTCCTTAAAAAAGAAGATTACGTAAAAAATTTTAACAAAATCACCATAAAAACAAAAAATATATAAATATACACCTATTAATTTATAAATTTTAATATTCACGTTGTTACGTGTAACCACGACAATTCATAGTTTTATATATTAATTTTTTCTTGTAATTTAACAATAAACTACAAAATATGAATATTGTATAACCATCATCATTTATATAGATTTGTAAATTGTAATTTTATTATAAATGAATTGAAAAATATTTTTAAAAAGTTACAAAAAAAAGTTATTTTTCATTAAATAATCAAGCTTCACTTTTACCTACCTCAATTTGATTTTTTTTTTTTTTTTTTTTTTCACTTTTAACCTACCTCAAATTTGATTTTTTTTTTTTTTTTTTTTTGAGAGAACCTTGATTTGATTTTGAATGTGAAAATCAAATAATTTTATCAATTAAATCTAAACACGCTGCGGTATTTACAAAATGTAGTATTTACAAATTTGATTTTTTTTTTTTTTTTTTTTTGAGAAGAACCTTGATTTGATTTTGAATGTGAAATCAAATAATTTTATCAATTAAATCTAAACAGCTGCGGTATTTACAAATGTAGTATTTACAAGTACTTTGAAAGGAATTTCAAATTAATTTTTTTTTCTGACATTTCTTGATATATATTTTTATATTTTTATTCATGTGATAATGTACTATTGCAATATGGATAAAAGATAGATTCTTGCCATTCCTTAAAATAAAAAGAAAAAAGGGTGAAATATTTTTTTTGAGTAGCCAATTAGTAATAAAACTGCATTTCTTTCTTTTTTTCTCTCACTCAAAAACTAAAATAAAAATAAAAATAAAAAAGAGTAGAAAGTAATGATGATGAAGTTCCCCAATAAGTAATATGATCTAGTCAAAATTAGGGTTTGAAAATTGAATTGAAGCTTCAAAACCCAGAACCACTTTTGTCAGTGGCTGCAATTTTTAGCATCTTATAATATAATATATATTATGTATGTATAGTAGCTTTCATTTGTTTACAAAACAGATAAAATAGTTGGTAACCGAATTGACCTGTGGATTGTTATTAATTGGGGAGTATATGTTCAATATGTATAACTGGTCCATATTGCTTTCTTCTTTTAATACAAAGATTTTAATTATATTAGTGGTGTCTGATTTTTTATTTTATTTTATTAATTTTAATATTTAAATGAAAAAATTCAATTAAGTGTATAAATAAAATAATTATAATCAAATATTTATCAAGCATAAAAACATAATAATCATTATAATAAAAAAAATACACTATTTAATAAGTAATATATTTTAAAATTTTCATATTTTTCCACTATTTTCTTCCCTCTTTTTTTTTTCAAACAAAGCATAAACTACCATCATTTATGATGTTGAAACACTCGATAAACACTTGGTTGTGATCATTTTTTTTTGTCCAAACATCCAATTAAAATTTTCTTTTTTGTTTATGCATTACGAATTAGGATTGATTCAGGGCTTTTTAGTGGGCCGGCAATCTCAATTGCCCACCTTATCTTCCCAACTTTTTTATTTTATATTGATTTCGGTCCATTTTAGTACTACTTCAAACCTCGTTATCTTCCACTCGTTGTAGCACAACACATGAAAAAAACTTATCTAGTCTGGGTCGGTGCCTCACCTTATAAATCAAATTAATGAAATTAAAAATTTATAAAAAGTATTACGATTTTATTATTTTTTTTACTGTATAGTCTGAAATATCATCATTTCAATAAAAATTCTTAATTTCATTAGTTTGGTTTATAAGTGAAATCATGAACCCAGTTTAAATAATTTTTTCCCTCAATATATATAATACTAAGTCCTAACTTTATGACTCCATATCAAGCTAGCATATCAAATGAACTCCTTAATTAGCCAAAATCCTGATTATGATTGATGTTGATGCAAATTCCATTATTAACATTACTATTATTACAAACCCTAACCCTACCAATAAAAGTTATCCCTAAAGTATCAATTGGTAGTATGCAAACCACCTTACCCTTAAGTGCATGCACTATATTATTAATGAGCAGCCAACCCTTGGGGAAGGAAAAAAGATGCATCTAAATCTTGTGGGCAGGATTGTTTCTTGCAATCAAAGTGAGAAATTCAAGAAATGAGGTTTTCCTATCACATACGGCTATGTCATTTTCAAAGGAAACTCAACAGCAAACACCACTTCTATCATTTGTGCTTGAAAAGTTAATAATAAGGGTCTTGCTTTAAATAGGGTTCCTCGATCTTTCTATTTTTATTTTTTATTTAAAGATAGAATTGTCTCATCTTTAAATTACAAGCATTGTGGCGTCGGACAAGATGGATTTTCTTTAATCACACGTAAGCTCCGTTTGTCCGTAAAATAACTTCTAGAAAAATATTTTCATGAAAAATATTTTTCAAATAACTTATTTCCCGTTATTTGGCTATAATATTAAAAATTAGTTAAAAATATTAAAATCTTTATCTGCCATAAAAAATATTAATAACAATAGAAAGTTTATAATTTAAAAATTTTATGATTAAATATGAAAAGAATGCAAAAAAGAATATATAAATTATGACAGCCGTTGATGGCTCGTGGTGGTGGCGGATAGTGGTGGTCCGTAGTAAATGATGACTGTTGATAACAATTATGATGATTAATAAATTAAAAAATATGAATTTATAAGGTTTACCAATGTTTAAAAAATGTTTTACTCTCTCGAAAATGAAAAGTGTTTTCATTAAAAAATGACTTAATTTTCCTTTGACCAGGAAAATATTTTCCGTTAACTTATTTTGTCTTTTCCTGAGTGCCCTAAATAACGAAAAATTATGAAAAATATTTTTCTATAAATTATTTTACGGAAACGAAATAGAGCCTTAGATAATTGATTATGGCAAGAAGATAGTTCAATTGTACTATGATTTGATCTATAACCACCATTGACTTCGCAAAAATTAACCACAGAATAACCTAAGCTGTTCACCAAGCAAAAACAAGCACAGTTCTTAAGCCAATGACAAGCAGACATTAAAGTAGCAAGTAGCAGCAACTATCCAGAGAGGGAGAATTTAATTAATTATTCACTAATTTCATCTCACAATTACAACGAATATCCTAATTCAAAAAATTTTAATCAACAATAGCTCACAAGAAAGAGGGCTCATGAAAATTGCATGTTATTACGGAAAAATTCAACACCTTCTCAAGTTGCATGTCTCATAGGAAAATTTTTTGCACCAGACCGCAACTTACCTGGACATAGTAAGCGTATATAATTAGGTTAAAAAGATCATATCTTTTCCCTCGATCTTGCAGATGTTAAATCCGTAAATCAACCATACTTTCCGATAACCAACTCCCTTTTCTTGAAATCTTAGTAAAAACAAACTCAGAGTTGTCTGGACGTCTACACGAACCTGAACAAAAGGGTGACCCAGTGTACGAAGCATCCGACCTTGTAAGCTTTGGAAAGATTGATGTAGGCAGTTTTCGCTCTACTTTGTAGGGAGACTGTTTTCAGCGGCTTAAATCCATGACCTCCAGGTCATAAATAGAGTAATTTTATCTTACACCAAAAGCCATCTTCTATCAAACCTGAATGACCACAAAAAATTTGCGGGGAGTCTCTTGCTCCTTTTCACCAATAGTCTCCACATGAACACTTTCCATCCTTAAAATGGTGAAAACGGTTATTATCCCTCACCACTATTTCTCTCTCAACTATCTTTGATATAAATTTTGTTGCTGTATGGCAGTCGACACACACCCGGATGTTCTTTGTGACTCGAATTATTGTCCCAGGAGGGGTGCTGATTAGGCCAAATGCTATGGCAAGTCTCTCACTATGGCCATATAACAAGTATTTCTTCTGCTCCTCCTCAACATCATGAAACACCTGACTTGTGTCAGGAACATACCCTTCTCGTTCCATCTTATCTACTAGGACTTTCAAAGCCTCGCTTATTTTGTCATAATTAGGATGGGATTTATCTCCTGATACAAAAGCATGCATCCTGTTTTTAACTTCAATCCAACTGCAAGCAGTATTTTTCTTTAGGCCCTTATCCCTCATAAGGACTCGCAATTTTGACACCTCTTCCCATCTCCGGGCAGCTGCATATGTATTTGACAAGAGAACATAGGCTCCCACATTCTCTGGATCATCCTCAAATATCTTCTCAGCAACCTTTTCAGCCATGTCAACATTCTTATGGACTCTACAAGCGGCCAGCAATGCTGACCAAACACTCCCTGCAGGTCTATCCATACTAGATATTAACTTATAAGCTTCATCCAACTTTCCTGCTCTACCTAGAAGGTCTGCCATTGCGGCGTAGTGTTCCAAGCCTGGAGCAATTCCAAAATTCTGAGTCATACTGTTGAAATATCCCCAAGCTTTATCTATCAAACCAGCATGACTACAAGCAGTTAATACAGCCATAAAAGCTACATAGTTTGGTCTTATTCCCCCCATCTCCATCTTCTCAAACAAGGAGATGGCATCATTGGCATGACCATGTAAAGCATAACCCATGATTATGGCTGTCCATGACACCATGTCAGGTAGCTCCATTTTATCAAAGATCCATCTAGCTACTTTAACATTCCCACATTTGGCATACATGTCCACGAGTGAACTAGCTATAAACACATTGTCATCAAATCTGCACCTAATTATGTATCCATGCAGCTGCTTACCCAAATTTAATGTTGTCAAATGAGCACAAGCTGGTAAGATACTGGAAAAAGAAACCTGCCGAGGCTTAACTTTAGCCTTCACCATCTGCCGGAAGAAGCTCAGGCCCTCACCAAATCGATTGTTCTGCACACACCCTGCAATAATTGAGTTCCATGAAATGTCATCTCGTTGAGGTAATATGCTAAACACCCGTAACGAATCTTCCACTCGAGCACACTTTGCATACATGTCGATTAAGCCACTACCAATAAACACATCTCCATGAAAGCCCTGTCTTATGACATATCCGTGAATCTCTTTCCCCTTATCGACATCCACATATTCTGCAAAGATAGGAAGCACACTTGACAAAGTGAATGAATCAGGCTTCAAGTTGGCATTTCCCATCTCCCTAATCATCATTAGTGCTTCTTCATACATCCCATTCTGTGCATTCCCTGCAATCACTGTATTCCAAGAAACGAGATCTCTTCTTGGCATCATCTCAAAAACCTTTCTTACATCATCCATTTTTGAATTCCGTCTATCCTCCTCTCCCATATAATTATTATGATTTTCCATGTAAGACCAATCGAAGATTTTGTTGTTTCCATTAATTTGAGGCGAAATATGACTAGCTTGATTCACACAAACATTTTTACCAATATCCAATATTTGTCTCGAAAATTTGTTAACCAATTCACTATGATAGATTCTATCAGGCATTCCATCAAACAGCTTACATGTGTCTTTTCTCTGGGAGCCATTCCTACCCAAACTTCGAAATTTTGCATACATATTCATAAGGGCATTGCCAGTGTACAAATCAAAGTCCATACCCAATCTAATAATGCAGCCATGGATAGACTCGCCTAATTTTAGGTCTAACAATAAAGTACATGACTTTAGCACAGAAGGGAACACATTATGATTTGGGTATTTACCGGAAGCTCTCATTTGCAGAAAACATTTCAAGGATTGAATAAAAAGGCCGTTGGCAGCATAACATCTGATGATTGATTTATAGGCAAGAATTGGCGGCGAGTGGAGGGTGTTGAAGATAAGGAGGGAATCATGTAAGAGGTTGAAGTTGGAGTAGATGGAAATGAGAGTAGAGAGGTGAACGGAATAGGAAGGTTTGAATTTGAGGATTTGGGCATGAAGTTGTTTGGCTTGGGATTTGGAGCTTATTGTTTGGGGGCTTCTGAGGAGTGCTTTGATCATGGAATTTGTACTGGTCATTGGTTCGTGGGATTTTCCCGGTTGCTGTTGCCGTCGAAGATTTGGTGGGAAACGTTCTTAAATTTTCACCCAGCGCTCTTTTTCGAACATTCCATTTTTTAAAATTATCGGTTTCTCTGGCACCAGTGAACAGCAAACAAGTGAATAGTATAGTTTCTACTTTCTATTGTTGGATTTTCTTTTTCTTTCTTTCTTTTTTTGGTAATTAGCGTTAGATTTTAATTACCGACAGTAATTGACTATAGCTACAATTCTCTACTCCCTCAGTCAGTTCCTTCAAAATTCTTGCGTACAAAGCAATCAACTCATTTAAATTATAAACAAACCACTTTTTAATTTGACTAAACTAATATTCAATTCATCTAATACTCCAATATAAAAATTTTATAAAATTTATTTATTTATAATCAAACTCCATTTAAAATTATAAAACAAACCACTTTTTAATTTGACTAAGACTAATATTCAAGTTCGATCTAATACTCCAATTAAAATTTTATAAAATTTATTTATTTCATAATATATATATATATATATATTATTATATATATATTGTATATATATATGTATATTATGTATATATATAAAATTAAACTGATGTATATATGTATATATATTAAATAAACTGAAAAAATAAAATTTAATATTCTTTCATCTTCTCAAAGATAGTTTTAGACAAAATAATTTCTATGAACAAGAAGATAAAAATAAATGGAAGAAATATAATAACAAGATTAGCATATCTCAATGTGATTTCATTAAAGATCAATTCCAGTGAGCATCCACAATTTCATCTCATTAAAGTTTTGATTCAGGTCTAAATAAAACTGACCTGAACCTTAAACATCATTAAGAAACCTTAAACATCATTGGAAAATAATAAAATGCATATATGCGAGATATAAGAGTGAACTGAATGGTATTTCTGTTGCCATAATTTAAGAGAGACTTTCAACCATTTCAGCACTATAAAGTTCAAAACAACCACTTACATAAAAACATCTAGAATGTAAAATTAGTACTCAATGGGATCATGCTATGATAAATTCTACAACCAACAAGGACCAACAAAATTAATGCGTGTTCTTGAAAGCCTGAACTCTCAGTCATCTTCACGTTCAGGGGGTAGACCGCATGGCAAAAGCATTTTCTGCATATTTTAAAAAAATAAAAACAAGGTGAGAATCATTGAGATAAATAGTAAACTTGCAAAGTTAATATTAAAGTACATTAATTCTTCGGCGCTCTCTCTCTCTCTCTCTCTCTCTCTCTCTGCATGTGTCATCTGCCCATATAGTCTCCATGACCCATATCAATAAAACCCTCCAGAAACATTTGATTCCCAGATCGCAAGGTTTTGCAAGATTTTAAAAGTTCAAAGTTTTGACCTTGCATGTGATTATCCAATCATGAAAGCTAGTTTCCCTGCATTAATCAAAGCTTTAACTAAGGTAGTTCACCGACACTGATGTAAAAAGGCTTGTTCAGAAGCAAATAGATAATCCACCTGTAACTGTATCTGGCTGCTCAAATGCACTTCTATCATGGTCCTCCTAATAAAAATACATTATAATAATACAAGCTATCGGCTTTCCTAGAGCAAGAGGATTACCAGAAGAGGACTAAATTAGAGAGGGAGAGAACTTTTATCCCTTAAAGATGCAGCCCCAAACTAATGTATCCAACACAAATAACCAGAATAAAATTTTGCAAACCATTGCATAACAAGGAGACGTAATTTAGACTCATTACCCAAAACTTTCAAGAAATCCAACAACAAACTTACACCGTCTCCATAAAAGGGTGATTGCTTAATACGCTAATAGATCACGCTAGAGTTGCATTCACGAGAACCACCTCTAGTCCCATGCAAGACTACACCAACGGGTATGCAAGGGCTTGCTTATTCCCTTGATGTATTGCATAATTTCACTAACAAGGAAACTGGTAATAGCAAATATTGCCAATAGTATCTAAAAATGAGTTGTTCAACGGCAAAGGTACACCTCAAATTGATCAAATCAATTCAACTATAGATACAATAGGATCGACTAATTGCAGTCAACTAGATTTATTTATTTTACATCAATTGATTCAAAAGCCATAAGTTTAAATTCTATAAATTTGTCATCAGATATTTTCTCATATTCAGATTTTGTAAACTAATGGTTGCTAATTTCTCTCTTATTTATTCACCATTAGCGTTTGTCACACAACCATTTAATCCACTTTTCCTATCATTATAACTAAAACTAAAAAAAAGAAAGGCATATAATTCTAATTGATTCACTATAATCTAAACTTCACGAACAGCAACTTTAAGTAAAAATAAAAATTTATTAAAAAGGAACAATTATAAGAAGAATAAGAACCTGCATAAAGTTATAACGCTCTCTTCCAATTGACTCATTTTCAGCAACAGCAAAATAAGCCAATATAGGGTAATGCCCAATATATGATGCATAACTATCACGCTGGATATTCATCGCCCACTCGCTGCACATAAAAAAGTATAATCATTTCATGCCAATAAAGTCACAAAATAAACAAAAAGTTCCAAAAAAAAAAAAAAAAAAGGGAATATAAACAAAAAGTTCCAAAAAAAAAAAAAAAAAAAAAAGGAAGAGAGAAAGAAAACCTCACAATTCTGTTTTAAAAAAAAAAAAAAAAAAAAAGGGAGAGAGAAAGGAAAAAAACTCACAATCTGTTTAAATCGGCGTGACCAGTTCCAACATACTTGGCCTGAAGATGCTCAAGCTGGGAATTGATGTTAAACCTATCACTGGCCTGCACAAATACAAGTAGAATTTCTTAATCAATACCGTTTATATGGAGTTCCCGATTTTTAGGGTTTTGTTCATGAAAAAGGAGAAGTAAACTATGAGGCAAAGCACAAAAATCAGAAAATAAAAAAAAAAAATTTTTGAAGAATTAAAAAAAAAAGAGTTACCTGCATGATTGGAGATGGAGAGACACAGAGAGAGAATTAACGAAAAGAAAGACACTCAAAGAGATCACAGGTAACTCAGAGATTTTCGCGGACCTTTAAACCGACCTGACCAGTGACTAGATCCTCTCTAAGCTTAACGAGAGTTCTGCTATAGATCCTTTTTAGTTTTTTTTATTTTTTATTTTTTGGATTTCCTGGAATGTCCCTGTTGGTTTTACAATTTTACGTGATTTGCCACCTTCGGTCATTTTTTTTAAGGCCCAATGAGTAAAACCAATGTGGGCTAAACATAAAAACAGCCCTCCTTTTTTTAATATATGCTTTTTTTTAGCATTTTATTCCATTTGATTTCATAAATAACTAGCCCGAAAAATATTTTCGTATTTTCTAATGTTTGACATCCCCAGAAAAATTAATCAATAAAAATATTCTTTTATTTTATCAAAGGAAATTCAAATCATTTGAAAAAAGGACTTCTCCTTTTTTTAAAAGAAAACATTTTCTAAATATTAAGTTACTATAACTATATAAAGTTTTAATGTTAATCCTAGTCATTAATACCGATCACTACTAATGACAGACCGCAGCGGACTATCATGGATCACGGGTCAACATCATTGGTTAACCACTATAATTTATTATTTTCATGCATTTTTTTTATATTTAATAATAAATATTTAAAATATACATTTTAGCTAATTTTTCGAAGGGCAGTTATTTCCTGGAAACAACCAAAATCATAATATTCATTTATTGGTTCGCAAGGCAATTGAGTAGAAAATTCATCAATAATTGTTTTTTTGAATATAACCTCTATATTTTTATTATTTATGATATGCACACTGAGATTCAGTTAAACAAATTAAATCCGGCAATTCATACTGATCTTAAGCCGGAGGATGAATGAATTCTCCAGGAAATAGAGTTTCAAGATCTTAATAATTACATGTGTAACGGTACAATCTATAATCAACCCAATACCGAAATGTTAATAATTACATGAAAAACCATAATACAACTTCTGCAAGGAATTTCTCACTCTTGACAGATGAGGGTAAATCAAATGACATAACATTTTTTCAAAAGAATATTTACCATGAAATTATTTTACAAAGATAAAGAACGTTAAACTAAGCCAACAGCGAATTAGCATCTCAAACCGCTCGTCCTCGGAGCCTTTGCCCCCTGAAACTTTCATTCCGGTAACATATCTGCAGGAATCAGCGAACCAAAAAGCCCTACGCATTAGTAAACACGATCTTCCTCAGTTGACCTTCAATCAAACATCTGTGAGTGCATGACCATCTAATGGCATATAGAGACTAGCCTGGATCATTTCGATTTGTTTGGCAGCTCAGGAACTTCATCTATTTTAGGAGGCAGGAGACCTAGAAAGCTCCCTTGCACAGGTTGATTAGCTTCAGCTGACTCATCTTCTGCGACATATGAACCGCATTAGTAAGATAACACTCAACAGGCCACTGAAAAGCTATATTCGATGGTCTGCAATTGTGCTCTTTTAAAGTTAAATTGCAGTGAAGATGGACAAAACTAAAACTTTTATGACGCAAAGAACATGAATTTTCATGATTAAGGACTTCTCATTTGCAAATTGCAATTTAAAAGAAAGCTACCTGAAATCATCCAACAAATAAAAGACATTCTCAATGGTTAGAAAAAGAAAATGACAATAATAATAATAATAATAATAATAATAATAATAACTTACCAAAAAGGGACTTGATAGAGGGCCTCTTAGGTTTTGTGCTTTTCTTTTTTAGTTCAGCTGTGCATAGTAACACAAAAAATACCAATAAGCAGATATATATGAAAATCACAGATAAATGTGGAAGAGTTAACACTTGCAAATATTTTTTATAATGATTAGAAAGAAAAACATTTAAACCTACAAATATTTGGTAAGAGGAGTGAGCATGGATTGGATCCAATTATTAGAGGACATTGTTTTTAATAACAAAAATGAATTACAATACAAATATTAACACAATCAAGATGATGTAAGCAGCTACTTAATTGAGCCAAGAAACAAGACAAGCATCCCAGTCTAAACCAGACAGTAAAAGCCCAAGTTCATCCAGATATAGCATGCTACAAAAACAATAGGCTCAACTGATCTGTAGCAATTGTAATATAGCACTACTTCGTATTTTGGAAAATGTTGACACACTACTAAGACAAGACTCAAAAAGGAGAGTGCATTTGTATGCATATGTTCAGCAGAGAGTAAGTACCAATCCCAGGTAACTGATTATCATTTACAATTTCGAAGTTCTTGTATGTATAACCAACGAAATTAATATCCTTAGATGAGAGCATCTGCAGAGAAGAAAAAACAGCGGAACAATGAGCCAACATCAAGACAGGATAAACTATATACAAAATCCATCATTAAAAGTTAACTAAAAGGGAGTGAATAGGTTTTTACTTTCACCATCAAATAGCCAAACAACAATGCGTTAATGTTGAATAAAGAAATAAAAAGCAAATTCGCATGAGTCACCTTTTTTCTTAGAAAAGGAGCATACAATAATATGCAAATACAATTGATGAAAACAAAGATGAGAAAGACTTTGTATTGACATATGGAGCTCTTAACCCTTCCAGATTCTTATATTTCAAAATTCAAATGACTTGGCTATTTTGTGAGACAAGAAATTGTGCATATCTAAATTACTAGTAATCGTATCTAGAAAGAAACTACATTTTGACCCCATGCAGGGACGGCATGTATAAACTAATAAAGAGCAAAAAGAACATAAAGAGACGATAAGAGAAATCTATTGAAACAATGATTCTAATTCTGATCAACTTCTGCTGACCACGCAGCATTAGTACTTTTAAGAGAAAAATGCAGATCCTTTACCACAGAATGAATGAATAACAGCAATTCCTTAAGGTTAGAATGCATGCATTGAAATCTTTATCTACCAACCTTTCTCCATGGACCAGCTTTTGCTGACGTCTGAATTTGATTGTCACCCTACAAAAGGAATTGTGTGATTGGATAGAAAGGCGAGCAAATGAATGCAAGTAGACAAGCATTGACCAAGCTTATATAAAAAATGTTAATCCACCTCTTCAAACTTCTCAAAGTTTTGAGTGTCCAACTCATCATTAACCTCAGGAATAAATGCGGCTTTCATTTGATAAAGTTTATCCCATTCTGTACCTTTAAACCATGGGTGAGCCTGAAAATAACATAGTATACCAGTTAAACTATCAATCTAAATTCCATTTTGACATTTTACTAAAGAGTTTTGAAGAGAACAAATCAAACTACACCTTTATTTCATCTGCGCCTTTTGTGCCAAGCCTTTGGTCAACATTACATAAGAGTTTACTGATGAGATCTTTAGCTTCTGGAGATAGCTTTGCTTCTTCTGGAAATTTTAAATGAGTTCTCCAGTTAACTATCTGCATGACAATAGAAGAACAATATTCAATGATTGACAACATTGAATAAAAGAAATAGAAGAAATGAATCAAAACATAAAAACAACTAAGTCTTGAGAAAATCACCACAAAATAATTCTTAAGAGCATCATTGTTTTGTATCAGTAAACAAACCATTTTATATGAAAAATAGAGAAAGAAAGCATGCTCGGAGGACTCACTTTTGTAGGTATGAAATGAGTAAATGCTCGTTTTTACCTATTTTGGGCATATTAAAATCGAAGTATTAACCCAAGCTTACCTTCCTACAAGTTGACATAGGTTCATCTGAGTAAAAGGGTGGGTATCCGACAAGCATTTCATACATGATCGCCCCGAGAGACCACCTGGAGATATTGACAATATATCATTCCATTTATCTCAGAGAAGATACAGGATTAATTTAAAAGGGTAATTCAGTATACCTACCAATCACATTCCATTCCATATCCTTTCTTCAGCAAAACCTCTGGAGCAATATAGTCAGGTGTCCCAACAGTAGAATAAGCCTGTAACAATAACATTTTTTTCAAGCTTAAAAAACCAGTGCTGTTCCCATAGGTCATTTAAGTTAAAGATAGGAATGAATATATTGATGTCTTCCTACAATTTTTTTAAAGGCAATTAATGCCTGTAAACTATTGATTTAAAATCAATAACAGCTCCCCGGTATATAACAATACCAAAAGAAAAAAAAAAAAAAAGACATAGAAAGAGAAAAAGATAATTACACAAGCCAACTTGAGGTTCTGTCTAATACCATTTGTTCTTCGCCTTTTCAAACTCAAACATTTTGGTCCACGAGTTTTAAACTTCAACACCTCACTCCTTTATAGCCCAAAAAAAAGTCCCCTTTTTCCAAGCCTACATTTTTTGACATACTTAGCCTATAAAGGACCAAAGTGTTAATTTCTATAAATTTCATGGAGTAAAGCTTTTTTTTATTTTGGATTATGAAGAACTGGAAACCTTTAGTTTGGAAGTTTTTTTAAGATAAACATGCACTAGATAATTGAAAAGAAGAAAAACATGATGAAGAGATACTGGTTTATTAATAATGTTATTACTACAAAAGAAAGAACCATTGCATTATAGGATAGGATAAAACTTACAAGCATCCTCCTATTTCTCTGCCAATGCTGCAATTGCTCTTGTTGTGTGCGCTTTGGTGCTGCAGGGCGTCCATCACTCTGAAGAGTTCCACTGAGGTTGTTTCCAATAGAAAAATCCTTTTCCTGGAGATTACTGCAATCTAATGGCTTGCATAACCCAAAATCTGATAATTTCATGTGACCATTTCTATCAAGTAGCAAGTTATCAGGCTTGATATCTCTGCAATAAAGCACTGAAATTGTTAGGCCATGTGATGTAAACTACATGGAAGAACAATCAAGGGTTCAAGTAAAAATATTGATTTACCTATGAATATAATTATGTTTGTGGATTGACTCAATAGCCAGGACAGTTTCTCCAACATAAAACCTTGCCTCATCTTCAGTTAGTGTATCTTTGCGCATGAGTAAAGTCATCATATCTCCACCGGGTAGGTATTCCATGATGAGATATAGATACTCTTCATCTTGGAAGGAACAATAGAGTTTTACAATGCAATTGCTATCAACCTCTGCAAGTAGATTCCTTTCCGCTTTCACATGTTCAACCTAAACATTTAAAATCCAACTAGAAATGAGCACAATAAACAAAATGCCAAATAACATTCTCTAGGAGGCCTAATAAATTATAGACCTGGCCTCTGCGAAGCATCTCTGATTTCTTAAGCTTCTTCATAGCATATACATGACCGGTTGATTTTTCCCTGCAGATTCTGACCTGCAATCTCATGGGGAATGAGAGAGAAGTCAGAGAAGAAAAAAAATTGACTAAGTTGGTGACAGATCTCCAATCAGCAGCAAAACTAATTTTCAATCAATGAATCATTTATGTGGCCAACATACTTAGATATATCATTAACTAGCAAACCAATGCAATCCAAAGCTCTGAACAAAATCAATATAGAAAAGGCTTCCAACTCATGCACAAATAAAGTTACTAACAGAAAAACATAACATGAAATCTTCATCTATCAGACAGTGTGCACGAGAATGTGCAAGTGTAGCCAAATAACATATAATCCTTGCTTTCAAAGAAGCATTCAGTTCCCATACACAATACCAAAAGCATTATATAATTAACACAAGTTTTACAAGCTTTCATGAGTTGCAATACATCAAAAGAACCCTGCAGAAAGAGCCAGATCACATAAATGCAAAATTAAAAAAGGCTTAAAATAAGAAAAAGTTGCTTTGGAACCACTTTGCAAACATGTGTAATATGTTTTCTTTTCGAGGGAACATGCATTCCTTTTTAAGATTTTTTTTTTCCTGAGACTCAGCAAGCGAAAATTGAAACAAGTCTGACTATACAGTGTGTAATAATAAAATTAAAACGGTATAAAGCGAAGGCAAATAAATAATACCTCCCCAAATGCACCCTTGCCTATCATTGTCAAGGGCTCAAAATCATCAGAACCCATTTTATGCCTCTGAAGGCGCATGTATTCTGTTTCCTTCTTCTCTAAATACTTCAATAGGTTATTTTGCTCTTCCTCAGACACCTCAGCATCAGCCAACTTCTTCTCCAGTATATTACGTCTACAAGAAATCACAAAGTACCGACACAACTATAATCACAACACGCTAAAATCTCAAATTCAAAAATCATATTAGCGAAACCATCTCAGACAACAATGAAATATTCTATTTAGATATAGGCTGAGGCTCCTATATCTAAATGCATTCTTCATTGATTAATTCCCAGCGTCGTACCAAAATTGCACCCAAACGTTTTTGAAAATTAATTAGCTATAAGACAGAAAATCAGCAACGAGGCTGTTTTGACATAATCCAACATAAACTATAGATTAAATCCAAAAAGATTTTATTGATTAAATAAAAGTTGAAGGTTGATGATTGTATTTTGCAGGGTGGCACAGCTCATGCATAGTCATTTGATCAACATATTTCTAGTATATACCAGATCTTTCAGGCCAATTAATTTAATATATTGTTGCCAAATCATTTTTAAACAATAGACAAACAAAAACATATATACAGAATAACCAATTTGAAAGTATATTACAATTGGCTGCTTTCCCCAAATGACTCGATATTAATTTGCTATTTCAACAAGTACATGTTTAACCAGGAAAAATAAATAGAAAGGTATTACCATCTATTTTTTATTAAGGAGCAAAACATGTGATTTTATAAATCTTGAGACTTGTGGTGGCAATAAGCATTTTTACCAAAATCATTTCCCTTTTCTGATATTTTATTGTTGAAAATATACATGAAGTTGCATATAACACCCTGATATTTTAAAATTTATAGGCATTAAAGTCATTAGATAACACTAAACAGTTATCAACCCTCCCACAAGATAGATAATGAATTGAACCTTAGCTCCAATCTTTCAGGAACATGGAAGTAAAAAATATAACCATTAAAGGCACCAGAAAGGCATTTATCTAATTACATTTACTTAGCCTGTTCATCCTCATCCAGACTCTATATCAACCCGATACACACACACAAACAGCCACCTTCCTAGATCAGCATTATAAGCTACCAAGGGGCACCAAAGGAAATAGAGTCAAAACAGAAAACAATAAGCTTCTCTTCACATATCACCATTATTAGTGAGGACCCATCAACAAAGTCCATTGGTCGAGTGTCAGGAAATCTATGTAATTGCATTCAAGAGAAAACAGGAAAGTGATCATAGAGACTAGCAACAATTAAGCACAGTAGCAACTTTGGGACAGACAAGTCAGAAGACCGAATTAGAATCTGAACATGTGTAACTAACTTTACTAAAACAGCTTTTCTATGAAAGGAAGCATTAAACCAATACCGTTCCTTCCTCTCTTGCAGGTCTTTCATCTGCTTTTTGTAATGGTTTTCAATATACTGCTTTGCAGCAGCAACCCGCTGCTTGGTTACATTAGATGGTGCTTCTTCACTTGTAGGGGCTTTTGACCCCTCCTTCCCGTTGCCCATGGTTTCCTTTTTCTTGTCAGACTTCAACTTATCTTTTGACTTCAATTTGTTAAACCAACACCTTGCAGACTCCATGTGCTTCAACTGTTAAATACCTCACCTTTCCTTTAAGAGGGGGAAACTGTACTTTTAAATATACATTTGAACAAGAGTATACTTTTCAATTAAGAATGTCATTCACAGATGAGGTCAAGCAGATATATATGTTGTGTAAACTTTGAGCATTTCCTGTGTATTTGAAAGATAGAAACAACATTCAATTATCTTAGAATGGTGCATCACTGCATCATCAGTAAACTCTAGCCAACATTGATGCAAAAGATGAAAGCAAATGCACTGCTTTGGCGCACGGAAAATAATTACATAAAACTATGGTTCATTTGACAGCCAAAAAGAACCTTGATTGCAAAGTGCAGTTTCTGGATTCTTTTTCTCTAGGTACTTCCACATTTGAAAGGTAAAATTTCTCAATTGCCTAGTTTTAAATATTCCAATCTTACAGAACTGTGACACTTCAATCAAATTTACCTAATTCAGTCTTCAACAGTTAACACGAGTTTATAAAATTCCTCATTCACAGGACCCGCACCATAAAACAGATAAGACCAAAAAAATAAAAGCACCAGAACAGCATTAAAAAATTAATTAGTAATCCACATATCTTGAGACGACATTTTTGCATATCTCCAGATAACAATATTATTATTTTGAAAAATCTAATTCAGTGATATTAACCAAACTGAACATCCTCGGTGATCTAGAGTATGTAGCTCAAGGTCTCCCTAATTCAGCAATATTAACCAAACTGAGGATCTAGAGTATCCAGCTCCCTAAATTCTTTTCCCCGTTGAACAGAAGAGCACGACTAAAGATTCGCCACTTCGAACAGATTAAAAAAAATACAAAATAAATAAATAAAGAAATAAAGAAATAATGATCAATCAACACAAGACACATCAACTGGATTCTAAATTCCCTTAATTTTGCCCACGTTATTTCATGAACCAAATATAGAGTAAAACTGAAAACTTCAAAATCCAAAAATTGAAAAGAAAAGAGAAAGGCAACACTTGTCGAGAAAAATACAAGCGTACATTTCCATTAACTAAAAAAGAGGAGAACATCAAAACAATTACAATTGCAAACACAGACAAATCCATAACATCCTGGTTTCTTTTTTCCAAAAAAATTAAAAAGAAAAAAAAACTTCGATACTTAACTTTTCAGCTTTTTTCCTGCATTTTCTCAACAACCAAGCAGAAAGTCAAAACTGAAACCTCGAAACCAAACAAATCCTCAAAATCCCAAAAAAATCAAATCCAAAATTATCCAACAAAGAAACACTTCAACAGTTCAAAGTTGAAACCACCAAAAACCACCAAATTCCCTTACTTCCGTTCTACATTTTCTCACCAACCAACCGGTAATTCAAATCCGCAAGCTCAAAAACAAAGATTAACCAAAATTAACTTAAAGAAAACTAAATAAATAAATAAAACAACACGCATCATCCAAATTCCAAAAGAAAAAAAAAAAAAAAAAAAAAAATTCAATATTATTAGGTTGTAAGAGAGCAAAGACATTATAGAAACAATTAATACCTGCCGTCTCTTCTTTCTTCTTACGTTTGTCAGTCTGTTACATACTGATTGAACGTGATATAATAGTGAAATGTTTTAGAAATTGTGTTTAGTCAATGTAATCAACTGCGCTAATGGTTGACACAGACTAAGGCAAGCGACAAGACTAGCGCTCTATAGCTTAATTAACATCTGAAGATGGATGGAGAGCAATAAATATTGCTTGCAACTTATGCTAGTGTGTATAGACATTTAAACTTTAGGGAGCCGCCTCTGATCACCTCGAGTTGGTACCCAAATAGAGGTTTTCACATATTTTCTATCTTGTTCGACACTGGAAGCCTTAATACTATGTGCCCACGTATCTCATTATTGTTAAACCAACACTCATCTTATCAAGACGCTTCCTATGTGGGTCGTATCAACTGTTAGAATACCTTTCAGCACTTTCATACTTTAGGAGGAGGTGGAACCACTGTTATTCGTGGTGTGTTAGAAATCAATACACTTTGAACAAGAGTAATACTTTCCTATTCAATTAAGTATGTCTATTCAGCAGATTGAGCTAACATAGAGGAATATAATTGTACTGTTATTGTTAGTCACAGTACTTTGAGCATTTCCTGTCGTTATTTGGTAAAGATAGAAAGCGAACAAATTTCACAATGATCTTATGAATGATGCATCACTGCACTACAATCAGTAAACTCATAGCCAAACATCATATAGGCAACACACGATGAATAGGCAACATACGACTGCTGTTGGCTGACGACGAAAAAAATCTACCTATAACATGAGGACTATGATTCATACGTGTGCAGCCAAAAATGAACCTTCGTAGTAGCAATAGAGCTGACCAGCTTCTGAATGCTTGTTTCGTAAATACGTAATTCACGACACCTTGTGAAAATGGACAAATATTCACTCCAATTGTCACTTATGTTATAAATAGTTCCAGATGCTTTACAGAATTCTGTGTACACTTCAAGTTCTAAAATTTACCTAGAGTCAAATAGTTCTTTCACAGTTAACACGAGTTTTATAAAATTCCTATTCACAGGACCCAGTCACCATAACAGATAAGACCAAAAAAATAAGCACCAGAACAGCATTAAAAATTAATTAGTAATCCACATATCTTGAGACGAACATTTTTGCATATCTCTCAATACAATATTATTATTTTGAAAATCTAATTCAGTGGATATTAACCAACTGAACATCCTCGGTGATCTAGAGTATGTAGCTCAAGTTCCCCTAATTCAGCAATAATTAACGCAAACTGAGGATCTGAGTATCCAGCTCCCTAAATTCTTTTCCCCGTGAACAGAAGAGCAAACGAACTAAAGATTCGCCACTTCGAACAGATTAAAAAAAATAGTAGCAAAAAAAAATAAATAAAGAAATAAAGAAATAATGATCAATCACACAAGAAACACATCACTGGATTCTAATTCCCTTAATTTTTGCCCCACGTTATTTTATAACCAAAATAAAGAAGTAAAACTGAAGACTTCAAAAATCCAAAAATTTGAAAGAACAGAGAAAGGCAACACTTGTCGAGAAAATACAAAGCGTAATTTCCATAACTAAAAAAGAGGAGAACCAATCAAAAACAATTAGCAATTGCAAACCACAGCAAATTCCATAACATCCCTGGTTTCTTTTTCACAAAAAATTAAAAGAAAAAAAAAACTTCGATACTTAACTTTTCAGCTTTTTCGCTGCATTTTCTCCAACAACCAAGCCAGAAAAGTCAAACTGAAACTCGAAACCAAACAAGATCCTGAAGATCCCAAAAAAAATCAAATCCAAAATTATCCAACAAATGAAATCACTTCAAAACAGTCACGAAAGTGTGAAACCAACCAAAAAACGGCACAAATTCCCTTACTTCCCGTTCTAACATTTTCCTCCACCAAACCAAACCGGTAATCGCAAATCCGCAAGCTCAAAACAAAGAGTGTAACCAAACTTAACTTAAAAGAAAACTAAATAAATAATATAAGAACAACACGCCAAATTCCAAAAGAAAAAAAAAAAAAAAAGAAAAACAATTCACTGAAGCAACTAAGAGTACTAACTGGATATGGTCGACGACCTTGAAGAAGCCGAATCAGAAAATTCTAGAGAGTTCGATTTAGAGTGTGAATTGTGCGATTGCTAAAGAGAGAGGAAAGAGAAGAACCGGACGGCCCGCAATTCTCGGTAGAGAAGGAACTGTGGGGAAAAGCACTTTGTCTTCATGATTTTCGACGAGGCATTTGGTTGCGTTGAAAGTGAAGCTCTTTCTTCCTTTTGCTTTGTTTTAGCTTTGGCTTCTTTTTTTTTTTTTTTTTTTTTTTTTTTTTTTTCTAATGAATCGAAGACTTTTTTTTTTTTTTTTTTTTTTTTTTATTTCCTTTCTTTCTAATGAATCGAAGACTTTTTGTGTTTTGCTGTTACTGTGCGTTTTTTCTTTTTTGTTTTTTTTTTTTTTCCCTTTTTCTTTCTCTCTCTATCTTAATGACTTGAGAAAGCGCGTCTGTCTCTCTCTAGCTCGCTATGACATCAGGAAACTGAAACGGAGTTCTCGCGAGATGTTTCTTTTGATAAAATACAGTTTTATTTTCTCTTCTGTTTTAACTTTTTGTATTTTTGTATTTTTTTTATTTAATTTACTTTCCAAACCTTTCTTCTAATACATTATTTTCATATTGTTCAATTCATAAATGAAATAGAAATGTTTTATTAAATTCTTCGTAAAGTCTGAGTTTTTCGAGAGTATGATTATTACTGTAATTTTATAATGAAATTTTACATATTTATATGTTATTTAAATAATTAATGTTATCCAATTATATTTTTATTTAAAATGTTTCTATTTAAAATTTTATAATGAAATTTTGCACTGTATTTATATGTTATTTGAATAATTAATATTATTCAATTATATTCCTATATGAATAAAAACCTTAGTTTTAAATGTCAAATATTTATCATTATCTTTTATGTTATTATGTTTTTTTGAATAATTAATGTTATTCAATTATATTCCTATTTGAATAAAAATATTGATTTTAAATGTCAAATTTTTATTATTATTTTTTATTTAATTCCGTTTGTATAAATTTATAAATTTGAATTTATATTTTAAATGTAAAACTATATAAGCATTGTCTGAGGTAATTAAATGGATTATAAATGTCTTTAATAAATTTTAATTTATTAATAATTTATAAATGAATATGTTATTAGAATAGCATTTGTGTCATTAAACGAGTGTTAAAATATTCATTTTACATCCATCTATTAGCTATACTAATCATTTATTTATTGGTAACTATATTAATTAATAATTAATAAATACATAAGCACTTTTGATTTTAATGGTTCATGCGATCTCCTATGGGACTTGAATCACATCATATATTCTTATAGCATAGAAAATTTACTATATGTATTGAAGTGTCACACTACAAATTCGTCTCAACAATAAGTATATATGCATACACATGAAAGGGAAGAAAAATACCAAAGTTACGAGAAGAACGCAACAACCGCCGCGGATTACTTTTTTGACTTTTGTTCAAGAACTTCGAAAAATTGAAATTGAAACAATAAAATGGCGTGAAAATGAAGATAAAGAAAATATTGCAATTGCCCATTTGGATAAGAAACGGATGGCGAATTGCAGAAATGCCATCAGGAATGGGCGATGAGCTGGACCATTTTAGAGAAAAACTGGCAAAGCATAATTGCGTAAACAGCGATGGCTTTATTATTATTATTATTATTATTATTATTAATTAATTAATAATCAAAGGCCTTTATATCCGCCTGAGACACGACGGGCATGATTGACACGTGCCATCTCAGCTCACTGCCTCTTCTTGATTGCTTCTCAGTTCGCAGGGGCTGTGAGTGTCACGTGACACTGGAGAATGCATGCATAACCTGTAACAAGCCGACCCAAAAGTCATATGGGTGTTAGTTGAGGTGGAACCTGTAGTAGTGGTTGTAGAGGTGATTCTAGGCAGGAATAAAAGGCCTGTACGCGATGCAGGAAAGCTGATTCTGAATGCTATTTATGAGTTGCTGTGACTAGGAACTAGCTAGCAGCAGGTTAAACTTTCTCTGTCTCTCATGGCTGATAGACTAAAGCTGACTCAGCTTTTGGGTTAAGGAACAGGCTTCATATATATACACTTCGGAGCTTGAGTGTTCCTCCAGTGGAAGTAGCTGGTGTTTTGGAAAGTGATGCCATTGTAGTTTTATGGATCCGGAAGGTTTTGACTAGATTAACTTTCTTCGTGTTCTTCTAGCTTGATGCTGTGTTTTTTATCAAAACAATATAGTATGGTAACAGAATATTTCCTTACACTTAAGTGTATCGGTACATTTATATATTAAAATCAATCCGATAAAGGAATAAAAAATTGATAACTTTCCTTAAAAAAAATTAATAAATGGTAATTTTTTTATAAATGCGTTCAAACTTAAACAAGTTTTATTCATTATAAGAAACATTCATTTAAACCAAATAAATTCAGTAAAGACATTGAACTCAAATTGAAATAAAATAAATAAAATAATAATAATTTATTTTAAATGAAGCTTGGTATGTGTAAATAATGGATACACACCAAATATTCCTTATATATCATCTTGAAACTCACCAAATCCCTGAATAAAATCAAGCAAAAGCAGAAGTTGGAAATAAATAAAAGGAAAATGAAGAAATGGGAAAAGAGGCAATCAAGTTTGGGAAATAATTAATTAAAATAAACGTGCTCAATAATTTAAACCTAACGCTTAATCTCCGCAACAAAAAAAAAAAAAAAAAAAAAAAAAAAAAAAAAAAAAACGTGCTCCAATAATTTAAAGCCTAACGCTTAATCTTCCGCAACAAAAAAAAAAAAAAAAAAAAAAAAAAAAAAAAAAAAGAAAAGGAACCGCCCCAACTTTTAAAATCCCTAATTTGCTAAATCCTTTTTTTTTTTCATATGAATTTCATTTTTTTTGGAAAAGGGTATTTTTCATTTTAATTTGTTAGTATCTGAAGAATAAGCAGATTTTTTAATTTGTAAAACAGCATATTAAACCCAAATATATTATCTTATCAAAGCGAATATTGAATCAAAAATTCATAGAAATGGACTCCATACTAATTGTGGAATTAAAGTTTTCAGTAAAAAAAAAAAAAAAAAAAAAAAAAAAAAAAAAAAGAAAAGGAACGCCCAACTTTTAAATCCCTAATTTGCTAAATTCCTTTTTTTTTTTTTCATATGAATTTCATTTTTTTTGAAAGGTATTTTCATTTTATTTGTTAGTATCTAAGAATAAAGTATTTTTTAATTTGTATAACAGCATATAACCAAATATAAATTAATCTTATCAAAGCGAATAATTGAATCAAAAAATTCATATAATGGACTCCAACTAATTTGGAATTAAAGTTCAGTTATTATATGTTGAAACAAGATTTAAATCTTATCACACTTATCTTTCTCGTTAATATTGAAATAAAAAGAACCCTCGAATTAAAAATTAAAATTTTCAAAAAGAAAGTAAGAAGAGGTGAACCGTTTGATGGTGATGAAACCTCTAAGTAGTTTCTAAACAAAAGATGGTGTGTGGTTAGGCAAAATAATTGACCCCAGAGAGAGCTTCTAAAGGAACCCCACAAAGAAGGGCAAAACGAGTGGAGTAGAATAGGAGTTCCCTTATGAGTGGGGGCAAAAAGGGGACCATTATTCTTTATTAGACAAAAGAGTTATAGGCATTAATGTCGCATAATAAAACCTAATTATATATCCCACTTGTCTATTAATACGTCATTATCAGCCTATGCAAATAATGTGCTTTGCCTTATATTTTTATGGTACAATATCTATTTCTCCTTCTCCTTGCCGTTTTAGACATCCAACCTTTTGGGTTTTACGTCTTAACCCTAGCCTTATGGACCCACCAAATCATTCTTAATCATGTTGGCTTCATTTAGAGTTCTCCAACTTAATGGGTTGTAATTTATAGTATCGATTGTAAGTATCTAAGTTGATCTACTTGAAAAATAATTTATATCAGTTTTATAAATTCAATGATATGATATTTTTTTTTAAATGTAAATTTTTGGACAATTTTTATAAATTCGAATCAGAATAAAGATGTTTTTTTTTTTTTAAATGGACATGCTATTCTTTCTAATTAGTTTAAAAGATATAAAAAGTTAAATTTAAATTTGGGTTTATGATTTTTTTTTTTAAACATGAAAAGTTATGAGTTATAAATTTGAATTATTAATTTTTTAAGACAACAATTATAATTAAGCACATTGACCATGTCAAGGTTTTGGAGATATCGTTGTGGTTGCCCAATTGCTCTAGTCTGTCATACCTGTAATGTGACAATATGACCAAGTTAACTACGTGAGAGAGATTGATTGTTTTTTTTTTTTGCTCTTGCCGTCCAGCCAACAACAGAGATTATTTCAATTAAGCAGTTATTAGTTCAAAATATTACATGCACTAATGATTAAACTTGTACTTGTAAATTTAACGTGGTTAAGGGTTCAAGCTTTAGTCCGGCAATAAACTCTCATGTATTCACGTGGATTGAATTGGGTTCACATTGCTTCTACAATCCCTTCTTTGTATCTGTTAAATAATTAAAAAAAATAAATAAAAAAAAATCAATGGGATAAATTAAATAAAATGAGAGTCCTCTGTCAATGACATTGAAATTCAAATGGAGATTACTAAAATACCTTTAACTCCACAGTGAAAATTTAATATAGATATGTAAATATGATTTTAGCATGAAGATAGCCCTAGCTATTAGCTATACAAGTACCAAAAAACATAAGTAACAGAATATTAACATTCTCTAGGAAAGCACAAGACTTACGTCAGAGCCTTACAACTTTCAGTGCTATTTATATATTATAGTGCCAATGGCAAATAGGCCAACAGCATAAAACACAATCCCTTATGCCTTGCAAGAGAGCATATTTTTCTTTGGGCAAGAAAACAAAGAAAGAGACCGAGATTGGGCTAAGCCCCTAAGTCCAAAGGGTCCGTATGTGCCCTATTGCCTAAGGAAACAACATGATAGATGTTGGTTGGGTTGAATGGGGTTAAGGAACCATGGCCAGTAGAGTCTGACACAGTGAGTGAGTATTGTTATGATTTTGTATGTGCAATGGAAGGAATAGAAGCCCACTGGACAACAATGGAGATGGCAACAACATTGCATTGCATGTGCTTGGTTTTTTGGATGCATTCAAGTACAAAGGGCATGTTGGCTTAAATTGCATCCCCACATCTATAATACCAATAGCTACAAAATGACCAATTCCCATCTTCCTCTTCCATATTCAGAGTATAAGGACCACTTGGGGGCTTGATGTTTTTTCAAAAATTTTAAATAAAATAATAAATTATGTAATGGGAATTGAAAACAATTTTGAGAATATGGATATCGTAGATAAATTTGATCAATTTATCTTTCGCCCCCACTAATTTTAAATCCTGGCTGTGTCATTGCCCCTGCCCACCATTGAACGGGTTGGTCTGTTAGTGGCCATTACTGGGTGGGGATTTTCTTTCTATTTATAAGCCATCAAACTAACCAACAAGAAGACATCTCTAAATGCCAGAATAATACCATATTCCACTGAAAGATACTAGCAGAACATCTGAATCAAGAAAATGGCCCACCTTCCAATGATTTTCCCTGGAAAAAGAGTTACCAATAAAAGGCCTGCAATGGAGCATAAAGAAACCCTCTTGACTCTCCAATGAAGCAAACAGCTTCTACAAACATTGACGTGCGAAACAGTATATGCATATCAGTTCTATACTAAAAGAGAGGAACTCATTTGAAAGAGAGGTTTCAGTAATAAATCTATCAGCCATTTGACTTCAACAAAAGCAACTAGATTCATTTATAAATAATTAGACCAATTAGAAGCCAACGTTTCTCTACTTCAGCAGCAAATCTTACGAATAATTATTCATCAAGAGCTGAAGTACTTTTTCATTGCATCTCACAACTAAAAACAATACCAAAAAGAATAAAAGGAAGAATAGCCTATAGATGCTGAATTGCTGATAGTTTATAGCTATCAAATTGAATCATTATAATGGAAGGTGGTGGAAAAAATTAATGTGAACATCACTTAATGCTACAAAATGAAACTGTTTAATGCATCACTGCCCAAAACAACCTTCTTAATCAGTTGGGCGCCCTTGGAGATATAGAAAGAGCATGGAAGGAAGATTCTTTGTTTGTCCTATTCTGCATCTCTAAGGCTTTCGCTTGTTAGCCACAACTTCTTTTGGACAATGAACACGACTTCATCTACATCTTGCTCTGATTCTGAACTGGAATCAGCTGTTGCAACTGCTTCCCAGTGTAAAGCCACTAAATATTTCTTTACAAAATCTACCACCACTTGTTTGTCGCGAATGATTATAAATCCGCTGGGTCTAAGAATGCGATCCATCTCTATAAGCAAATCTTCAACGCTACAGCCTTTTTTCTCGATCTCAGAAAAGACAGTCCAAGCATGGAGCAAATCATAAGTTCGAGGATACGTTGAAAAGGCTTCACACCTGTCAACAAATACATATAAAATCCCATGAACTTCAATTTCAAAGATCCCCGACACGGGAAAGTAGATGGAGATGAAAGGAAATCATCAAACAACAGAACCAGTTGCAATTAATCAAGTTTGGCTCACAAAAAGGGTTCAGTTCAAAAACAAAATAATAATAAAAAAAAGACTCCTAAAGAGGTTTTTAGAATAAACCTCACTCATAAGTCTTTTGGGGTCATAAGTTAGAACTGTCAAACACTCGGAATTAATACTACTAAAGGAGTTGGGAAAATCCAGGAAAAGCATAGTACGGTGATATTTGACAGAACAAAAAAAAAAAAAAAAAAAAAAAAAAAGATCCCCGAACACGGGAAGAGATGGAGATGAAAGAACATCACAACAGAACGAGTTGCAATTAATCAAGTTTGGCTCACAAAAGGGTTCAGTTCAGAAACAAATATAATAAAAAAAAGACTCCTAAGAGGTTTTTAGATAAACTCACTCAGTAAGTCGATTTGGGTATAAGTTAGAGACTGTCAAACACTCGAATTGAATACTTACTAAAGAGTTTGGCGAAAGATCCAGGAAAAGCATAGTTACGGTGATATTTGACAGAACCCCAAAAAAAAAAAAAAAAAAAAAAAAAAGACTAGTTAAAAAGAATTTTAAGTGCAACTTTACCATACCAAAAAAAAAAAAAAAAAAAAAAAAAGACTATTAAAATGAATTTAAGTCAATTTCCATACCAGTTGTGTACAGTGCCAATCAGGCCTCTGTCATATATCACCTTCAGTGTGTTTGGCCCATCTTCAGGGACCACATTCATTACCCAAACATCCTTGCTTTTAAGAGCAGCTGCAAATGAACCTAAATTTGCTTTCATGTCCATCAAGTTCCTAAGCGTGTCAGATTGAACCTTTGGACTCAAGAGATTCCAATAAGTCTCCACTCTGTGTCTCCAGATTTCCTGTACAACAAAAGCAACACCCAAGCCTTAAGTTCTTATCTGTATGTTGCTATTGGAAAATGTATCTGCATAACCACAGCCAACCAGCAGTGGAAAATTAGTCATATATCTCAGTATGCTTTGAGTATTACCGTGTCTTTCTCAAACATTTCATTGGAATAGCCAAAATCAGAAAGTCGTGGAGGAGCAGTAGTCAATCTAGCTGGCCATGGAGCCAAACCTCTCCCCTTAACTCTTTGGTCATCTGATAGCAAAAATAAAATTTCATAGTTAGATAATGGTCTCAAACCAAATAAAGGCAACTTAGAAGTTGAAAATAAAGGTCATACGATTGAAAAATAAAATTTAACAATTAGGTAATGATTTCAAACTAGATAAGGAAGACTGAAAAAGGTACAGAACCCATACATTTAATGTAAAAAATAACCTTACAACAAATTATGCATGAATATACATATTTAAACAAAAAGTAATGCATTCAAGGACGCCTTTGAAAAATACAAATGACAGAACACAAAAATGCAACCCGAAGCTAGACAAATCAATCACTTCAAGAATCGAATATGAATCCAATGATTTTGCATCTATCAACTCTGTTTATTGCGATTAATTTATAATGATGCCACAATACATTACAAGTCTAGAACACTTGCATCTCAACATAATCATCAAATTTTTGTGTAGCCCTAATGCACTTCTGTTCGTGCTATAAGGATAAAGTCTAATCAACGGCATGAGGAATCACAAGTGTTTCTTATTTCATGAAATAATCCACTAGTTATTACTGCACAACAAACTTGACCAATAAAAAAAAAGTTCCATGTTAATAACTACAAAATAAGCTATTTTACCATTATTAAATGACAAAAGAATAAGAAGAAATTTAATTAGTAGGAACAAGGAGAACAGATAAAGGAAATAATCAGAAAAGAAAACTCACGATCAGAGTAAGGTGTAATGCAAGCTTCCATTGGCACACCCCAAACTGCATCTGGATCATCATCAGATCGACAGAGAGGTGGTTGCATACCAGGTTCTCTTTCCATGTAACAGTCATTTGTTAAAGGTTTTTGCCAAATGACAGTTTGGTTCCTCTTTGCAGCTATTCTCCAACACATACGTCCCACAAGGGCACTCATTTCTCTCCATATCCTGAGATCTTCTTCATCCTGTGCATAAGCTTCAGGAGAAGAATAGGCAAAATAGCCTCCTGGTCTGAGTAGCCGATCCAGTTCAAGCAGAAGAATACCATCTCTTTGGAGCCAATCTATTCTACAACGTGAACAGTGTGCAAGCTCAAAAGATCTGCTTGGGTAAGGGAGCCTTTTGGTTCCTAGAACGCCAAGATATGCAGGAATTCCTCTTTCTAGGGCAAACTGGATTTGGTTTTGATGCACATCATTAGGTGCCAAAGACATTGCAATTATATCAGATGACAGAAGATAAGCACCAAAGCTAGCAACACCACAGCCAACATCCAGAACTGTTCTTATCCTTCCTTCATTGTTTAAATTATTTTTTGAAAAGTTTAGCATCTGCCAACCAGACCAGAAATCCAACCATTTAGAATCATATCCAAAAATGAGCAATCCTCAAAATAGGAATAAAAGCAAACAAATCATAAAAGTGAAGAAATAAAATATATGCATCAATAGATGATTCAGGAAAGGATTTGAAATTCAATTGATCAGGATCACTCATCTCTCTCGGCACAAGTTAGCAAGAGTCAACAGTCTTACATTTGCAATTGAAGAAATATACTTATCAGCTCCATAGTGAAAATGTGTGCCTCCCCCAGGAAATACTATCTTTTCACCTTTCACAACCATCCAGTTCTGATCAGATTTCTCATGTGCAAGGTGAGTATGAGGAATGTTCGCTTTCCACACTTCATCTCTACTTTTTGGCCATTTAATTGGGATCTGCATGATAAAAGGTACAATATAGCAATTGAACAGCTGATGGATATCTGAAATTGGCAAGACAATCACAACAAGAAAAAGACCACCACTACTCTGAATAATCAACTTCAGCATATATGCACCTTGTACCCTGGTGGAGGAGGAATCAAGCAATTGTACCGCCTTTCCGGAGGGGGGCAATGTCGTTCATAATGCTCCATCAAAGAGAGATCCAGCTTCAGTCTCATTTGATATATAAGATTCCTGTCTAAGCACGGAATGAGTTCTGAATGCCGATCATCACAAACCTTTCAAAAAATTAGGATCAGAAAAATGAATCATATAATTGGTAAAGCAAAAGTAACAAGGAAGGTAACTATAAAATTAAAGGGAAAAAGGTAATAAGGAGGTGTCGGAGAACTAGATAGCCACAAAGATACCTACCGGGAAGCTCTTTGTAATAGTATCCTCCTCTCCATCTTCCTGACCAAATTTAGTTGAATCATCTTGTTTTCCATCAGTGTCATCGTCCCCACCCAAATAAGATGATCCAAGTTTTCTCAAGGATTTGCTCCCATATTCTAGAGCTGCTGCTCCACGGCTTTGAGAGCCAAAAATGGATCCATAGTAAAAATATATGAATCCAAGAAAGACTGCCACTACACAGACAGACGTTATTAATCGCTTCTTCTGGCTCCCATCGGATCTTCCCCTCATTGTTTACCTAGCTCTAAAATATTCAGAAAGATTTTTGCACTCCCACTTAAGCACTATAAGGTCATAATGCAAATCTCATCCCACTATAATTATCTTATGTCAATCTCACCTTTCAAAAGAAGCCCCTTTATTTGACAGTTGACACCTTAAGCCTCAAGGTTACAATATCGAAGAAAAATGATGCAATACAGATCTCCTTGGGATTTTATCAGAAACAAACCATGAAGACTGAGCGATCAAACTGTTAAACGGAGACAAAGAAAACAAATAACGGACCATCAGTAAGATCAAAACCACTGGAATTGGTTAAGCTGATAGACATGAAAAGGTCCAATAGTTGATGTTAGAAATCTTTGAAATGAATCTTCACATATAAAACAACACAAACTTAATCATGATAAACACTAAACAAAAAATGCATTCCTACCAATAAAAGCACTAAAGCATTTTTGAAATCTGAGCCAACCCAGTTCTGCTTTGACCAGTTCACAAAAAAAAGGTAACAGTTATTTGTGGGGGAAAAAAAAAAAAGCAAAACCAGCAATCAAGAAAAAAAAGTCTATAATTAGATGTCTAATGTTCAACTGTTTAGGCAAAAAATAAAAAAAAAGCAGCCATGTATTAGCAATGGCGTAGAAAACATAATAAAAAGAATACTTTAACAGCAAGCTGATTTAGATCCGTGTTCCTAGTCAGAAACCGTAGACTATAAGTTAGTTAATATATAATTTATACAGTGTTGCAATTACAAAAGCAATAATAGCTATAAAACGCTTACATATGGAAACACCAACACTTGTATCTATTGAATAGATAGCCAAACGAAAAGAAAAGTATTAATCCAATAAAGGGCAAATAATTGCATCTAAAATCAACTTTCAGTTATAGAATTGATACACTACATGAACTGATAAGCTATGTGAACTGAAGCAAAAGCTAACCAAGAAAATGACAGCAAAGTAATCAAATTAAGTAGACCAAAAGTAGCAGATCTGAAACAAAGCTGCTATGGGTATTGAAAAACCCATCAAGAACTAATAGAATTGACAATAGAACAAGATGGACACATCCGATTCAAATAAGAAGAGAATGAGGATTAATTAAGTCAATCAAAACCCAGATAGGATTCTATTCAGATCCAACAAAAAACACGCCTTTTAAGCAAATCAAATCTTTAAGCAAAACCCACAAATACAGCACCAAATAATCCAACAGAAAACAGAGCAAGAAAGCTTACTGGATTGGGAACTTCGATTAATTGAGAAAATGGCTAGATTCTAAATCAAAGATGTGGAATAGAGATAGATCTGGTTATAGATACTCTATTCAATAAGAGACAGAGAAGCGAGACGAGGAAACTAATGAGAGAGAGAGAGAGAGTAATTAGATCTTAGAGTTCGATATGGTTCTTCTATTTCCGGGGGAAGAGAGTTTGTGTGGGCTGTTAACAGTGCAACGTCGAGGCCGTTAAGGAAGAATAAATTTATTTACTGAATTAATCATGTAATAGTCATAAAAAAAACAAAAATAATTAAACGGAAAATTGACTTTTCAGGTGATGGAAATGGACGCCCATAATAATTATAATTCCAGCAAATTAATTAAAGTAAAGTGTCGGTGATAAAAAAACATCATTTGGCCGTTTGGGTTTTATTTTCTTAACAAGTGTTTTTAATTCACCATAGATTTACTGAATTTACATAATTTCTGTCGGTTACGCGTTAAGCGCCAGTTTCAATTTTACTTTACTTTTTTAAGGGAGTTTTACTTTTACTTATCACTACTAATATAGTATTGTTAATTAAAAAATAAATTGGTTAACCTTTTATTTCCTTTTTTTTAAGAACACTAGGTAAGGATGGAACCGAGTTAGACATCATCGAAGCTATGATTTATAAAGAAGGGGCAAACTATTATAAAAACTTATTGAGAAAATATTACGGAAAAAAAAGGGCAACATGGTTAAATGTGTCTTAAAATTTTCTCTAGCCCAAAGTTTGAATCACAAAGTTGTAAATGGAATTTAAAAGAAAAAATAGGAAGGAAGGCAAATTGCCTTTCTCTTCCACCTCTTTTGGTACGTCTTCTCTGTTCCGTTTAATGAAAATACGTATTGTCATAAATGAATTTGAAATGTATATGAATTGTAAAATTATTCTCTACAATTGATACGGATAGGAAATGGATATAAATCTTGGGATATCCGATATTAGTTACCCGTTATATTAGATGAGTTTGATTTGTATCCTACCCATTTATTAGCAAAAGATGTTTTTTTTAATAAGTTTGACTTTGAATAGTTTAACATTTGCAGATGCAATACCTATTTAATTAAGAGATTTTAAACGGATTTTGATATCGATATTTAAATATATATTTAAACGGATCTCAAAATTTGAGAATACCATTATTCTTAGTTAAAATGATTCAAGTTTAAGACCTCTCATTCTCTGTATGAATAAAAATATTAAACAGATTATACATGATTGTCGATTAACCAATTATTGAATGACGAAATTCAAAACTATATACTCCTAGCACGTTAGATTCTATCAAATAATTTTTTTAAAATTTAATGAATAAAGTGTCAATATGAAAAAATAAAATCAAAAAATTAGTTGGCTTGATGTGGCATAGGCCTGCATTAAATTTATTAAAAAAAAAACAAGATAGTATTGTGAATAAAAAATTATGTGGCAGTAATTAAAACACAATCACCACCAAACATACCGCCACCACGCCTCCACCACTACCACCACCTCAAACACCACAACCACCACTCTACCACCATCACCGCCACCACCACTTCAAACACCACTCCACCACCACCATCACCTCAAATAATTTTTGCATATTTGATAAATGAAGATAATAAATAACAACCGTTTCAAAGATATATATATTTCATAAATTTGAAATTATTAAGTTCGTACTTTATTTTATTTATGTGAAAACAATAAATTATAAAATTTGGTTTGACATAATAATTTATGATTTATTTGTGGAATCTTATATTCAGTATAAGTAAATTTTTTATATGAAACTAATGTCAGCAAGACGTCAATTACTACAAGTTTGATAAATAACTGAGTTTCAAATTGCTCACTTCTAAGCATAGTCTATCTATTTTTTGAAACAATAGAAATTTATTTCAATTTTCATGCGGATTTCGAAACAATAATCAATATTATTTGAATAATAAATTTTATACCCTTGTATAAATATTTTTATTTTCATGCTGCTTTGTTTGTAATTAGCTCAATATCAACATTCAATAAAAAAATTCATTATGTTAATTTTCAACTTATTATTGCTTCGTTAAAACAGAGAGTAAATCAAACTTGATTATTTTAATTAAATTCAAATGAGTTTTATTAAACCATTTTAAACTTACTGGTGGCATTTTACCAAATATAATACTATCAGTAAATTTTCGTAAATCATAAAACAAAAACCAAAATTGTTGTGATTAGAAATTTCGTAAATGAGAAAAATGTCTCATTATTAATAGGTTGAATACTATTAATTGAGTTGACTATTAGGATTGAATTTACGAACATTGATTTACCGCTTATTATTTTTACATATTCAAATGCATACGTGAAAATGTAAGATCTAAATACATAGGTGGTGGAGTGGTTGAGGTGGGTGGTGATGGTGATAATGGTGGCGGTGGTTGAGGTGATGGTGGCGGCGGCGGCGTAGTGGCAATGGTAGTTGAGGTGGTGGTGAGGGGTGTGGTGGAGCATGGTGGTGGTGATGGTCGTGGATTAGTGGTGGTGATGGTGATGGATCAATGGTGGTTGAGGTTGGCGGTGGTCTGGTCGTGGTGGTGGAGTGATCAAGCGATGGTGGTAGTGATGGCTAAGGTAGTGGTGGTGGTGGTGGTGATACATTGATTGAGGTAGTGGAACGATGATGATGGTTGTAGTGGTGAGGTAATAATATTAAATAGCCTTGAATAATAATGTTTTTATTGTGATATCTTGATTTAATTGATATTACATTGCTTGACGTGATGGACAATATATGTATTTTTTTTTTTTTTAAGTAATGAAGATTATAAATGTAATCTTAACTACATTAAATTGTCCAAAAAAAGTTTAACTAAACAATATAATTAATCATGTAATATAATCTCAATTCCACTATATGATTGATTACATCAAACTAAACATGGTCTAAAAGGATTCAAATTTTGGAATTCATTCCTACAGTACCGAGAGCAAAGTCACCTATCTCAATGAAAGATTTTAAGGTAAAAAAGTATGATAAATGGTTAATTATTCCCTTTTTTATTATCTAATTAGGTTTAAAATAAATTTTTATATCAATTTAAAATAAAATTTGAAATTCAAGTTTAATTCAGATCAATCTGTTATTAAGATAATAAAAAATCTTTTTATTATTAAATAATAAAAATATTTGAATATCAAATTCATTTCCTTAGAAAAAAGAGGATATTTCCAGTGCTTTCGCTGTAAATTGATTTGTGAAATGAAATGAAAAAGTTTAGGAAAAAAAAGCAATTAGATTAATGGAAAATGAAATGTATTTTCAAGTCAACTTAACCTGGAAGGTTGAGGTTTAAATCTTAAAATGAAATGTAAACTAAAAAGATTTACTAACGTAAAAAAAAAAAAAAAATCAAGTTCTATTAATTCAAATCACGTCAAAAAGTTATTTAATCGATTACAGTTGGCAAAATCAGTGATATTCCAGCAAAGTGGGGCCCATTTAGGCCACATGCCAAAAGCCGAAAAGTAGGAAACAACCCAAAGTGGGGTAGGGCTAACATATTCGAAGAAATTTAGAATGATAATTGATCCAACGTTTAATAATCAAAGACGTGTGAAAGCATGGATGTCATGTTGCTGTGAATCAGTGCCTTCTGTGAAAATAAAAATATTACTTATTTATGTTTTTTTTTTTTTTAAAAAAAAAAAAATGAAATGTATTTTCAAGTCAATTTAACCTGAAGGTTGAGGTTTAAATCTTAAAATGAAATGTTAAACTAAAAAAGATTTACTAACGTATAAAAAAAAAAAAAATACAAGTTCTATTAATTGCAAATCACGTCAAAAGTTATTTAATTCGATTACAGTTTGCAAAAATCAGTGATATTCCAGCAAAGTGGGGCCATTTTGGCCACATGCCAAAAGCCGAAAAGTGGAAACAACCCAAAAGTGGGGTAGGGCTAAACATATTCGAAGAAATTTAGACATGATAATTGATCCAACGTTTATAATCAAGACGTGTGAAAGCATGGGATTTGTTTCATTGTTGCTGTGAATTCAGTGCCTTCTGTGAAAATAAAAATATTAGGGCTTATTATTTTTTTTTTTTTTTAAAAAAAAAAAAATTTTTTTTTTTTTTTTAAAAAAAAAAAACACTCACACAGACAACACATTACATATGTGAGAGGTACAAGACATAATTTAAAATTTTTATGATAATTTAGTGATGGACCAATTCCTTATGGAATCCCTCGATTTAAAGCAAATATTGAAAAGAAAGAAGAAAATTATAGGAAAATGGCATAAAATTCTGAATATATATTTTTAGTTGAAAATAAAATTATTTTCAGTCAAGAAATATGATGAAAATAACACTAAAATTCCATGTTTAATCTCCAATAATAAGACTATTAAAATTAAATTTTAGCATGATCAAGTTCAAAATTATATTAAGCATTCAAAATATATTTGTGTATATCGGATGGTTGTTCGTGATACTTTTCCTTATCAATTTGTTCTTTTTAAACAGTGAAAATAGACTTAAAAAAATATTAGATAAAAAAATAAGTAAAAGAAATTGATAATGTGTATGTTTGGTAGGAATAATTAATCTATAATTAAAATTTTATTTAACAATCTTGTTGCATAGTAATAATAGCTATAATTTGTTTTTTAGTTTACTGGTAAAGTTAGTCCATTAAGAGGCATACATAAAATCTTCTTCCCCAAATGTTAAAAGGAAAAAACCAAAAAGCTATTTGGATATTTTATTATTATTATTATTATTATTATTATTATTATTATTCATTTTTGTTTGTGACATCTTTAATTTATAAAGCTAAGGGCCAAAGGCCCATTTCCATTGCATTCGTTAAAAATATGAATTCTATATGTAAAATGAATTTTTAATTGGGATTTTACTATAATATAGAATTCTAAAATTCTGTACATATACAGAAACTCTCTTTGTATGCCGTTTGAACATGCTAACCTGTTAAGTAGGTCATAAGATTATCTCTCTTTTTTTTTTCTTTTTTTTTTTTTTTTTTTTTTTTTTTTTTTTTTTTTAAATTTTTAGAAAATCATTTTTCTCCTAAAAAACAATAAAATTTTCTAAGATCATATATTAATTTTTTTTTTGCACAATACTAAATTAATATACGATATTTCTATTGATTGTATGTCAATGTGGATAGCTAAAAAATTATTTTAATATAAATGGTAAGCTACTCAAAATTATTTTAAACACAATAA